TTTTTTTTTTCAAACTTTCTTATTTTCTAATTATTTTCCATTTATTTTCCCTTCAATTCCCAATTAAAATTCTTCGAAACTTTTTGTTTAAAAAAGCCATTCAGAAATTTATTCTTTAAAAGCCTTAAACCAAACTTAATGCCTAAATGTGCAATATCATGCATATGCGCGCGCTCGCGAGCAAAAGTATAAACCTCCCCAGCGAGCGCGACAAATATATCAAATATATTGTGTCTCTCATATCCAATAATTCTAATTCTCTTAAAACCAAAACAGGTTTTGCTATTTGAATAGGTTGTCATAGCTTAATAGTTTGAAATAGGTTTACACAAGGGAATTTATAGATAAAACAGAATTATTATTAAATCATGAACTCTTTTATTACCTTTTTGTAATCTGGCTGATATTGCCTCAAATTTACGTTATACTTTGAAACTTACTAGTATGAATTCTAAATTAAATAATACTTTATTAACAATATTAAGGGATATAAAGCTCAACTGACAAAAGCTCTAGAAATTCTTGATTATAAATTTTGAATTTAATTTCTAATTCTTTTAAGATTTTTTTCTTTATAAAATTAATGGGGTGCACTTGTAGTAGTAAAAATGATTAATCTCGAATATAGACAGTCTAATCAGCACAATTTCAGAGAACTTAAATATTGGTTCTAGTCGAAACGAAAGTTAAAAAATTCTACAGTCCTCATAAAAAGTTATAAAATGTTGTTATTATTTATAAATCAATAGATTTCGAAGAGTACAATTCTAACAAGAAGGGTAAATAAGAAAACAACAAATTTAGAAAACTGAGAAATAAATGAAATGAAAAATTATAGTTAATTTGCTTTATTTTGAGAAAATTATTCCTTAAGATTCCTTTTATTGTGATTAAAGACATTGGGTAAATTGGATTTTGAGAAGTTTAAGTTCTTCTTTAAAATGCTTGTTCAGTTAGAATAATTCCTAAAGAGTGATCAATTGAGGTTCAATGCTGAAATTTCAGGAAATCTACAATAACATTTTTTATGTTTAGACTCTGACAATGCTTCTTGTCTTCTTTAAAGAAATTCATCTATATTATATCATAAACAGACTAATATCAATTATCATTACATAATTAAAAAGGATGTGGCTTTCATCTATTCCATCCTTTCCCCAAAACTTTAGTTGCATTTATGTGATCAAAAAATGTAAACTTGTTACTTAACTAGGAATTACACATACATAAATCTTTAAATATTTTTAAATTAATTGGAATTAAATTATAAATAATGTTGTGTTTCAAACTTTTATATTAATTAATTCTTCTAAAACATTAAGTAATATTTTAAAATTAATTTATATAATTGGTTTTTTCATTATTATATTAGTATACTCAAAAGCTAAACGTATCCCTTTATTTATTCTTATTTCTGATAGATAAATTCTTATGATCCAACAATTCTAAATTTCTCATCTCATTAAAAAAACAAAAACTTAATTTAAATTTCATTTATGCAGAATTTCATAAACTAAATTCAATTTAATATTAAGGATGAACATATCCATAATATTTTAGGTATTAGAATAAATTCAAAATGGGATTAAAAGAATTAATTTCGACACACTTGATTATTGGAAAAATTATATATATAATAAATCTTGACTAAAGAAAAATTTATTTATATTTATAATTATATTTAAAGAATAATAAACATAGTTTATAAATATTATATTAAGCTTTAATCATTATTGAGAGGAATCTCATCTATTTTTATTAATTTATTTAAGTTAAGCTAATCAGATTAATTCAAAATAATCTCATATAATATGAAATACCTCAATTCCTTTATCAATAATCAAACGTATCATTTAAATTAAATAAGTGCTATGGATGAATTTTCCTAAGAAATTTAACCAAAAAATAGGTGAAATGCCTGGCCAGCATTTAATTAAGCACACTTAAGAAATCATAATGTTTTAAAATGCGCAACAAACATTTTAAAATCCAATTTTTGTGATTATACCAAATAAGCAGTTTAAATATTGATCTGATGATTATTTATTCTCTATATAGGAAAAATAACTTTTTATCAAAATTTTTGTACAAAAATACTGAAAAATTTTAAAAGCTAGCTGCCTTAAATACGAACAGATAAAATGCGTTAATACAGCATTCAGTTGATTATGATCGTTTAAGTCTTAGAAAATTAATGTCGTAAGTCTAAGTATCAATATATTAGCCCAAATCTAATCTAATTATTTGAGCATGTATTTTTTGAATATTAATCTTATCATCAAAAGGCAAGATACTAATAATTATTAAATCCTCTATTATTTCATATTTCTTCATCTTAATTTGAATATCTGCCTTCTTTCTTTAAATTCAATTTAAACCATTTTTAATTTCCATTAATTTTAAGGTAATTATATAAATTTATTTTTCTTTTAGTCTACACCCGTTCTTAAAGTTTCTAAATAAATCTATATCAAATGTTTAGCCTTCAAAATCTTGATCAGGAGGAGATACCTAGTTTTTCTTAAATAATTTGTTTTCTTAATATATATTATCTATAATTTGGTTAAAGAATTAAATAAGGAAATGATGATTCCATTTCTTCATCATCCAAAGTTAAAAATTAAATAATCTGTAATTATTAAACCTATATCAAAAATATGAGAGTTTTTAGTATTATTTATTTAATCATAGACTTTTCCTTATTTTTTATTTATCAACTCTACTTATGATGTCTAAAGTCTATTTATCACAATGTAATCGACCTTATTTAAGCTAGTTGCTTTAGAGAAGAATAATTATATTTATTTTCATATTTAACTAGTATAATCAGATAAAAACACATAATTAATATTATTTTCTCCTCATAGAGAATATTTATTCAGTTTGCTTCTCCTCTTAAGAATAGTGCTTCGTGATATCTATGAGTTTATATAAGTCTTACGTTCTGCAATTTGAGTATTCCAAATTTATATTTATTTTAGGATGTCAAATTTTTTGAGGTTATTGTTTGTAAATTGGATATTGATGTACTTCTCTCCTAGCTTTTGGCTTTAGTGTTTACACAACCCATAAAATTTTATTTATTACTTTAAAATAGTGAAAATTTTGATGATGATATTTGAATAAATAAATGAAGATTAATAAACAGAGCTAACATATGAAAGATATTTCAAAAAAATTAAAACGGATTTCATTTCTAAAGAATCGAAAACTAAACTTATCTGGATCATTGGTACATCTAAATTCAATAATATTTTGTCCATCAGGCATTTTGAATATTTAAAATGTAAAGTTTATCATCAAAACCAAAAACTTTCTAAATCATAAATTAGGATTTCAAAAACAGAATATGTTTAATGTATGAATTAAATATATGGTGTTCAGACTATTATAATAATTCACAATTGGATTATTTTTATTAAGATTTCATTTCGAAGTTTAAAGGGATAATTATTTATCAATATTTATTTGATTATGATATTTCAAATGGGTTCGCTAAGATCTTATATCCTTTAGACTACCCATCCATTTTCTTTGATTTAGTGATTTACTCATTTTAAATAGAAAGGCCCCTATTTTGATATAAGAAACCAAACTACTGATATTTTTGAGGGCTTTCATTAAAATGTATAAGCTTACAAAAATGACAAAGTAGTTCCCTATTTAATAAGATAAATTTTATTAAAAATATAAGGATATAAAATCGAATAATTTGTACTCATAAATTAGGATATAAAATTAAAAAAAAAGTAAATACTGTGATTATTACATTAATTTTAATTTTCTAAATCTGATTACATCAAAATTTATTCATAGATTATATAATATATAATGAAGGAACTTTATAATATTCTTTTTATTGATTAGATAAATCACCAATATTTAGGCATTACTAATAAAAAATAGGAACTTAATACTCATATTTTTCATTCTTTCTAACCATTAAATTTAATTTTAATAATGTTTTGGATTCAAACTGATTTATTAAATTTCTTAAACTAATTTATATTATTAAATAACAAAATCTAAACCCAATAGAAAACAAATGATTAATGTATTTGTAATAATGAAACTATAAAATGATACATTAATGAATTTTCAATTTTATTGCAAACTTAAATTCTGAGTAAGTTCTTCAGTTCCCTCAACTTAAGTGGCATTGAAATTATAAATAATTTCGCCAGCAACAACAAATGAAAATCCAATGACCTCTATGATGATAGCTCCAAGTCTGACGTTTTCCCAATGATAATTTGACGATGAAGTACTTAATGAAATTATTAAAGATATAATCCAAATCATCATAATTTTAGCAACATCCACCAGTGCTCTAGTTACACAAGATAAATATTTTGTTACTGTCTAACACATAGTATTGTAAACAGAAATCGATAGAATCCCAAAAATTACAGCAAATTGAAGGAGAGCACTTTTAGAAAATTGCTGAAAATAATAATCAGCTCTTTCAAAGTAATACTCACCATCATGTGGAATACAAACATTGTAAAGAGCTTCAGGACACTTAGTAAAAGTCAAAGATATGCATATTAATGTGTATATGATCAATCCCCACATTCCTTCAAACCCAATGAGTTCCAAAGGATGGATGAAATATGTTTTATAAAACCTTTCTTCAATTGTGTATTGGAATCCATAGAGAAATATAGAGAATAACATAAGGAATATGGAAACGACTTATTTTTTAATATCCTAGAATTCTATATATATATATAATACTTCTTAATTTTATTCTTCTGGAAAAGTAAATCCGCTAATGCCTACAATTGCTACTCCAACTAAGACTAATGAACATCCTTAGATTTCTTTTGTTGTGTATCTTCTCTTTAACATTAATCTTGATAAAATAGCTGATGTAGCGATAATTCCACATGTCAAAATAGAATTAACTGAGGGCGGCAAAAAGTTTAATGATATGTAGATGCAAAGTGCTCCAATACTATCACAACAAGTAGGTATGAGGATTAGCAATACTTTTATTCTTTTTAATCCATCATTACAAGCTTCTTCATATTGACTTTTATAAGACTTAGTTGTTTTGACGTAAAAAAAAGCGAGTAAGCATAGAAATTCAGCAACAAACATACTTAATGTTTACATAAATGGATGATTGAAAACTCCATAAGTATCTTCTTAATCAACAAAAACAATCTGACTATTTTATAAATTAAAGGCTTTTTTGTATATCATTCATTTACTTATTATTGCCAATGATCCAAATATCACTAAAGCAGCTAATAATATAGATTTTTTAGTTGAGCTCAGCTAAGACATGAAAAAATGAAATATTTATTTAAATATCGAGTTTACCTAGATAAATAATATGTTTCTATGTATAACCAAATAAAATTTAATTAAAATAAAAATAGTGTTTAACAAAGTCTCTCAATTTCTAAAACACTATGAATCAATTTTAAAAAGCTGAAACTTCATCATTCGTTCAAAATTACTACATGACCAGAGAATCTTTGTTAAATAGCAAACAAACTAACTTCAACTCTATTCTTCAAAAGTTTTAATTGAATAATGAGGATTAAGGACAATTAAAAATTATAATTGATCAAACAAATTAAAAATTAGAATTGCCTAACAGTTTGGATCTCAAATTTGCTTCATCTATTCCAACTAAAATTGATGAATAAATACAATACTTAATTATTAATGAAACAATCGAAACAGATTCATAAAATGTTGAATAATTGCAGTCTTAATGTATTCCTGAGTATAATATGATATACACCTTCTTATGGAAGGAAAATATGGAGAGAGTAGATTAAATTTATGAATATTTGCTTAAATACATACATGAAGAATAAGATGTTTTAATTTATTGTAAGAATGTCAATGAAATATAATCATTCGCAAATGCATTGGAATTATTAGGTTAAATTTAGGTGAGGTTGACACCTGAATTTAACGACTTTTATTAAAAGCTAGATTAAAGAAAAACGCAATAGTTCAACCATGTTATTTATTTGCTCATTGAACCATAATATTTGGAATCAGAATGCATAACTCTAATAATTCATACGTAATACAAAGAAATTAGAAAACCATATATATAAAACAGTGTCATTTATTAAGATCATCTACTATCTAGGCAAGAATTAATAATTAGAGAAATACCAAAATCCAATTAGTGTGGAGTGTAGATTATCTACAATTTTCCAAAGGAAACCTATGTTTCTCTTTCCCCCAAAGAAGTCTAGTTAGAATTTAGTCAATAAGATCATCATATTGAAGAGTTTGATAAATCTAAGAATAGTGCTATTATTAAAGGTGCTTTGAATACATCAGGTATGCTATTTTAGAACAAACCAAATTTCAATCTTACAATTAGGACGAGTCTGCTTTGGTCGAATAAGGGGGATGCTTATTCATGGATTGAAATAATCGATTAGCTTGGAACATTTATCAACTCTATCCTTCTTAATGTCGAATTTGATAAAAATTAAAGCATCTTTGAATTTACTCAATTAGAAAAGTGGTGTGATGAGAATTAGATCAATCTTTATAAAGGAATACTAATTCTGTTATATGTCTAGTAATACACTTAAGAATATGTAAAATAATAAAAATATTATAGAATTGTCCTTAATTTAATATTCTTAATATTGGGGGGTTGTCAATGGCTCCAATTAGAAGATCATCCAGTATGTAGGTAGTTTAAGAAGACAAACCATAAGTTGAAGAATAATTAAAGTTAAATTTCCCAGTAGCCGAATTAAGAGAAGATAGACTATATCATATTCAAGAACAAAGCTATAAATTAAATTAGGGTTGCATCTAAAAATAGAAAGGAAGACTTTAACAATATATTTATATTTTAGCTCTTAAAGAAAATTCTATTTTATATCTCCATAATAAAAATAGAAAGTAATCTTTGACTCAAAAAGAAATAATACTTACTAATGTCGGTAATGTAATTTTGGAAGAACTATGGAAAAATTAAGGCATTGAAATTACTGAATTAGAAAATAAATATAATTGCTCTATAGAACCCAATTTGAACTTGAATTTAATATCTATTTATTCAGATGACAAGGTTGATATGGGTGAACTATATGCAAGAATTGATCAAATTAAAGAAAATCTAAAAACCTAAATATTAGAGATCAAGCACATAAGTGGAAAGAAATTAATATTTTAGAGTGGAGCCGTTATTAGCGAATGGATAAAGTAGCATGAATCTAAAGAGTTTAAACTAGTAGGACTACCTCCCAAAGTAACAGAAGGTGATATCAAAGAATTATTTGAAGACTTTACTGTGATCACACACCTTAAATTAAATTATTTGGAAAATGAGACCTAAGCATAAATTGTAATTGAAGACAAAGATGATATGCCTTACATTATTTAAGGCTATGATTAATCAGAGTATTAAGATAGAATCATTAGTGTTGTTACAGAATAGACTCAAATATAATTAAATAAGATTAATTAATAAAAATACATATTGAGTCTTATCTGGTACACCAAATTATGTTCAGGAGTCTGCACTGTGGTATTTAATGAAACGGCCTAGGCTAAGGGATGCTTAGATTAATTTAATAATCAGCTATTGGAAGGAAAATAAATTAAAATTACATAAATAGATGAGTTTACTTTAAAATTCTAGAATTTAAGTCCGTTTACAACTGAAATTGATATTCTTATGTTGTGTGGTGGGAAGTAGCATGTCAAATACATTGATTTATAATCAAAAACTCTATCTGAAAGCAAGGAAGATTATTCCCAAATTATAATACATTTAATCAATAGAAATATTGAAAGAAATGAGAAAAAGGATGTTGATTTCCATCATACTCACTTGATTAGAAAGACAAGAGGCAAAAGAAAAGCTAAAATTTATATTACCAGCATTCATACTATGTAAAAATTATTAGAAATTTTAAACGGATAAAAGATATAATTTGGAGCTAATTTAGTTAAAATCCACAGTAAAGGTTAATATTATCAATATCATAAAATCCCTATTCAACTCAAACCCCATATTTTAAGTCTATTAAAGGAATATGAAAAGTTTAATTTCAAGGTTACTTTCGAATAAGGAAATCATTAAAAAAATAGGGAACTAGAAGTTATCATTTGTACATACAATATCTTAGTAAATTAACAATTAGATCAAGTCATTACTAACTTCCTCTAAGGTTATAAAATTGAATTGAAAAATACTAGCGATTTTCTTTTTACACCTTTTGGATAGAATAAATTAAAAGACTTTGAAAAAGCAGATGGAAGCATACACTTCATGATTGATCAATATAAAAAAGTGATACGAGTTTGTTGTTAAAAGGAAAAATTAGATGAGATTACTAATTATGTTAATTAAATTGCTTAAATAATTGTTTCTCATAAATTAATAATACCACCTGGAGCAATTAAGTAATTAGTTGGCTTAAAAGGATAGGGTCTTGATAGCCTAAAAAAGCAATTTAATTTGACTTAGATAAAATATAAACAGTAGAGTAAAGAATTGTTTTTAGAGGGATCAGGTTTAAATATTTAAGATGCTGTTTCTTGCATTGAATCAGCAGTATCTTAAGTAAACTTTGATGAAGAAACTATAATAAGTGATGCAAAATAAGAAGACTGCCCTATCTGCTTTGATAAAATAATACACAGTTATTTACTATAAGGTTGTGGCCATAAATGTTGTTTAGAATGCATTTCCCTTCATTGTAATAGTGTTTTACAGGATGTTAAACTATTTCCTGTAAGATGTCCTATATGCAATGAAAAAATGATTCTAAATGATATATTGTAAATAATTGGGAAAGAAAACAAAGAAACTTTGATAAATTTGGCTCTTAATAAATTTGTTTAGGAGAATAACCAAAGTTTAACCTTCTGTTACACTCCTGGTTGTAATAATTTTGAATAAATTTAAATAGAAGATAAGGCAATATATTGTTCAATGTGTTTAAAATAATATTGTTTTTTATGCAAAGTAATTATTGAATTAAAAGATAGGCTTTAAGACACCCTGGATTAACGTGTGAGGAAAATAAACTTGGTGATCAAGGGTTGCTATTAAAATTGATGAAGGAATAAGATATTAGAAAATGCCCAAGTTGTTAAGCCTTAATTTAGAGAATTGATGGATGCTATAGAGTGACTTGTTCTGTCTGTAATAAGAGCATTTGTTGGAAAGACAACAAAAAAGGAGTCCCTTGCATGCAGGTGTTTAAGACAGCTTCAGAATGTTATGATCATTTATCCAAATATCATGGCGGTTATTGGTGATTACATCCTTTTAAAAATTAAATACATTTTGTGTTATTATTTTGTAATTTACATTATTTCTTATCTCTTTGAATTTATCCAATTTGCAATGAAAATCAATAAAGTATTGGCACAATAATTGATATCTTGAATCTCTAATGTTTTAATCTAAGAATAAGATAGATAGAATATAATTTTGGAGAGTGTTAATAAATAATTGGATGTGATTTAAATGAGAGAAAAGTTCTTTTGAAGATTTACTAATTTATAGTAAGGAGTTGATTATTTAGTTTGCTTATTATTTATTATATTAAATGTTTTGCTGTGGTAGGAATGGGAATTAGTAGAATTAGAGGAATAGGATGACAAGATTCCGTTTTTCAGCAGAAGAGGTTTAAGAATTACAAAGAAGGTAAGATGCGTGCTTAAATAAAGATTTTAGAGAATGGCTAATGGATCTAATTATTTAACAAAAAATCAATTTAGAGAAAACATGGGATTACTTGGACTTGAAACAGTTTAAGTATTGAGTGATTGTTTATTTCAAATAATTGATGAAGATCAGGATGGTAAAATATAGTTTAATGAATTTCTTGCTTATTTCGATAAAATCACTTATGGTTCTTAAGATGAAAAGGCTGAGATATCATACAAATTAATTGATTAAAATAGAAAAGGTTATTTCACATTAAGAGATTTCTAATTGACGATGTAGGCTTTGATTGATTCTTGGGTTGTTATGACAGGAACTGCGATAACAAATGAGATAAGAGATCACTTAGAAAAAAGAGTTGCATACATATTCACATAAATGGACAAGAATAATGATGAGAAAGTCTCATTTACTGAATACAAAGGAATTTTAACCAGTGATCCAACCTTGCTCGATATATTCGAATTCTTGAGGAAAGGGATAACTATCTCTATTAAAGAAGCAACCTTAAAATAAGATTAGATAGTTCTGAGTGAGTTTTACTTAATCAAGGATTAAGCAGTAAGCTTGTTTGAAACAATGATAGGGTTGAGGCAAAAACGATGTTCTGTAACTTTGTAACCCAAACCAAATTTGATTTAGAGTTTAATATTGTGCTAGAAGAAAATGTATACTCAATTTATTTATAATAAAGGAAAACAAATATAAATAGTCAGTTCGGAATTCAATATTTGATGGGGGATGAAGTTGATGCTCTATCCTTGAGGATGTCGAGTACTATGAATGCGAATAAGGGTCGCCAATAAGGAGTTCAAACTAGTGAAATTATTCAAGGCAATAGTCAACTTGGCCCTTATATTCATAGGGGAGATTAAGAGATACCCATAAAAATAGATTACATTATAAAATCAAAAGAGAGCGAGGAAACCTTGGATCCAGAATTGACTGATGGATTAGAAAAGATTAATTACATGGCAGAAGATTAAATAAGAGATAATTATAAAGAAGCTTTAATTAAGATTCATGAATTAAAATAGCAAACTTAACAATCTTTGGATAGATTAGAAAAAATGTATTAGAAGAAATTAGAAGAATTCAGTATCAATAAGAAGAGAGATCAAGAAATTGCTGAAAAAAGAAGAGCCACAATAGCAAATATAAATAAAAAGAGAAAAACAGCTCTGTCTGTTTAATTTGGTCATCAGAATTGGAATCTTGTATTAAATATGATGATTGGAATATAAATGGCTGTGAAATCAGTCAATGCCTTAAGTGATTATGAAGTTGCATTAAAGGACTTTAAATTAAAGTACTATTTTGAACTCATGCCAAAAAGAACAGGTAATGAAAAAACCACTTTTAAAGTTTGTAAGTTCTTTGATTATGCTCCTTAAGTATTTAATCACATTAGGAAAATGTTTTTTATTGATAATGATAATTATTTGAGTAGCATTGGACCTGAAACATTATTATCAAGCATCTTAAAAGGAGATCTAAGTACACTATCAGAATTAACGTCTACTGGGAAAAGTGGAAGCTTTTTCTATTATTCTTAGGATGGCATTTATACATTGAAAACTATTTCAAAAACAGAATTCACATTTATGAGACATATCTTATATAATTATTACAAACATCTAAAAGATCACAGATAATCCTTAATAATAAAATTGTTTGGAATGCACAAAATCATATTGGATGATAAAAAAATACATTTTGTCATTATGAGTAATGTGTTCAAAACATCTCATGAAATCAATGTAAGGTATGATATTAAAGGGAGTCTTCATTAAAGAAAAACTCCTAATAATGCAGATTATACTGTTGCTAGAAAGGATCTAAATTTCTTAGAATCTCATGAGAAAATTAATATTAAAATTGATAAGCAAAGTGAATTACTCAAATAACTATGCAAGGATGCAGACTTTTTTGCCTAAAATAATATTATTGATTATAGTTTACTCTTGGGTATTCATGAAATTAATTTTCTTCAAACTACTGCAAGAACAGAGATCTCCCAAGAACTAGAATCAGAAGATATTTCTATAATTCAATCGAAAACTGGTGATAAAATTTATTTCTTTGGAATTATTGATATATTGACAAATTTTAAGTATAAATCATATATTTATATCCTAGCACTAAAAAGAAAATTGAGTACTGTTGTAAAAGATGCTTTTAAGGCCCTGACATATCAGCGATACCTCCTCATCAATATGCTGAAAGATTTAAGAGATTCGTAACTAATATGTTTAGAAACAATGTTTGATTACATTAAATTTTCTCATTTATTATCTTTATCAATTTATAGCTTAATTCTAAATTTATAGTTTTTAAAACATCAACTTAATTTGTACATAATGGTTCATTTAAAAGCTATTATGTTAATAAATTATATAATAGTATTTATTAAAAGATGAAACGGATTTGAGATAAGTACTTGGTTGGTTTTTATTTGTTATTAAGATTTCTCCTATTCAATTGTTTTCTTGAACTCATTTATATTAGAGCTAAAACTTGACGAAAAAACAAACATGATAAGCAGGTTGCTCGTTTATAACAATATAAATACATTATATTTCATGGAAATTATTATGAAAAGGTCAGAAAGATAATAATTGTGATTGTAACTGAGAATAATAATCAATAAAATTAATTTGCTTATATATTTAAAGATAATTTTCATATATATCCAAATTATTAGAACATTTCCATTAAGCTTTAAAAGGAAAACGTCAATCATTGATTACTTGAATAAAAAATTTGTAATATTTAGAGTTGGATGATTTTTGGCAACATGATTTGAAATACTTAATATCTATTAAGAGATACTAGCAAGTTGAATAGTATAAGAAAAAAGTTATTTTTTAATACAACTTAAACTAGTTCATCATACAATGCAATCTAGATATTGAAAAACTAATTGAAATACTTGATCAAATCTTATTAAATTAATTATTTAATCATTTAGGTGATGCTATGATCTATATAGGAATATAAATTATAAACAACAATTAAATTTGACGTTTTTTTTCCGAAACTGCTTCCAGTCTAGAAGATAATAAAAGTATTTGAAGTGATAAATTATTTGCAACTTAAATGATTGAAACTTAAATCATGATATTCATTCAAATAACAGTAATAGGAATGAGCATTTAATATCCAATCAATTTTAGATCTATTCAAAAGAAACAGAGAATTTATAAATATAATTATCATTAGACATTATACTTACTCTGGTCAACATAATATTAAATACTTTTTATCCAAAGCAATATAGATAGAAACCATAAAGTATCATGAATCAGAAAGCCATCCAACTCAATATTCAATTATATTAGATTGCTAAATAGAGTAGTTTATACATTCTTAACATGTTTCATTAAGAATAAGATTGAAACACTTAAATAAATAATCATTTTTAAAATTTGGAAACGAAAAAGTTATCAAATAATACAATGAATTGAAGGAGCAATCACAAAGAATAGAGAAATTACATCCAACTACATTAAAGTAAAGGAACTATTCAATACGAATGGAACTACTCTCTTGGATTAGAAATGATGAATTTTATTCATACATTTTTATTGGGTATATAATAAAAATTATTTTTTACACATTTGTGATAGTTAATACTATAGAAAGCCTTGTTATTTTTGTTCCTGCGATTAATACTAAGATTACATCAGTATCTGAGCACAAGTTTACAATCGTTGCAAAGTAATTAATTAGGATTAATTAATTTTTGGTTTATAAAATTTGGCTGTATAGGATTTTTTAATTGATAAAAAATGGCTTAGTTTAATTAGAATTTTAATTGTAAATGAGTTCAAGGTACCATAAACAAGATCAGAAATTTGACAAGGAGTTTCTGGCCATAGTGGATGCTTTTGGAGGCAAGAATTGCACAAGCTGGACTTAGGTAGCAAGGAAATTTGAATTGCAAACAGGGGAAAAAGTATAGAAAGCCAATACACTTCGATATCGTTGGGAATAATTAACAGGATATTCAGAGAATTTTACAAAAGAATAACAAATCTAACTGATAGAAAGTGACATCAAATCTAGAGGAGTCAAAAGATAGGGGTTAAACGATTTCTATTAATTAACAGGAATTAAGTATTTAAGTAGAAATTGATTTTTAGATTATACAAGGGAAGATTTTGTAGAATATCTTCACAACACATAAAACAAGCAATTCAATCGATTGATGAAGTATTTGCAAAGGAGAGGAAACATAGGAGATGTGGAAAAAAAGATGCAGAGTTCAGATTAAAATTATCACATTTGAGCATATATATATTGCTTAGAGCAAAAGACACTTTGAATTCTGAGGGATTTAAACAGAAGAATAAAGGATTGGATCCATTTGAACAATATCTTTGTTAATAATTAATAGAAGCATCAGAGATATGTGAAAGATTATATCTAATGCATGCTCGAGTATTTTAAGCGGACAGAGTGGATAGATATCAATCGTACATGAAAGTAATCAACAGAAACTAATACAGGAAGTTGATGTTTTATGTAGAATATTTGGATATACTCAGAAAAATCAGTGTGGAACAATGTACTAATGATACAATGGTATCTCATCCTTTGGTGCTCAGAAACATTAAAAAGAACAAGGAAACATTAGTATATAAGAATCTGATCTTGGAGAATGATTGGAGCTAAAAATATTAATGGTTTAATGAATGCACATTAACATAAATCTAAGAAGAGGAGTTTTCCTTATTGCTTAAATCAAGCACTAGAAAATCAAAACCAAAGAGTTCATAATGTAGTGTTGATCCTTCAGAAGTAGATGATTAAAGATAAAATAAAAGGATTGAACTCAATAATCTACAATTCGATTTCATCCCTAAGCATTGCTAAAAGGTTTATGCCAAAATCAATTCTGGTAAAGCTAATAACAAGAATGAGAAGGAATACAGGAAATTCAGAGGACATTTTATCAAACCTGGAGATACCAGAACAGATACAAGATACACCAAGATTTTCACCTGTGATGATGATTCTGAGTACGATGCTGATCAGAATGAACAAGAGGCTTAGATTCAAGCTTCTTCTAGGTAAGAAAAGTTATAAATATTGTACAATGAAGCCTTCATATCAGTGCCAAATAAGAAGAAATAAAATTAGAATTCCCAAGACACACCTCAGAATAATCCTTGATGAATTTTATCAATATAAACAAATTAAAAATAAATGTAATCAAAATTCATTGATTTTTTCTACGATTTAGAATTTCCTCTCTAATTTTTATAATTCTTTCTTGGGTACTCATCCTTTCCTTCTGCTTACTCTTGCTCTTACCATTTTCCCTATTGATTTCAATCTTATCAATCATGCTCTAAGCATCTCTAGAAATACCTATAGATATGACATGTCATAATTACTTCTATATAGAAATTGATTATCCTTCAAACATTGCTCAATTCTTTCATTTACTTACTCCAATTCATTTAGTTTTAATATAATTCTGTATATTTCTTTTTCATTCTAATTCTAAATTTAATTGTAGTGAGTCTAATTTTTAATTATTCATCTTAACCTTTGCATTCTTTCTAGCTTTTTTGGTTTCCTCCTTCTTATTTTATAAATAAATCTCTTAGAATTTATTTCCAATAATCGCTACAGGAAGGGAAAGTAATAACACTCCAAAGATTAGACTCAGCACTCCTATAAATTTTCCCAGCAAAGATTTAGGTACATAGTCTCCATAGCCAACAGTTGTTATTGTTATGATTGCCCACCATATCGCTTAAGGTATATTTTAGATTTAACTATCATCAACAAACTCCTTTTCTGCAAAGTACATAAAACTAGATATCAATATCACACCTCAGTAATTTGTATAAATCAATACATATCATTGTGAAAAATAGAAGCAATGAGAGTGCTTACATACTTTCTGATAATCCTCGTATTAATATCTACTCTACTTATCAATCATATACCTTTACTCCCAAGGAGAAAGTTGAAAATTTAAAGATTCTAATCAAGCGAAGTACGATTAGCATTCTCAATACTTTTATTCTAGGATCAACTTATACGTCAATAAGATACAGTATTTATTCAATTATAGAATACACCAATGCTAGAATATCAACTAGATTAAAAGGTTCTTTATTAGTTACAAAATTACTTTTAAAAAATTCGATCAAAGATTCCTCAAAAGCATTATAAGTTGCTGCTCTAAAAGCATATTCAACTACAAAATAGCCACTTACTCCTGAATTTGCAGCTACCCAGATATCAATAATTCCTAATTCCTTTTCAGTTTCTAAAATCAGTAATATAATATCAAGTGAGATTATAAAGATAGATAAAATTGATAAGAAAAATGCCTACAATATTCATTATCGTACTAGCCTATTGCATTCGTAATCATTCAGAATCAGGTATATTTTTTATTAAATTTACTTTTTCTTCTCTGGTGAATACTCTCCTGAAACTGTTTTTCCTATTTAAGCGATTGATTTCCTCGATTTCATTGATTTACTTGATTAATCATCCGAGGGCAGATTCATTATTTTCTATTTTCCTTCAAAATAATATTAATTATAAATTGTTGCTGTATAAGAATTATATTTAAGTCGTTTTCAAGTTATGAGAACTAATATATCTTTTACTCAATTTTAATTCAAATTATTTATGGATTGTTTCTCAAATTCATAAGAACTAAATAAATATAAAGAAAAATAATTGTTGCAAAATATATCAAATATAAAATCATTTGAACTTTTAAGTACTAAATCCCTATTTGTTATTCTGGGTAGACATTTAAAATACTAATTTCCAAAGCTTGACCCATTTATTACAAATTAATCAAAATAATAATTGTTGGATTTCTATTTAATTCAATCGTTTTGGCAAGTTAATTAATTTAGTTAACAATGAATTTTTAATATATTTACATTTAAAAATAAAAGTATAATAATTTTTCTGATCATAACGAAATATTATATTAATTATAGAATTTTAAAATTATTACTTTAATTGATAAATAGTTTACAATACTTATTATACGTTTTAGCTAATTTGTGAAATAGTATAGTTTATATTTCCCTTTTACATTTCTTAAAGATGAGATTACATATCTAAAAACTGCCAACTCATAAATTTAAGACACATTTATTCAATTTAAAATTATTTAGATATATATTTTTAAAATTAAAATTAATTTTTTAGGAATAATATTTTTTCTACATTTCTGTGTAATAATATAACTAAGATTCTTACAGTTAGTGTTAGTTACAAACAAACTAAACTTTTTGATCAATTACAAAATATAGAAAAGCATTTTTATAACATTATATTTTAAACATAAATTTAAGTTCACTTCTTTGATTTCCTTTGCTTTTCAAATGTTTCTCTTTATTTCCTATCATTTCTTTGAATATTTTCTAATATCTCCTTATTTTTTTGTGCTAATGGAATGTCACCAACCCTCAAAGCCTAAAGATCTGATCTATTTTTGTGATCGCTCTCTAATGGCTGTTTATCCATTTTAATTTTATGAGGAACGACATATCTATAATCCCAATATCTCACGTTATCAAAATTAATGAAACCAATGTATGTTCCAAATACTGTTGAAATCTTTTGACCCTTACAATTAACATCAGCTTAAAAGAAATCAGATGTTCTTTAATATGAATAAGGTTTACCTTTTCTTCACTTTGCCTATGTCAATGATGCATGAAAGACCGTTGGCTTTGTCAGTGAAAGTTATTTTATTTATGGACTCCTGTCTTAACTAACCAAAAAATGTGCCACTATACAATTCATTAGGGAAATCGAAATCAATTTTCTATCCATCATTAAATTCAATTGTTCTTTTGCCTTTATTGATAATCTAAATTATAAAATAGAAAATACAGTAACAGAGTTTAATCCAGCTCTGCCTTCAACTAGATAGTATCCATAATATTTATATTTTTTATTTGGACCAAGGACCAAGAAGTAACTGACTGGAGGATGATGCATAATTTATTCACAATACACTTAAGTTCCATCGTTATAATTGGCCTGAAGGGTCTCTCCTAGGATTGGATTAAGCTTTGGTAGAAGAAGTAAAATACAGGTTTTAGAAAGGTATTCGTCCAGAAAAACGAGGATAAGGTGGCTGTAATAACAAGTTTGAATCTTTCTAAGAAATCTGGTGTCATTGTGGCTTTTGTTATGTACAATGGGAAAACCGAGGCTAATTGATAATAAAAGAGTAGTACTTCCATGAACAGATGTTTCTAAGGCAGTCTTAGGGATCATGACTCTGATAGGGAAACTTACTTTAGTAAGATTTAAAGATCCTGACAATATTTTCTTTCCTATTTATTTGACCATTTCCTTTCCAACACTTCTTGCTTTTGTTACTACATTCTTATCTGCACAAATTCTTCCTCCCTTTTCATATCCCTCTGGATGACGAATGTCTTCATCATTTGGAAAATATTTAAAATTGAGCACCAATTATAGGATTTCATCACTTGGAATGTCATGGTATCCAACATATTCTAATTTATCAGGATCTGCAATTCCTTCGTTTTCTTTGTCTTATTCTTGCACTTGAGCTATTGGATCAAAGCCTTTGGCCTCCAATTCTTTATCTTCATTTGTAACAACTTATGTTTCATCCTAAAATAATTCATAATATATAAATACATCAACAAAATCGCTTTCATCTTTTTCTTCTTGCTAAGCTGAATTCGATTCTGGCTTCTTCTTTTTGAACCAACCAAACATGTAATTAATATATACAATAAATTTATTATCAATTTAATAGTGTTTGATGACTACATTTTTATTCTAAATCTACAACTCATCTGATCTTATAGAATAATAACATAATTCATATAAATATTTAAAGTGATAAATCATTAGAATTAAATTAATTGAGATTCGTAGTTTAAATTAGAAGATACTAATTCTTGCAGTATGTTTTTGACCAACTTTTTAAATGGTTTTTTATCAACCAGGATCTTATTGAAATCTGTTTTCTTAAAGAAGTTCAACCATTCAACGTTGACATCTCTAGGGATTTTAAATTGATCGGCTCTTTCCTCTAAGATTTGCTCTCTAGAACTGATATTATCTTAGACTCTTTGTAATCGATCATTAAACTCAGTGAGTTTCTACTTATATTGCATTCCAATCTCTTTACTAATCTACAGAGCTTCTTAACTAGCCTTCAAAATGCTCTATGTAGAATAATTAAATCCTTTTTATTTAAAACCAAATGATGTAACTGTCGATTGATAAGAGCAAGACTATCTAAATTTGGATCTAGGCATTAAGTTTGACTCTTATATGTATAATGCCATGAGCTCAACTTCTTTATCTTCAGAATTCTCCTATTTTAGAGTGTTGGCAGAATTCAAAATAATTTCAAATTAACAATTCCCGTAATTCTCTAAATTTTCAGTATCATCTGTTTTCTTGAGTTTAGCAATTTCAGATGAATTTTAAGATTTAACATCTGAAACCAATCTAGCGATTTTATGTTAAATTCCCAAACATTCAAACTCCACTTCAAAAAACCATTGGGGATATAGCAATCTCAACTGATCCAACTTTTCATCTATTTACTAATAGAAATCTTAATTAGTAATTGATTGTTTTTCTACTAGTTACTCAATAATGTTATAATCTAATAAGGTTTTCTCAATACTAAAATGTTCTCTATGGCCAATCCAATGCACATTATATTCATCTATGTCTACATCTAAAGCAGCGATTACATATTGTTATATTAGATCTTTATCATCTTCAATATTTAGATTTCTATAACTCAATTTTAGAATATTTTGCACATCTATTGTTAATGTGATTTAACACCAAAAACGAATCATATATCCAATTAATTTAAAATGAGGATAGAAATTAGAACCATCTTTTTATTTATTAAATTGTTTCTCATACTTCATCTACATTATATCAAATTATAAATCATATGAATTCTAAAAAGTGTTCATCAATCTCTAAAATTGGTGATATAACTTAATATAAAGTCTTATGTTATGAGTATACTAGTTTTCTCTGTAATTTTCCATAAATAATTCATTATAAAATTGACACAAATGAGCAATATTATAAAATATTACGCAACAACTTTCCAAAAAATGGTTTGTTGGAAACAAAGAATTCTTTTATCTAAAAAAATCAACAACACACCATTTCAAACATATAAGAGAATGAAGGTCATGCTAATCTAATGTAGAATTAAGGAAATCAAACTATTATTATTCTGGAAGACCGTCAAAATGTTCTCTAGATTTGATATATTTTGGTAATGATAAGGCTAATTAGAACCATTCAGATGTATACTAGGATATTGGATCATTCTGAAGCAGAGCCAAAGGGTCAGTAAACACATTTGATTCTTTTACTTGATAAATTTGGGAAGAATGCTTTCTCATTTCTTGCCATCTATTTGAAGGGTAAACTAATTGTTCTGAATTCTCCTCAAGGACTAATTAGGAGTAATGATTCCGACAAAATAAACAATCTTAATTTGCTTTCTTTATTCCACCTATCTCATTTTAATCTTATTAGAAAAGGTTTGTCTCATAATCTTTTTTGATATTCTGTACTGACACATTTTGAGAGTAGTCACTCTTTTATTAGTTTAACCTAATCTACATTTCATTCCTTTCTTCTGGTTCATCAGCAAAACATTAAGCCGAAAAATTTCCCATTATTTAATTAATTCATTGTAGAATGGTATTATAAAGTATATATTAGATTTAAACTATTTATAATAATATCAATATTAAATCTGAGTTTAAACAATTCAATTACACTTAGTTGTAATAGCGATCGAAAATATCTCATTACTAAACTATATTTATTTAAACTCAACTGAAATAATTCAAATTTCGAATTATAAATTAAACCGATTCTTGGAAAGAATTCACGATCTAATCTTTATAAATCTATTGTGTTTTATTATAGAAGCTCTAATAGTTGCCTTAATATTATAAATCATTATTCGGACTTATTAAAACTAATATATTCTTGATATTGCTTTTAATTTAGCGATGGCTTAACCTTATTTATGGCGAACTCAAAGTCCTCTTTTCTAACTGGCCTAATATTTTATGCAGACATAGCAACTATGGCATTTTTATCCTCCCTTAAGGGTTGCATACAAGCCTCTTTAACTACTGCCTTAATATCACTGGCAGAATAACCTAATTATAAAATTATATTACCAGCCAATTTTTCACATATTTTATCTAAAGCTGGATCTTAAATAGAATGATTCACTTTAGACATTAGTGATCTAACTAATCCCAATCTTGCTTATTAATCAGGCTAATCAATTAAAATTTTAACAGTCTAATTAATTTTATTCATTACAAATCTTCTAAGAACCGCCCCATCGATATCTTAGGGTCTATTAGTAGCTGCTATTAAAAAAATCCTATCCTAATCAGTGGTTTGCATTCCATCAAATGAAACTAAGAATTCAGTTTTTAATCTTCGACTAGCTTCATGCTCTTCACTTGATCTACTTGATAGAATAGAATCGATTTCATCAATAAATATTACCTAAATAATTCATGGACATACTGCTGGTTAAAATAAAAATGCTACCTTAAATAAGGTCTTCATCAATTTTTCTCCTTCTCCAAGATGTTTTTATACTAATGTTGAAGCGCTAACGTTGAAAAAGCAACATTTAATTTAGTTAGCTACTGCTTTTGCCAATAAAGTCTTTCCATTTCCAGGTGGTCCATAGAATAAAATACCTAAAGAGATTTGAGTAAAAATTAACCTTTTGGAGGTGCTCGAATTCCTGTGAAAATATCAGGTCTTAAATTTGGCAAAACAATAACTTCTTCCAATTAATTTTTAATGCTTTCTAAGCCGATAATCTAATCAAACGAAACATCGCATTTTCTGATCATTGCAGTCTCTATTATTTACTTATAATAAGGATCTTATGAAGCCTTTAATTATAAATTTTATTACTAAGTTTTTTTGAATTTGGTCAATTTTCTAAGTGCAAATCTCCGCTGTATTAATTGCTTTTATTAATTCTTAATATTCAGCGGCATGGTCTTCTTGGTTTTACTCTAAATATATTTTTTTATTACTTTTTTCTTTTATCACTGGTAACAACACTTGGGAACTGTTCACCAAAACAACCTTAGCCATAGAATATTATTGATTCTGATAGTATTTCATACCTAATTCAATCATTTTATAAGCATTTTGAATTTATAGTTTTGGATCTATTTGAGAAATCTATGGACCCTGTTTTTGAATTTTCTAGATTTTTTATGGGGATCTGGATTTATTTTTTTGCTTTTTATCACCATTTATGGCTTATTTTATAGAATTCCACATAAGTGATATATATATATAAAAAATATCAATATCAAAATTTAATTTAATAAAGAATAAACAAAAATGGATGAACTAGAACAAGCTCTGAATATTATTATTAATATTAAATGCATTGTTGTTTTGCTTACTATTGGGCAGTATTACATTATTATTATGTAATTAATGTTCTCAATAATAAAGAAAAACAATTAATGCATTTAAATTAATAGAATAACTAATTTTTTATAGAAAATTGATAAAACAAATTCAATTTAAGTAGTACAATATGCAATATTATATAAAGATTCATGCAAAATTTCATTTTTTCCACAAAAAACACAATGAAATTTAATAGGAGCAAAAGTATTTGTCTCATCCATTTGTTATTTCATCATAAGACATAATCAAGTTTTACTTAATAAATAATCATTCCACTATTTGTTATATTTGATTACGATAATACATTAGATGATGAAATTATTTCTTATTTCTATCTACCAATAAATAATGAATTTCTGTTAGATATTTATCTTACAGAGATACTGAATTTATTTAATATAGTCATTAGAAAATGATTAGTATGCTATTATGGAAGGGTTAACAAGAATTCTCAAGCCCTATTATATCAAATTATCAAATGTTTTATTGATATTTCCTTAATTTGAATTGAATCATAAATTTTATAATTTAATGATTTATTATATACAGCTGAAAAAATGATTATGGATTCTATATGAATTCTCCATGCATTGTTTTTGAATATATTAAAGATATGAATAAACATGAATATATTTATCAAACGATTTCTTTAATCGTCGAATACAGGGGATCACTGTCGAGCTAAATCATATCGTCAGTATTTATCATTTCAGGGTTAGCAGAGGGCAGCTTGTACTTAGACAGCAATTTATCATAGGGGAACATCTAATCCAATTCTTCGATTAAGATTGGAATGTAATTAAGATAGTTTTATTTAGTTACACCACACTTTATCTTTTGATTTCTTTATACAGATAAGGCTGCAAAATCCTTTAGAAACACTTTCCATGACTCTCTAGCATGATTCCTATATAATTCTAAATCAGGATTAGAAAAGTCTTGATTGTTGAAAAGCTCTTTAAGGTCACCAAGTTCAAACTTCTTTTGTTAAGATTATTTTTTGGTTTTGAGGTATTTCAAGTAAATGACTACTTATGTTAGTTTTCTATTCACAGACCAATGATAAAATTAATTCATAAAAAATGGCACTACTCTCCTCTTTAAGGTAGCAGCGTCAGATTTCTATGAACTAATTTCATTCAATTTTTCGATGAAATTTAGAACAGGTTCTAAATTTTTTTTGTCTATAATTAACAGAACCTTTTGATCATTGGAATTATTCTGACTTAGATTTATTTCTTGCATCATTTAAAAAATGTAAAAATTATTATCTTCATTTATTAGGATTCTAATTTAAATTCTTAAATCTATTTTTAATTAGACTTTATAGATAATTCTTATACATAGTCCACAATCTGAATTTTATAGAATAATCTACTACTGAAATATACAAGTTATTGAAATCATAATGAATAAGATATTTTTGATTTAGATGAATTCTCAAGTAAGAATCCTCCCAATTCATTTTAATACATTCAAAAGAAAGTATTTATCATTATAGAATTAAATAGATCGCCTTCAAAAAGGAATCAGTTTGCTTTTAAATAGAATGTCCAAGTCTAATAAATAATCTATGTGTAGCCTATTTAAATATGCAATATCCACAAAAAAAAGAGCTGCTGATATCCACCAAGAAATATTTCTTTCGTATGTCGTATTTTACAATAATAATTTATATTTAAACTTATCATGTTTATAAATTGATGAAAATTATTTATTAAATTCTTATAATAAATATTGTTAATAATTATTTATCGAAAATTATGAAAATTAGATGATAAATAATAACTAATAATCAATAAAGTCCAGGTTTTTGTGGAGGCAACCATTAAACAACTCTCATTTGCACATCTTTATGAATCCTATAAAAATTTAGAAAAGTAGTACTTGTTTAATAGCAATTCCTTAAATTGAGGTATTCTGCACTTTAATAAATACACAGTTTTAACTAATTCAAACTATTCGTCTTAAGATAATTATGATAAGTTTTATTCAATATTATATATTAACTCTTCTGCTTTAGCTTAAAGTGCTTTTACAAACTCATGACATTAGTTGGGAACTTTAATTGAAATCATTTCGTACTCCTTTAGTTTTACTTGTATCTCTGATAAATTAGGTTTAGTATCCTGATACTAAGAATTTAACTTAAAAATAAAGAAAAAAATATACATTTGATGTATAAATATCGTCAATATCTTTGAAAATAGCCAAAATTTCAGCATTCCATTATTGAAGTTTAGTAATTTGTTATCTCAGTTCATTTAATTTTGGAAGTGAAAACTTGATATCCGTTTGTAGTATATGATGTTTAACTTCTTTTTCAAATTGGTTTGCCAATTGTTCATACTATTCAAAGGTTAATTACTATTTTAATTGTTGCTATAGTTAGTTATTAAGTTCAGCTTAAACTCTTAACATTTGAATTGTGTTTACAATCTAATGATCAATTTCAGAGAGTTATTCTGGATATTTATCTTTGATATATAAATATAATTATTCTGTTTTCTCTTATTGTTATTTTTTTAATTGTTTGGTCTTGAATGTAGCTTTGCTTTGTAGCAATTCATTTGCAGTATTCAAAAATTCTCTTTGACTTATAAGAGATAATAAATTTTTGGATTATGGTAATTGAATTGGTAACCATTCACTTTCAGAATAGAGAGCAATCAATTGGGGAAGATCAAGATTTTTATGGTCTTCATATCTTATTGTCCATTCATCAACTCTCTATTCCAATAATTCAAGCAATTCTAGTTCAACCAATTATGCAGGTAATTTTTAGCCAATTCTAACAAACTCCTTGAACTCTTCAGTCGTTGGCAATAAAAATTGACCATAAATGTATTCTCCTGAATTAGGAAGTATATTTTTTTCAAATTGTAATTTATGTTTTTAATAATCTTCATATAGATCACTTCCTAAATCAATGTATTATTCCCACAGATTCTCATTTAGGATTAAAAATGGGATGTTGTTTTTCTTAAGGCAAACTAATATGATATATTAAAATTACTTCTGCAATTGTATTTATCCTAATTCTATTCTCTCTATTTCTTAATGCCCATACATTCATAATGATACCACTCTTCACAGTTGTCACAAAATATCATAAATTTAACTTGCTATTGTAATTTTGTATGATAATTGAAGAATTGCTCAACATTTTTTTCATGTAGACTTTTTAAGATTTAGAATTCTGTTATGGCTGATTCCCCTCCTTATCTACATGTGCAGTAGATCTCATCCTAACTGTAAAGATTCAATAGTTCCTAAGATGAGTTTTTTACTTAATCTAAAAAATTAGAACTATTGCATTCCACTTCCAAATTAGGAGATGCCTTTCTATTGAACCCTTTTTTATAGCCTCTTTTTTATATGATTGGCTTTTTTAATGCTTGCATAACAGGATCGGAATTGATGCATTCATTGGGTGAAGATCTAAAGGCTTTTCCTAATGGAACATTGGCATCATAAAATGCAATATTATCATCTCTCATTAACTTGGAGACTTACTTTACTCGTTTAGAATGTTTTAATGATTGACTTTCTTGATCATAAGTAGGTTATGATTCTTCTTAAGATTTATTTTTTAATTTATTTATAGACTTTTGTGCTTTCTTTTTAATGTTAGATTAGGTTTATAAGATTTAGTTTTACTACTAATTAAAGAGCTGGTTAGTTTATTATTATTGTAATTATTGTTGTTATTGTTATTATTATTGTTATTAGGCAGATTTGGACATCTTAAATTCTTAAGGTTGTAACTATTCTAGATATTCAAGAAAAGGCTTTAGTTTTTATATCATAATGATATTCTTTAATCTTGGGATATCGTTTATCATATCTGAGGCCATCTGCATCCAATTATTAATTACTCTGAATTTTTTGGCCATTACGTAAAATTATGGCATAAATACTTCAGAATAATATGATACTTCTTTGACACTCGATACAGATAGAGCTATCTAAGCTTATCTATTTATGATAACCAATTTCTCAATCGAACTTATTAATTCCTGACTGATATAGTTTTTCTCTATTCCTTAAATAACAAGACAAAGCAATTCAGGAACTTTGAAATAATAGAGTAAATCGCCAGTTAAGGAATAAGTTTCAGGTTGGGATTCTGAATCTTTTCCCTTTTTCTTTTTCTTTTATTATTGCTAATCATTTAAATTGGTTATCTGCATCTACCATTATTGATACTATTAAATCCAATCTTCTATCTATTTATTAAAGTCATCATTTTAAACTTCTCTTTAGTATTCTTTCAATCTTTAAATTCGTATAGGCTATAATTTCTTTAATTTATTTTCATCTAATTGAGTCAAAAATGCTAAATAGCTATTAATTGTATTTTGAAAATTCAAAAAGAAATTTTAAGCCATTTTTGACAATTTCATGCCTTCTTTCTTTTTTTTATTTTATGGATTATCGGCATAAATTGTCAACATTTCATCTTTCAATTATTTAACTGACTCATCATTCTTTAAAGCTGATAAAATTGAATCAAATAATGGATCAGATGTAGCAATAGTTGATAAAATCCAATTCACTTTTTAATGAGATGCATGTATACTCTATAGTTCTTTGACCAATAATTCATCCACTGGCAACTTCAAAGATTCATCTAATAAAGACTTGATTTATTCTTAGTTTTAGGTTTGAATAGCATCTTTTGCATCTTTTTTCCATTTTTCAGTATGTTATATTAAAGCTTAAATAATCTAAAGATCTTTCGATCCACTTAGAAAAGGTGATTGAAATTTTTGTAATTTGTCGATTTGGTCTTAAGTATGTTAATTGCCATTCCTTTAAATATATACTCTACATATAGTATCTATTCCATCGATTTATTAACTTGAATCATCGTTAACTCTTAAAGTTTATTTAATCATATAGACTTAGGCATGCCAATCTAAAATCTATATAATGATGTCTCTAACTTTGGTCATCAATGTTAATTCCTATCTGTATCTTAATCCTTCCTTAAAGAGTTCCCACAACTTATAAAATGTTTTATTTTAATTGTTTTTTCTGGTCTATTGGACTTGCTTACAATCAATTAATGAAATTAATTACTCTTTCCACATTTAAATTCTTTCAGATATAGATTCGATTTCCTAAACCTTTTCTGGGTCTAATTAATTTATAATATCTGATGTTGGATTAAGAAGAGTACTAGGATATTATTACAATTCAAAATTTTCATCATATACATCAATAAGTGATATGTTTTAATGATAAGATATAATTTCATCTGCTAATTGGTTCCACTCTAAGACTCTTAATGTTTGAGTTTAAAGGAGTTTCAATTCATCATTTATTATTCCTCTACTTAATAACATTTAAATTTATTGATTTGCAACTTAATGTTACCTCTCCGACATTTTTAATTTAATTGAATCCAATATTTATGTATAGTCTATCATACTTTATAATCTTTCTTGAACATCTAAATAGAATGGACAATCTAACACTTCACCTAGTAATTTTTATTACATTTCAGGATCATCTATTTATTATTTAACTTTTTCATTCAATTCCAAGGCTTATTAATATAATTCATTAAAATAATCAAAATCATCACAAGTCACTATTAATTTTAATATCTAATGATTAAATATTCCTGCTTGGGATAATGTCATTTTTTCAGTTTTTTCTCCTTGATTGGATATATATTATCCTAATCTAGTTTTAGTTTATTAAATCTTAGTAAATTTACTAATCTTTTCAACTAGATCCAATACGAATTCATATAATCGTTTGTGTAATGATTCGAATGCCTTTATTTCAATAGGAAGTAGCTTGTATTCTTGATTATAATTTGCAAGGATTTTCAATTGAACCTTTTGAGACTGAGAATTGGAGATGAGATTTTCGAATATCTCATCAAAATTATCACTATCTTCAACAGGTATAGGAAGCTTCAAAAGTTTCTAATAAAAAGTTTCAGATTTCTACACTTGTTCTCTTAACTATTATATTTCAGGAGTGATAATTGGTATTTATTCCTCAAATTTTTCTAAATGTTGACGCAATTTTTCCAAAGTTTATTTTTCCTTTAATAATTTATTTATTTATTTTTATATTTGTATTGATGTTGAATGAATTTATTTTATTGATTCAGGAACTTCATATTTTAATTACTATCCTTGTTCTAGCAATGTTTAGAGTTGAGCCAAATGCACCTTTTATTTGCTATTTATCATATCCATAAGATCCTATTTCCACTTGTTTTGTTGCATCATTTTATCTTCATTCAATTTGCTAATGTACAATTCAATTTTTTCATTCATGTATTCATTGGTGAATTACAATGCATGTCTGTGTTTAAATTGATTATAAACCAATAAACTTGGGAATAACAAATAAAACTTTGCTTTTATTATATTATAGTCCATCGACTTTAAAAACATTAAAGCTCTTTCATTAACTTATTCTTAAGTGATCGACAAACCACTTAAAATCAATCCATCACCACTAAATCCTTTGCTTTTCTTTTTCGGATCCTCCGCCGTTTATTCATCAACTTAGCTCAAAATTAAAGATTATGCAAATAGTAGATAATCATCAATGTTCTAAAGCTTCTCAATTTTTTCTGTCTGAAATATCAAACTTTATCTCTTAACATAATAATTCAAATTTACATGCTTAATGAATTTTTCCAAAGTCTTCTCAGGTTTATCAGGAACGATTGCTTAGCATTTCTCATCCACTATAATCATTCTCTTAGAATGCAGGAATCTATTCTGTTGATGAATCTCTTGAACCTTACCATCATTCTATTCGACTTCCATAGCATCATCCATGAAACTCATTATCACTTTATTTCTATATTTTTATGAATGATTAGAATAGGCATTATCAAATAAAAACTCACATAAATTTATCATTAAATAAGATTTATACCACTCTCATACCTCAGACAAATAGCTAGACTCGCCAATCCAAATATAAGAAGCACAAATATTCAATTCAACATAATCTCCATCCTTTTTCCAAAATATCAATTTAATTTTAACGATCACTCGTTCTCATCCATTTACTAACCCCTAAGAGATCCCTTGTTGATTATGCTCTTCATAAAACCCTTTTAATAATAGATCAGATGCTAAATATTAAACTTGTTAAGATCTCCAAAAGTTAGAATAAGTAGTCACGTAAATGCAATTTGCTCTTAGCTCATTGCAATCAGATAGACTTAAGGCTCTGAAAAAATAGAAATAGGAGCAGATTTCTGATTCTAAAGAAAAAAAGAGATCTAAATTTTGCACTCTGGAAAGAGGGACTTCATATATATCATCTATTAAAGAATTGAATGATTTATAGATTTTTATTGTTTGATATTTAGAATCTAGGGTTTGGGATCTATACCGATATATAAATAATAAAAAATTAATTGATTTTGCTTATTTATAAGTATTATCACTTATTATTTTAGAATTCATATTTATCAATATTCTTAACTATTAATTTTTTCGGAAAATAATTAAATTTTGTTTAAAAGATTTTCTGAATCTTTATGTATTTCGTTAGATTTGTTGAGGTTAAAGGTCATTTCATTGAAGTCTAAAAATTATGAATTCTCAGTGATGCAAAATAAATAGCAGTTAACTAAATGGGATGATGCAATAGTAATTTAATAATTTTCAGATTCAAGAAACTTTTACAATATTTGAAAGAACATAGCATTAAATTACTATTTGGGTAAATTATCTGATAAAGATTGAGCAAATTTTGCATCATCGAAATTAATTAGTTACTCTCTGAGATCTCTCAATTAAAATTTTATTCCATCATCTAAAATTAACATTTCACGCTCCTATAATTCAAGATTTACAAATTCATCCTTATATTGCTACTGATTTTGATATTCATCTTTATTTTCAAAAATCATTTTGAGTATTTCTTCACACAATTATGATAATTTTAAACACAACAAAGCAATTAAATTGGGTGAATGAAAAATTTATACCATTTCCTGGATAGTGTTTGAAAAGTAGTACATCTGATTAATCTTTTGGGTGATTTTGTCTACTTCTACCCCTAATTTATTAGCTTTGTATTCTTAAATGTCCACTACTTCAGAAATCTTGATATATCTTTAGGGTTATTGCTTAGCTTTATCTACTTAGGGAATATTTTGTTGATAACCAAAATCAATTAAGAAGTGTTGTTCTATTTCGGCTGTTTTTTCAACGTAGAACTCTTAATAGTCTTCAAAGGGAATTCTATTGGCTTGCAATTGTATCCTGCTCATCATACCTAAGAGAATGAATGAGATGAATACTAAATTTTTGCTTTTCAAAAGCTGGATGATTTATTACATTCTAAAACGTAATTCTCTTTTAAGGATCAAATTACAGCATCTAGATCAAGAGATCTTAAGTCGAATTTGACACTTCAATTTAGTTTTTCTCAAAATTAAAGTTTGCTAAAATATAATTAAGATTACGTTGATCATCTTGTAAGTAATCCTTCTATTTGAATGGAAGTCTATTGTATAGAATGAAATAGAAGATAACTCCCAAGGAAAACATGTCTGAAGCTAATCCATAAGGTTTCTAATTGAATATTTCAGGAGCCATTGTATATAAGCTACCTAATTGTAAATTGGATTTTTGATCCTTTTATAATATTAATAGAATACTGCAGCATCTAAGATCTTTGAAAACCCTAAATCGCCTATTTTATAAATAGAATTATTATGAACCATTATGTTTTATGTTTTCAAATCCCTATGTATGATATGTTTTGCATGTAAATCTCTGAGACCTTTCAAAATTTGCTTAAAAATTCCTATTGCATCTTATTCAGTTATTTTAAACTTAGGATTCTTCAATTGATTATCTAAGTCTCCGGCTAACATAAAAATATTTTAATCGAGTTTACAATCGCAATATTCTAATACTATGAAACGATATTTAGCATCTTCAAATGCTTCATAGAATTCAATAATATGGTCACTCTTTACTAATTACAAGGCCTTAATTTCTGACTCCACTAGCTTCCCGAAAAGTCCATCATTTTCCTAATATCTCTCTTTTTCTATCACTTTTATGGCTACTTCTTTTTTTAAATCTTTCTAAATGGCTTTATAAACCTAAATAATATTCATAATTACCTATCCAAATCCTCCTATTCCTATTAAAGCTTGTATTTAATACCCTTTGATTTCAGAGAAAGGTTGAAAATAATTATTCATTAATTTTATTAATGAGAGGTATTCTAAAGAGTTCGATTAAATATTCTCTAATGCAATTTTAGAAAATCACATATTTATTGTAATGTAGAGAAACCTAATGATAGTAATATTTGTTAAATATGTAATCATATCATTAATAATAAATTGATAATCATTAAAAATGGAAGCAAACCTTAATAATTGATACTGTAAATATTTAGGGGAACTAAAATACATAAGGATATGTTTACTAATAATCTTTTGTGTTTTTGCAGTAAATCTGGCAACGGAATCATTGCTAAACAATTCAGGATTGGCAATGAAATCATTTTCAAGGGAAATGTAAATGTCATAGACGGTTTTTTACTTAAATGAAAAAATCATATAGATACATCTAGATCTGTGTAGTTGTATTGATAGAAGGCATCAGTGTCTTGAATAGTGATTTTTGTTTGATTGATTACTTGATTAGACTCATTGAGAGCATTTTTAATTTGATAGGCTGATGGAAATTGAACACTCTGAAGTTCTTAAGCAAAGATGGTTTCATTAACAATGGACAGACTTTAAGAGTTTTCTCTCTTCCTGACAGTGAGGTAGGCTTTACCACAGTAAGAGACCTTAAATCTGACAGATATTGATGAAGTAGTTCTATCAATCATTTCAGGGTTGATAACAAAACTAGGAATGTTGTCAGAGATTTCTTCCAAAGTAAAGAAGGGTTCGTCATCAAGTCTGGTGATAAACTTCTATATTTCAGCTCTCCTAGAGTTTAAGGTTTAGGCTAGAATGAGTGGTTTAGTATATTCATTCATATTTGAAGGATCAGGTAAGATAATCAAATTCCAGAACAGATAAGAATTGGAGGTAGAAACATCTAGAGTGGTCTATTTGCATTCTGTCGTCCTTTCTAATAATCTGGCCTTGGTGATTCCGATCATTTCAGCCACTTTTTGAATGTAATCCATTTTGACTTCATTGTCAATAGTAGCTTAATTAATTTTAAGGGTTAGAAGAGCAATCCTTTGAGACTTAAGGGTTTAAAAGAAGACCTTCATAAAGGTGGGATTGTCGACTTTATTTAAGTTCATAACGAATATAAAGATCTCATAATTGTGATTAGGTGAGAGTTTAGAAATAGTGAAATTGACATCTAAGGTCGTAGTTCTAACATAATCAACACCATATAGAGGATTTGAATGAGAGAGTGTGACATTGTCAAGGTTGGGTTCTTTGGTCTCTTCGAAGATTGGATTCGGCATATGTTGATCAGCATACACATAAAATATGAATCCTTTGATATCAGTAGTAACTTAGAAAGTAGCAGTAGATCTGGTTACTTCTAGAACTTTGGTTTCAAGGATTTTAGGTTTTCTGAATTCTTGATCTCTTATGGGGATGATCATTTCTTGAACATCGAGTTCGAATGAATCTGCGTCATATCCTCTCAATCTGTAATAGAGTGTAAGAGTGTCTTCCTTACTGGGATAATTGATTGAAATATTTAGATCATAATTAACTGAATACTGCAATTTAGCCATTTCCAATTGAGTACTGGATAGGTTGGCAATAGAATGTTCTGTAATATCAACTCCACTATCGACCAATTCAGCATAAGTGAGTTTAAGTTATTCTAATCTCTTGTCTGTAATGAACCATTTCTATCTGAGAGGTACGTCTGCAGTAACATTCATTTTGAAGCCTATTCTTATTAACAACTACTAATATGGAGGATTGTTGGTTGTGATGTAGAGTGGGTATGATGTTCCATTTCTTGGCATATATTCCATCTTTTCGATCGTCAATTTCCTCTTTAATGTGCCTTTAACCATCTGCAAGGGTGTCAATCTCAGAGGAGCATAAGTAACAGGTAAGGTGTCTCCAGTCTTACTCCATTAAATGTAGTAAGTCTACAACAAAATGGTTCTGGGAGCAGCCACTCTAAATTTGGCTTATTTGCTTCCTGCAACAATTTAGACTGGATTAGGAGTAATGATAATTTAGGAGTCCAAAACGTTAGGGGATAGAGTAAGAGTGAAGTCTGCTGTATCAGTGATATTCATTATGATTTCATCTGAATAAGATCCCACTTCCAAAGTGAATGGCTATTTAAGATTAACATCAATCTGTAATCCATCATAATTATATATCAATGATGCAGAATGGAGATTTGCGTATGTTCTTCCCAACACTATTTTATTTATTGAATCATAATTATAGATTATGAAATTGTTTGTTTCTCCATCATCATCTGGAGTCAACACATTTGTAATTGTCAAATCCAATTATCCTGATCGATCTGCATACCAATCCTAATTATTTGTTTAGAACAGGAATCTAAAATAATCCCATTTGCAAGAAGCAAAAAATGAAAATTGTGATGTGGTTTCACAACCTCCATTGAAAGAATCAATTATGAAGTTATTAGGAAAGTCTGCATACAATTACCCTCCATAAACTGTTGACAACACTTTTTAAAGAGGGTAGATTTCAAAAGTGAATGTACTTGCATATCTACTCAAAGAAACACTGCTGGTGATTTTATTTAATTGGATCAATAGTGGAGCCAATTGAGGAATTACACCACTTATTGCAGTATTACCTAGGACCATCTTATTTCCATCCATTATTCCAAATAAAAATGTTCCAGTGACCTTGTTATTCTGTCTATTTGGATTGATCACTCCTAATAGACTAATATCTAATGTGCCTTTGAAATTACTCAATTCATAGAATCCACTTATTTTTATATGATATGGTATTATGGCCATCTTCAAAGCTCCTTAGAGAGTGTTACTTTTGACTTACATCTTTTCAATTCCAATTATATAATCATAGTCAAAAGGAAATCTTATTAGAATATAATGATTAGATGTTATTGTAAAAGCACTGCCAATTTCTAAATAAAAATTGTAGTATGCAATTTCTCCTTCATTTTTTGGGTAGAAATCCAATGTCACTTAAGATGGTGTTAATTAATCAGTCACTGCAACTGTTGGACATAATCCAGTTGCAATCACCTAAGAATTATATGTGATTGAAATAGTGAGTCCACTTAGCGCATTTTCTAGTTATAAATATCCATAGTATTCAATCTTAAAAGCCTTTCCCTTAATTGGGTAATCAGTAATCATTTAGACATAAGAAGGAGAACCTAATTCATTAGCCAAACAATCCTTTAGTGGAATAACTGAATCTTAGACTATCCGACAAGATACAATAGCAGCAGATATTGAATAAATGGAGAGCATTCCGGGAAGGAATAACTAAATTTAACTTAACTTAGGAATTGTAAAATCTACATTCACATACCAAGTGTATAATGCCAAAGCTTTTTTATTATTTGGAGTAGACTCTACTGAAGTTACTGTTAAAATTTGTGTTGAAAAAATAGTTGAACCAATTGTCACTGATTTCGATCCATCTTCTATTATATTTCCATTCTTGTCCACTGTAGAAATTCCAATTGTAAATGTGCCACTCATAGGGTTTTTTACACTGAAAATACCAATTGAAACTCTTTGACCTTTAATCAAAGGAGCAAAATTAAGAACTCTGAATTTTCTAATGGTTGGTAAATCATATGAAATGGTATTGGTAGTGGTGTTTTTTAAATTTGTATATGGAATATTATCTAAGTAAGCATTCGATGCTTAAATATCATATCCTAATGGGAAATCCACTATTATCATGGATCCATCGTATGATTTCATGGAAGTTGTAAATGAAATTGAATAATTAGCATATGGATGCATTTGAGAATCCGATGATAGAGTTAAACTAATATCTAGAAGAGATCCTTTAGTTAAGGTAGGTATTGTGAATGTGGCTGTATCTGCGAATTGTCCACCTGATGCAGTCTTAATGTTATGAGTAACACTGGAGGATGGGAGACTCACTGGGAGATCTACTCTTTCAAAAATCAAGTTGTGAGTAATACCATTTGATAATTGGGAAAATTTGGTCATGATGAAAATAAAAGTGGGAAAATATTAGATTACCTCTGGGTCTTAATAGACACCATCAATACTTACCAACAACTTATCTGAATTGAAAGTAAATCCACTTGGTATTTCAAAATATATTCCATTCAATTTAGATTTGGCCAAACTTATAACTGTTTTGAATTTGTAAGTTAAAGTAGTTTCTACCTATAATTTGGGATTCTCTAACACTGGCCCACTGAAAACGACTAAACTGTTTCCTACTGCATTTTTAACAGCTCCAATATTGAATGATTGAGACCTCAATGTCGATTTGACCTTCTGATTATATTTAACAAGATCAACTCTAATACGAGGGATAGCTCCAATAGTGGAAGGGTATTTCACTGGTATCTTAAATGAGATAGTAACTGGAGATGTATTTGTTGCTGTAATGGCTGCATAACCTTAAATCTTGACCATGGCATAATTGGCAAATGTCGGAGTTGCAGTGTTAATACCATGGAATAGTACACATGACAACTTATTCCCAGAACTAGCCACCATTCCATCTTAAAACTAACAACCATATTATGATAGATCTGGCAATCCTGATCCTAAATCATAATCAAACACATTATTTGTAATATAATACTAATAAAAATAGACTTCTATAGTTGTAAATGGAACATAGGGATCATTCATATTTTTAACTCCTGCTGAAATATCACAATCCAATTGAAGTTAAATCTATATAGCTGTTTATTGATTCTAATGAATTGATAATTAACTGACTGCTGTTGTTAATTCAGGTTATCCAGTAGTTTTCTTAAATGTTGGTGGTGATATTACGAAAGTGTCATTATTGTAATAAACATTATTTTGATCTTAAACAAACGTTCCGATTGGAAAATTGCCAGCTGTTTCTGGTGTTAAAAGCCCTTTTATTGTTATAACTGCTCCCTTAATTGTAGAATCGTAATAATCAAAGACATTTGTGATGTTCAGAAATCCAAGTCCGAATTCACATGTTACATCTACCATAACATCATTTGGATCTTTGAATGTGCATTCTGGGACTCCCTAGAAATCTTATGGGATTTCCAACCCGAAGACAGTTTTGGTTGTTAAACTGATACCGACCTTGGCAGTATAGACTATAGTGATTTAAGCATTGGTTTATGGATATACATTGGTTTAGACCAAAGGGTCATCAAATGTGATAGCAAAGACCATGGTTGGTGTCACTATTGGCCATAATACTATTTGCAATTGACTGTTAACAGAGAGACTATCCTAATCTGCCAGATAGAGATAATCTGAATCCTTGTATGTGTATATTTCGACTGGGTTTGTAAGTATGACTCTATCTCCGATTCTTGCTCTGAAACGCACCTCAACGAATTCATAACTATAATCAGATTCTACGTATGATTAAATATTAGATAAAAACATATCTCTTCCCAAGGGACTGCATATACTATCTTAAAATTTACTTGGGTCTAACAATCCTCTCGTGATTTGGCAACTCATTACCTAATAGAAATCGGTTGATATTTTGGCATATTAAAACCCATTTTTAGGTCTGAATTATAGTCTGAAGTCTCTGATGTAATAGATATAAGGTTGATAGTAAAGAATTTCTAACATGACTAATTTCATTTATCCTGCTAAGATTTCCAACCCATTAACAGCCGATGATTCCTATAATGTGTTATTGGTGTTTCTTTCAATTACTCTGAAATTAAAGAGGGGTGTTTTCATCTTCCTCGATGGATTCACAATGTCATTAAATGTTATTTAAACACTGGTACCTTTTGGAATAGAATTTTGATTGCCTCCTACAAGTATTTGATTCTTAAAATTCTTATGAACAGTGCAAGAAGGAGTAAAGACATTGCAAGAGCACTTTTTCAATTGGGAAAGATCATACAAATCTGGGAATGTGATAATGAAGTCGATTCTGCTATTCAAATCCTAACTAGGTTGGAGAGAGGCTAAATAGTCTGTCACTTCTCCAGCATAATTGTTATTAATAGACATTTAGGCTGATAACAGTTGTATAGTTTCTCCTGCCAATCCAATGACAGCAAAGTTCCTATTAATGTCAACAATATGAGAATTGAGTTTTGTATAGACTTTGAAATTTCCAGTACCTCCTTATTTTTGTGAATTAATAATTCCTGAGATTGTTACAGTCAAAGGAGTTTCAATCGGCCACTCTCCTAATTGAATTTCCAGTGATCTGTCATTCTAAACAAAAGTTCTCGTTTTAGGGTAAGGCGCATACAAAACAGCATCTGGACGTAATCCCAATCTGTCAGGATAATTTGCGTTTGGGAACTCAATCACTAAAATTCCTGATGATGGTAAGGTTGTATCAAATATCATTGTAAAATTGTATTCAGACCAACTAAATTCTAATAGATCAAATTAAGATACCCATTGGGATTGACATTAGACATTGTAAGTGATCTTGGTCCATATGGTCTAACTCTACCACAGGACACTTGATAAAGTAATAATAGTATTATTGGAAGCATATTATATTATATAATAAATGTAAAATTTGAATATAAATATCAATATTAAACTTTCTTGATCAACTCAATCAAATTTTTCTTTTTTATGTGTAAAAACTCTTCCTCAAAATCTATTTTCAAAGTACACAGATCTTGGAAATGCATGCATCCTTATAAATGAAGCAACGCGATCACTAAAATCTTCTTTCTTTTGTTGTCCGCTTCCCTATTGATTTCTTTTTTGATTAATTGATGCAATTCATTTAATGCTTCCCAATAGTGCAAGTGGAATATTCCTGTTTCTTCATCCTTCAACTCATTTATGAAGGGCTGTGTTAATCTACTAAGAAGGGAAGAAGAACTTATGCTATTAACCACTAAATCAAAATAGTACATCTGCTGATGCAATTTTTCAAACAGTTGATTTTAGACATAAGGTTTGAAGGCTTCTCCCATTTAATTCAATTCATCATAGAATGGGTTCTCTTGTTAAACCTAGAAAAACTTCTTGCTTTCAGATCTTATTCTCTTTTGGATCATGAATTTGCCTATCAAAGTCTTTGATATCAAATGAAAAAGCTTACCTAGCTTTCATCTAAGAATTAGATTTGATCGATTTCAATGTATGTTCTATCGCAATATTATAAGGCATCCAAAAGGAAACGAAATTGCTGACATAACTTCTGATTCTATTAACTATTAGCAGTCATGCTATAATTATGCTTGAATCTGTCAGTTTTGAATATCTACTCATTATCTTAGAGTTCCTATAAAGCATTATTAATTTATTATTGATTTGGACGCAATTATTGGGCTGCCATAATTTCATATGTCAGCTTTGATACTTGATCCTATACAAAAAGATTGCGATTGCTATTATTCGCATTCTATAGATTACTCATAAACTGAGATTACTAGTTTTGCTTCTCAGTTTAAGTTTTAAAGATGTCTCCATTCTATTTCAAGGCGGTCATGCCTTACTATCCTATCTGAATATCCTGTTGATTTTTATAAATTTCTTCATAGTAGTTAGTAGTTTCTGGATTCGTCATATTTTGAATTGCAATTTTACTTACTTAAGACATTTTTTGTGTGTTCCTGAAAAGAGGATATTGATATAATTGGGGGAAGGTTAATCTCTTTTTGGGTTCATCTTTCAACATCTTGCTAATAATCTCCTTTAATTCATCCTGGATCACGACGTTATTCTTATTGAAGTCGATTTACTCTAACATAGAATGGTTATGATATTACAATATCGAATAGCTTTTATATAGGAATTGATATTTAGACACTCAAAGGGCAATTCACCATATAAAAGTTGATAGAAGATGCACCCTATCGAAAAGATGTCTGATTGTAAGCCATAACTCTCGAATGAGGCTACTTCCGGTGCCATCGTGCCTGGTGTACCCAAACATAAGCTAACCTCCATTTCCTAAAGTAGTATAAAAATAAATCAAACCTAGTTTTGCAATTGCTTACAGAATCCAAGATCGGCAATTTTAATTTGATCATTATGCATCAAAATATTGGCCAATTTTATGTCTCTATGTATCACATTCTATTTATGTAATTCACTCAATCCATTCAGAATCTGGATAACGATTTCTAGTGCTTTCTGTTCCTTTATTCTTTTACCTTCCCTGGTCCAGTACCTTTCTAAATCCCCTCCTGTTTGCTATTAAAAATATGTATATTTACCATTACAATATTCCATTACAATATAGCAATTACTTTTTGATTAAAAGTAGTGTTCCAATTTCAAAACATTAGGCGAATCTATTTTAGTCAGTACACTTATCTCGTCCTTTAATAATTCACCAACAACTCCTTCGCAATTGCTCAAAGATTGAAATTGGATAATCTTTATTGCATGAAATGATTAATCGATAATGTTCTAGCATTTGTAAACCTATCGAAAGAATGATATAGAGAGATAGTTACACAGCCAAAGGAGCCCCTGCCTAATTCTTCCATAAGCACGTAATCTCCAATTTATTTTCCATTCAGCATTTTATAAATATTTTTAATTTTCAATTAAATACTTTTATCAATAGTATTGATCTTATTCTATTCTGCAATTTTTCATCCTTCCCTCCTTGGTAGTAACTTAAATCTTCATATTATATATATATTTAATTTATCCAATTGTTTGATTATTTTGATGAAGTAACAAAATAATTTTTGGAATTCGGAATTATTCTCAACAATTTAAATTCAAGGATACCCAGAAAAAAATAAATTATAAATAATGTAACAATTCGAAATTCCTAAAACCTTTAAGGCAGCCTAATTAGCAGAGTACGGAAAAGAACTTCAGATTGCTGAAATTAAAACTCCTGAATTAAAAGAAGGAGAAGTATTGATAAAGGTTGAAGCAGCACCAGTCAATCCATCAGATCTATCATTAAATGATGGACATTATCCATCTGGAAAAGTATTGCCAGCAGTCCCAGGAATTGAGGGATCAGGAGTAGTAGTTCAAATAGGGTATTCTTTATTAGTGATATATCTGATAGACCCAATGTAGAAAATGTGAAGGTGGGCACCAAGGTTGCATTTACTGCTTATTCCAACTATGGTAGCTATGGTCAGTATTCGTTGACTACCAGCCAACAAATAATCCCATTAGATGATGATATATCTTTTGAAGCCGGAGCCTCATCTATCGTTAACCCTATCACAGTCCTACTCATGTTGATTGAAACTTAGGAATTAGGAGCCAAGGCTATAGTTCATACTGCTGCAAGTTCAGCCTTGGGCAGAATGTTAGTCAAATATTTCTAAGATTCAGGAATCGATGTCATAAATGTAGTGAGAAGACAAGAGTAGGTTGAGCTTCTCTAAAAGGAAGGTGCTAAATATGTGTTAAATCAAACATCAGAGACCTTTTAGAAGGATTTAAATGCCTTGGCCCATAAATTGAAGTAAGAATTGTTAATTATTTTTTAGTGCTACCGTCTTTTTTGATTGCATTGGTGGCAATATTACAGGAGAAATACTCAGCTAATTGCCTAATAAATCAACTGCTCTTCTTTATGGGTTATTATCAGGATAGCCAGTCAGCGATATTAGTGCAATTTCTTTGATTTTCTAGGGTAAAACCATCAAAGGGTTCTGGTTGACTACTTTGATTCACAAGTATAACCCATTTGTTGATGAAAATGCTAAAAAGAATTTGAATGCTTTACTTAAAACAACACTTAAGACAGAGTATGCTAAACAATATCCACTTGACAAAATTAATGAAGGCATCTAATTTTACAAAAAGAATCAAACATCAGGAAAGATCTTAGTGAGACCACATTAATGAGTTGATAAATATAATAATAAATATTTGAACATATCATTAAAATGGAGCCTTCAATAAATATATTTACAACATATGTTCTTATGAATTCTCTAACAATGTGAATTTACCCAATCTACGTCCACCTGAAGATGATCGCAGATTATACCAATAACTTAATCTGTACTCGTTTTCTTCGTCGTAATCATCGCAATATAATAGTTTTATATTTTCATTCGGTGCAAATCCAAATGAAGATTCCTATACTTAATACCAGTAGATATCTCCATGACTACTTTTTACAGCCTTATCTGACTCAAAAGTTGGGTTAAAAATATCATTAGCGAAGTCACACGCTATTAAATCAATGCTATCCAAACTATTGATACTCAATCCTCCTAAACATACTAAAGGATTGTCACCCTCATTTTTAAAGACTTTTTATTATATAGATATCATTGTATAAACTAACACTGGCTTATCAAATAATTCTTCATAAATCAATTAAAAATCTTTGAGTTCTGATTTTGATAAATTTAAATGAATTTTTATTAAATGTCTGTAATGCAAAAGTGAATACAAGTAATTCTTCAATTGAATTATCCTTCTCATTACTTGTTTCTCTTCCAACTAATTTATTATCTCCTTTAATCTTCTAGATTTCTCCTTCTTCTATAACTCCAATAGTTGTTTCATATCATCTTTCTTTAAAAATAGAACATTTATCTTTGATGAAATTTATGAAATTTAATTTCCAAAATTGTTTTCCTAAGTCTGAAGATATGTTATATTATTTTGTAAAGTTTCTATGCTATTCTATATATTTATCCTAAATTTCTCTAAATTAGAAGTTGAACTTTATTTAAAAGCATCAAATCGAAGCTTTAATTTTTAAACACCATCTACTGCTTCCGTTATGGTTTTATTCAAAGCCAAAACATCTTCAGTCTCATTCATCATTAAATATTCCATCTTTTTATCAAGCATGTTATATTTATCCTTAATACTGACTAATTCTTATATTAAATACTCTTATATTTGAGATGTCTATTCATATTGTCTCTAATATTTTATTATCTCCAGTTGATTGATTTACAAATACACTAGATATGGCAATATTAATAGGAGTATTAATAATTATAACTTATTGTAAAATGACGATTTACTAAATTAAGTGACTTATTTTTCCAGCAGTTCTAATTTCTAATAAGACCTAAATACATAATTAATCTAATATTAACCTTTTCATGGTAGTACGAATGTCTAGATCAAGAGTCTGCATGTACTTCTCAGTTTATGAGAATAGGATTGATAATTTCGATTTTGAGTCTTCTTAATATTTATTTTCATTTTCAAAGTAAAATTTTACATATTACACATGAAATGAGTTTTGGTAAGGAAATGTGAACTTTTGATCCAAATATAAAGTGCTCAGAGACCTAAGGAATTTTGTGGTGTCTCCTTCTATCTTTTCTGTTGCATTCTTAATTAAGTCAGGATTTCTGCTCAATTAAACTTCCTAAATTTTACTCTTCTAAAAGTCGATTGCCTATTAAAATATCATTTAGATGTATGTTTGTCTTCTTGTTTGTTTTTTTTTTATTTCATTTATAAATTATTCTAGCTCTATGAAATCGTCCACATGTCTTACTACCTTGTTCTTGCTTAGATGCTATTTAGTTAGACACTGGTAACATTGTATGTGTTTTTTTTCGGCCGAATAGCATTCCTCATTTAAGCATAGAAATTTTTCTGGACTTTGAGTATTTTAGCAAATTTAAAAATCCATTCAAGTATTTAATATAATCATTAAAATTCCAATACAAAATGACCAAAAAATTTTAACATTAACAAAAGGAGAATTCATGCATTGTTGACACTATTTCGAGAGGTAATTCAATTTTTTTAATTGCATCCCAAAAAATATTGATGATGTTATAAAATTTCTTGATATTCCTTTTAAATACCAATTTTTTTTTAAAGTGCTAATCATATAGCCTTAATAAGTTCAATATGTAAGCATTTTTTCATTTATTAATAAAATGGATGCCATTTTTAAATTTAAAATAACTCAAATAGATTAATTATTAATTCTATTGTATTTTTCCAATCTTTTTAAGGAAATTTTTTAAATTATTAAGTCCTTTTGCTTCCTCATACTTTGTAAATATGAATCGGCTTCTTTCTTTTATAAGTTTTGAAATGTTGGATTATGATTGCTAGATTGGGATAGGTTTAACTATTTAATTGATATTTCAATTTAAATAGTAAATTATTTTTCAAATATACATAAATGTGTGAGACAGAGAGTAAGGAGCATCATTTATGAGTTGGTCAGTTTACTTCATTCAATTTCTAGTTCGAATTTTCATTTATTTAGATTTATGAGCCTGAATAATGGTTTCGATTGATAGATTTATTTGCTTGATATTTTTTGCATTGAATCCAAAAAATAACAATAAACCTCAGAATACCTAGACCTAAATATAAAATACAAAATAATCATTCATAGAATTAATATTTGGATACTCTAGTTGACTTGATACATTTTTGAGTATTTTGGGAAAAGAAACGTATGATTTTATATAAATAATCCTGAATGACAACATCTAAAAGCGCTTTTTGTTCTTAATATTGATTAGATATTGAAACTAACATGACTTTTTTACTACTGAAATAAAATATGAAAGACATTTTATAATCCTAAAATTCATCAATCCCTCTTTAGGGTTTATTTTGCTACCCTTATGGAATATATGTGTACCCTGTTCCTCCACCTTACATTTAAGCTTGTTAACTGTTTTAGGAAGCTGGAGAACAAATAATAAAGCAAGAAGTTAAAGAAGAGTACGAATCGGAATCAATTTAGGAAGTTAGGAAGAAAAAGATTGTTAAGTTCAGTCCTTATATATATCCTGGTGAAACAAAAAACTATTATAAGAATATAGGGAAGAAATTATCATCATTCATTATTAATAGTTTTGATTAGCAGATAGTAAAATAGGACCCATTTATAATCTAATTTGTAAAAATCCAAAGCCAAAATTACAACCGGATGCATTTTTAGAAATTATTCAAATCAAAGCTGGCTAGGAGGATTGCTAGAAAATTTTTTGGAAATTTTTTGTGGTGTTCCAGATTCATTCAACAAAATAAAACTGATATTGATTTATACTTAAGACATAATTAACTTATGTATCAAAGAAAGAAAAAATGTTAAAGCTCATGCCGAAAAATGATTAATAAATAAAATTAATGAATTTATAAAGTGCATATTATTAAACAATTGCAATATGTAATATAATGTAAAATTAATCAACAAATATTTAAAATTTATTGTAATAAATGAAGCTATAGGACTTTAAAATTATGAAATGGTTTTATACTAGAATTATAGAATATTGTCCTTTAAAATTGATTTAGTATTTTAAGTTTAACAATTTTTAAATCAAGATATTTTTCAAAAATATTTGAAATGTAATTAATTTAAAATGATAAAAATAACATATTAAAGTGAATCATTATTCCTAAAGATATATAATATCTAAGAAGTATATTTATTCCTTATCACATATGATTAATTTGTTCAAGTTTTGATATAAAATCAAATTATTTAAATCTTGAGTGTTTTTTAAGTGTATTTACTTTTATTTACAAGTGGCAATATTTACTAGTATAATCAAGCCATCATCTTATAAAATCAAATGGTCAGTGAGAAATATTAATTATTTAAAATCATCACTTATCTCGTACTTCCTAATTAGTTTTTGCTTTGGTAAATTATACAAAAAGCATTTTTAAGATTTGGCAATCAAAGCCATTATGCCATTTTTTTCAAGTATGGCCTTACGAAAGTTACCTGATCTTAACTAGAAACTTTTTATCAGTTTTTCAGTATTTACATCAAGTAGCTGTACTTTACTTAAATTATCAATAATAATTAATCTGTTCTAATTCTACATCAACTTACAATAAAGTGCCCTGTACTTACATCTTGTTAAAATAGTCTTTGGTTTTTAATGAGCAAAGTCAAAAATTTTGATTGTTGTATCTATGCTTAAACTAATTAACATTTAAGAATTCTGTAAAAACTCTAGCATTTCAACTTACATCAAATGATAATTTATATAAGTTTCCGAAAGTAATTTCTTCTCTAAATCGAATTTTAGTAGAACAAAAGTAACTTGCCCCTTTATTATAGCTTATGCACTCACACAACAAATTGAATTATCTGACGATACACAAATTTTAGGATGACTTAAGTTCATTTCATCTAATTTTGCTATAATGTTTTTTTTCCCTGTTGATATTTCATAGGTCATTAATAGATCAGCTGAGACAATGTAAAATAGTTTCTCATCTTATGACAAACAATAGTCAAAACCAGAGTTTGGAATGGCCAGAGTTGCTTTTAAATTGTGTTAATTCATTAAATTTAATAAATAAAATAATTAATGCATAAATATTTTTATTTTTACTATTCTATGAGTTAAATAAATTTATGGAACAATTTTTAGACATATCATAAATCATCTTAATTGTTTATATTATTTACGTAGTCACAATATAAAGAACCAATTAATTTTGGTTTTTTCACCTTCTATTCGATTATTTCGTCTATATTTTCAACTTTTTAGTTGAGTTCTAAAGATGAATGAATTTTTTTTGACTGTAGTTCAGGTAATTCTTGCTCTAAAGTCTTAATAAACTCTCTGATATTTGATTTTATATATCCAATCACATTAAGCTTATTGTAAAGCTTTAAGAAAGCTTCATCATTGCAAATATATGATCTTCTGGCAAGTTGTCGTTTAACATGATTAGTATTCTTATTATTATACAAGAATTGAATTAAAGAGATTGTGAATTTGGAAATTATCTTGATTCTCTAATCTCCCACTCTTCTATCTTGAAGTCTTTATTCGGTACTCTACATTAAAAAAACGTATAATTACCTTATGAACAATATGAAAGTCTGATAAACCTATCAAATAATCCAAGCAAAATATTACTATGATCTATTGTTGTTGTTAAGAATATTAATCATATATCTCAAATTAAGCAATGTAATCTTCCTCATTTAATGAATCCAAAAAGTGTTTTATATTGGCTCGTATTTGCAATATTGGGGATTATTCTTTCAATTTTATGTTCCAATAATTCTTCTCTAAATAGCTAATAATATAATTGATTGTAGAAATAATTAATTTCTTGTCTGGGATATCTTTATGAGTTAAGGCATGTCTCATTTCAGATAAAATATCGGAGCTACAGATAATTATGGAAAATACAATTCTAATCCTAAATTTTCTTATTTCAATATCTGATTTACAGACTTATTTTTATCTTTAGATTATGTTGTATACATATCTGCCAATTAACTTATAAATCTAATTATTTCTAATGAGCCTGCTTTTAATAATATTTATCTCTATGATTCATTTTCATTTTCTTTAAGCAATTATTACTTAATTCTTAATAAGGATGCTGTCATTTCTATTGGCATAGGAGTTAATGAGGAATGCTTCAAAACTTGAGGCATATCTGCTGTTTCATTAATTTCCTCGTAAGCTTACTTTAGAATAATATTATTCACACAACTTTAAAATTAAAGCATATTATTTAATATAATAATAATGAATATTTTTGAAATAATGGTTTGATTAAGGTTGATTATATATATAATTTGTTTGAGGATGAATAATTATGTTAATACTTTATGAATTGATATTAACTATTTTAATAATTGTTAGCAACGCCTCAAAATTGTGAATAATGGTAGCAATAATATTAGTTTTTTTATTTTTTCAGATATTTAATTGTATAATGATCTAATTTTTACTTCTCCACATTATAGCGATTAAAGGACAAAAATTATTAAAAACACTTGAACTGTATGGAAATAATGAAATATCAGGGATAATCAAGGTAGAAAAGAATGATGAGAATTTATTAATAGCATTTTATTTTGAGAATGTGAATTACCCTATCGCACTTGTGTCTAGGGAAGAAATTCATGATACGGACTTTAATACAACGGTAAAGCCAATATTTATTGAAAGCCAAAAGGTTATGTTTTTCGATTATGAATCAATTTAAATCCATTATCACACCCATTTGATTGAACTGAATTATATGGATAACATATACTATTATGCCAGAGATAGATTTGGGCCATTTAAACTAAAAATAGAAGTTTATTCAAAACCTCGTTCTACATGCACTAACAACTGTTAGGGATTTATCATCAGTAAAACGATGCAAAATTCTAAGTGTAATCAAAATTGCGAATGCGAAACAGGATACTTTGGATCATATTGCCAATTCGAGTTACTCAGAATAGATTAAGATGTAAATTATAAGATTCATTTATCACCTCATAAAGCTGTGTATTTGTCATTTTAATTTGATAAAGAGGCTATTTTAATTGCTGATGATGTCATTGATCCAATTAGTAAATAATCATTCAATTTTTGTAGCTGCTAGCTTTGGACTCTTGGGATACAAAGGTTTTGAGATTCCCGATCAAACCTCCTACACTGCTATCCTCCATAGTTAATTGAGTCTCACTAAATTGATTCAGAATTTCAAAATAAAGTTTAAAGATGCAAACACTTTGATTGTAGGATTGCAAAGTCAAACAGATTAGACAATAAATATAATAATGAAGCCAGAACAAACTGCTACAATATTGAGTGGCAATTGTATGTTTTTAGCATTTGCCTCCTTTAATATCATTATGATTATTCTTTGTTTTGGAGTCACAAATTTATGTAAACAGAAAGAAATTATAGTGAAAAAGAGGAGAAGAATTAAGGTTCGACCTCCCAAAATAGAAAATAACCCTAAGAACTTTTCTAGCTAGTTTTTCAAGAAATATTTCGAAAGTTATGATTATGAAGATTTCGTCTAAATAAACCCTTCGTACAGTTAAACAACTCAATGTGTAGTCTGTATGGATGATTTAAATCTCAAGGAAATTAGTATAACACCCTGTGGTCATGTATTTCACCATCAATGCTTAATGAAATGGCTAATGAAAATTCTTAATTGCCCTTCCTGTAGATTTCAGATAATCTATTAATAAGTGATAGATGGTGGCTGGTTGGGTAGTAAACTCTCATCAAATTCCCTTTCTCAATTATAAAATTCTAAATCTCAACCCACTATTCAAGGAAGCAGCTTTTTGATTGAGAACACTGAAAATGCTGACATTGTTCAAATGATGGAAAAAGTAGATGAAAATTGAAAAAACCTTTAGATTCTGAAAAATATTTATTATTTTAATTTCAAATAGAATGAAAATATAATAATTAGTAATTGTTCTATTCATAAATATAATATCATCTCTATTGTAAACAATTCGGACATGATTTTGATTCAACACATTCTCTATGATATACTTTTAAACAAGTGTCACAATAAGTGACATTCTTGATATCAAATGCATGAATTGGCACCATATGCTTACAAATAATGCAAATGTGTCCCCTTTTTTGGCAACTCTTACAAACATCAATATGTTTAAACAGTATAATATAATATCCTTAAATGACCTTAGTCAGACTTCCATTGTATATCTCATATAGGTCCTTTAAACTGAAGCAATTTCTTTTTAAGCAAAGGTTCATTCTTTAATCTAATAAGGTTTGTACTAATTTAGGATCGCAGATCATGTCATACAACAAATGAATTTATCTTTTGAGCACGAGAAATTCAAATAGAGTTTTGTTAGCCTGCAATAATTTAGAATCTGTAGTAATTTCTAAAATTGGCAAGGCATATAATTTATCTATTTCGGATTAAGCAAGTTTAGAAACCTTATAGTGTCTTAGATCAAAATTATCCAAGGCCTTCCAGGGAATAGGCATTCGAACTACAGACATGCAGTCGTTACAAAAGTAGCGGCCATGAAAGAAGCACTAATCGCAATTAGCACCTATTGTAAGGAAGCCATTTGATATCTCTTTTTAACATTACCAACATTTAAAATTCTGATCTTTCAATTCTTATTGTGGAGGAGGCTATAGAAATCTGTTGATATTGGGAGTTTCAATAATTTCCTTGTAGATCTATTGGGTTATTTAAATGAACAACCTCTTCATAGAGAATTTGGGAAGGCTTCTTTCCTTTATATTTAGTGTAAAGGTGAGGGGGAAGTTTGGTAAATTATTCGATGGGCTCGTGATGCAGCTAATCTTGTGATGCACTAAACAAACTAAGCAAGTTGTTGGGTTTGTTGAAGGTAACTTGGTTTTAGTTAATCCAAGACATTAAAAAAATAATAATTAAGAATTAATGTATGAGGAAGCTGACGGAGACTATGTTGAATAGACACCTTCAGATGATGGGCTGGAGGATGTGGAAGTCATTGTGAACAAGGAAAAGCAATATCAACAGGAATTGCTGCAAGTGCTAAAGTAGAAGGAGGGCGAACATAAGGAATTACGACAGGAATTAGGAGATATCAAGAGCAAAATATAGCAAATCTAATTAAAGTGTATTAGAGAGTGATTGATAAATAGAATACCAGGAGGAAAGTCCAATGGTTGATCCTTATCTGAGGGAGTACCTGTAGGAATTGGGCGAATAACAATTATTCGATTTGGAGTCTTAGAGACAGGAATTAAAGGGGGAGAAGCAAGGCAAAATTGAATAGTTGAGATAATTACAATAGGCTAAGAATTAAATAAAATTATTCTTTACATAAACTGAGATTTCAAGTCATTTACAAATTTCTTACAAAAATATGTTAGAGAATCTAAATTAAGAGTTGTTCTAATACATGTAAGAAAGAGCAGACTTGGAAGACGAATAATTTGAGTTTGACAAACGACTCAAGTCTCTTAGGTCCTAAATTAGAGTATGATATGTAAATTCTATAAGTTTAGGAAGTAACAGAGAAGAATCAAAAGATTATTCAATAGATAGAGAATAGCAAATAAATTGAATGAATTCTTGTATTTTTACATTTATTTTTATAAAGTCATTGAGTTCTTTCAATCTTCTACTTCACTCTAGGGAATCGTTCTAGTTGTTTCTCGAACATTTGACTTATCACTTAATCCAGAGGAACCTCCTTTCCTCCTAAAGTGCTTTTGTTTCCAGGTGACAATACCGAATTTGTCAATTTTTTGATGTAATCGTCATTCTCTTCTCTTTTCGAAAGGTAAAGAAGACCCTTTTTGCTTGGTCCCTCAGTCTTTTAAGGAGGCTCAAAGTTATAGGTTTTTCTCAGGAACTCCCCAAACTCTTTTTCATTTTTCTACATTATTTAAAGATCTACCTAACCATTCTTTTAAGCATATAAGAAATATAAGAAATTGCCTTTCTCGAAATTGCTCATTTATCTTTACATTTTCTTTTCTTATTTTTTTGGAGGAATGGAAGTTTCAGATTATTGTCTCGTTTACAATTTCATCTGTTTTGGCTTGTTTTGGACTGCAGGTAAAGGATGTATTTATTAGGATTACCTATCCATAACACTTTTTTTCAAGGTTAACCTGAGCAACTGAGCTTATTTTGAGTGAATGATAACACCTTCATCGATGATTTATTGAAATTAAAGTGATTATATATTTTTCATATTTTTGAAACAAAATCACCAATTTCATTAACAGCATTTCTCAATTAAATCAATTGCGAATTCAAATCAGTTATGTTCTACTCCATCTCTGTTATTTTGTAATCATTTTATAATAATGTCTTAATATGTTGAAATATTCTCATCACATCTACATCCAATTCACTATACTATGTAAAATACAGAATAATTACATGCTATTGCATTTCACCCACACTATTATTATTGGCTCTTAAAAGCTGATTATTCTCATTAACTATTGCAGCAATTTAATTAATTCTTTCTTCGCATTCCTCTCTAGTGACTCCATGCTTATGATTAAAAAGTTCAATCTACTCGTTTACTCCTCCAAATTATTGATTAATTTCTTCCATTTTCTCTTGCATAACCATAAACTTTGATTGAACTTCCTTGTTTAGACTTTTATATAAATTATCTTCAATATTCTTAATGCCTGCTAGGTTTTCCTTTGAAATTCTTTTTTCCAATTTCTCCAGCTACCCTTTATCCAAGGTCACCTATTAAATTATTTGAGATTAATCCTATTATTTGTATTGTTGTTGATCGTACAACTCATCTAAATATCCTTTTTGATCTAAAAGAGCCTTTTCGAGATTCTCTATTTTCAACAAAACCCTTTAATTATCCATGTCCATTTTAGTCATCTTTTACCACAACTTATCAATAACCTATTGGAATCTGTCAATTTTCACAAATTTACTCAATTCATCCTACAATTACAAACACAAATCACAGGACTTCTGATTATTCGTTTCTTCTTGAAATTCCATAGTCGAAGGACCCTTTTCCTAAAAGTTTTATTTCATTATGAAATCAATGATATTCAACTATCTTCCTTGGTTTCTACAAGAATTAGCAGATTAAAAAGCTCTTTCGTAAGAGTTTTTTCTACTCATTAATTTTAATGTTATAAGTTGAAAGAATATTAAGGCCAAGAAAATCAATTTCAAAAAGCTTAATCTTGTAATAACAAGAGCCTTTGGAATAAGATAACACTGGGAAAGCCAAAGAGCACTTTAATCACATAAGATAAAAGCTCAAAGTAATCCATCAAGCAGGGTCACCTAGTCCATCTCCTAAGGAAGAGAATAAGAAATAGTAACCCAGCAGAAGAGACAAGAAAGGTAAGAAATTGAAATAATAAAAACCTCTTTATTAATTGGATGTTTCAGATATTAATTCTTCAATTACAGATGAATCTTTTGATGATGATGCCAAAAACTAGTTCTTGATTGCGAAAGAAAATTTAAAAAAATTAAGTAAACAATCCAATCAAAATAAAAATGCATCATCCTTCATTAATTCTCCTCTATAACAATAATAAGGGAAGAATGATTCCTTGCCAATTGAATCTCAGTAAGGAATAGAAAATCAATTTGATTAAGAAAAAATCAATATTAATTTTGTGAAATCTTTAGAACACAATATTGATTCCAAAAATATTCAAGAGAGTTATGAAGATGGATATTTAAATATTCATATTTTAAGTGATGACTTGTAAACCTTTTTGAGATATGAACATGAAGTTCAGGAGATGATCCACAGATCTCAGTAATTTGTCAATAATAAACAAATGCATCAAGGATTATAAGATGAAATAGAGAATTATGAATTCTGTTTGAATAGATAGAAATTAGAAAGAGAATAGAAGCAAAAAGAATTTGTTCAGAAAATAATACTACAAGAATAACAGAAGTAAAACGTATTACAAAGAGCCAAAACCAAAAAAATTGATGATATAGCTAATAAATTTATAGACCATCGCCACATTGATTCCAAAAATGATCCATTAAATTAAGCTCATCTAAGCAGAAGAAAAAAAGAAGAGCAGTAATGATACAATTGATAATAATATATATGTCAATCAATTCTTAAATCTTTTACAGGAATTAAGCTATCATCAAATTTCTAAACACTCCTTTTCATTGAGATACTCTTCTCTCTGCTCATTTCTCTACTGTTACTTTTCTGACCTTTTTTCAATTTTGATTTCGGGAAATTAATTTATATAAGTTATTGATCCACCATTGAAAGTTGAAAAGTTTGATCAGGTGAAGTCAACGCAATTACATGACTTGCACCAAGGGAAATTTATAATAGTTTTTCATTTTTAAAGATTGCTGTTACCTAATTCATAACAATATACTAGTACCTCTTTTGGCTAATATTGACTATTTTCATTTCTAGTTCCTAACACATAACTCTAACCATTCCCCCAAGAAAATATTTACTTCTATTGAGAAATAGCATAATTATAATGCATCGAAGCAAAAATAGATTGCATCTTTGGTATATTACCAATCATCTAAGGAGTAGTAATGAATTCATATCCAATAACCTTCTAAGATTTTTAGACTTCAAATAAATCTCCTTATTTGTTCTTTTTACTTGTTTTTTTTCTATTCACCTGCTATTACTAATACAGTTCTTCCTCTAATACTCTTTGCTTCTCTGCCTCAATCCTTAAATTTTCATTCAATTACTCTCCTAAACCTAATTATCCATCATCATTTCTTCCAAAAGAGTAAACATTTCCTTTAAAATCTAATGCGATCGTATGATGTTCTCCACCAACCATATCCACAATATCCATATTCTCAAAATACTCGATTAAACAAGGGAGTTATTAATTTTCTTGATTCCCTATACCCAATTGCCCATAATTGTTAAGTCCCCATCCATATATACCTGGCTTGTTATCCTTTAACAATACCTTTACAAAAGCATGTGAAGCCCCTGTAAATATATCTATTATTGGTCTCTTCATCTTTATAGGCTGAGGATTTAAATTTTAAATCACAGATCTCCTGGTCTCACTTTTCCTTCCTATTACTAAGGTTTCCGCATCTCCCCAAGTAAGTAACTAGTTTATTCATTCTAATTACTTACTTTAAAATTATCTAGCAATACCATAGTATGGTTCTAACCGCATAGTATTTTCTTGATTCCATTTGTAATATTATCCACTTTTTTAGGTCTCGATACTGCATCACCTATTGGACCATGAGTATTCGCATAAAATCCCCAGAAGTACACTAAACCATAGGAATTGGCTGCTATCGAATGAGAACTTCCACAAGCTATCATATCCACAGGAGGTAAATCTGTGATTAAGTCAGGTAACCTTGCATCCTGGCCTTCCACTTAGGGTCTTCCCAAAACTCCTTTATCGTCACAGCCAAACGAATACACCTGAATGAATAATCTAAGTAATTACTTTTCCTTGTGATGTTAAAATTAGAGCGTGCATCCCTCCACATGCTACTTATACTATAGATAAATTGCTCAATTCTTTTAAGTGATATGGTCTCTTAACCTCATATAATTCTTCGTCATCTTCGTCTTTTGCCAAAAATTGATCGCATTCAGAACTGCCCCAGGCATACAGTTTTTGTTCACTCAATTATTCACTTTACATTAATACTTAATTTTAATTTTCAATTATAATGTATATACTATTTAAATGCATATCAATAAAAAGAAAGCACTAGTTTAACATCGAAATACCGTATAACCTATGATTCAATCATATTCTAATTCGATTTAATGATAATGTTGTTTAACTTGGAAATATTATTTTCAATTTATATTTATAAATTTATAAACTGTCAGTTGTTAAAAAGAATTTTAATAATAAATTAAAGACCAATTTTTTAAATGATTATTGCTTTTGGTAGGTTAAGACTTAGAATTTAGCTGTATATTTCTGGGAAGCATTCTGAATGTAATACATTGATAAACGAAAACATTGAAGTACTATCTTAAAAACATTAAATAAAATATAGACTGAAATTATAATTACTTAAGCTTAATAATTTGTTGGAATATTTTTGATAATCTTATTATTAATTCTGGTTAATATGATTTAATCTTTATTATTTCTATCTTATCTTAAAACAAAATCACTACCGAAAAAGAAATCTTACATTATTAATATTAAAGGAAGGTAGATAGTACTGTAATTCTATAAAATCACTTAATTAAAAATGTTTATTTATCCTAATCAAATGACTCTAACATTAAATCTATAAATTTTTTGTCTAAATTCAAATTGTGAGCTAAAGGTATGCATTGATTCCATTTATGGGTTTGACTTGTCAACTCCATCAATAATTCAGGCCCCTCACAACTTAATTCACAATTTTATAAATAGGAGAGAATCAACTTATAAATGAATATCCATCTACTTAAAATCATAGGTTTCATAACTAAATTCTAATTGGATTAATTTCTTACATAAGATCTTATTGGTATTACCATGGCTAACATTGACAAAAACCAAGGTATGCAAAAATTTTCAAATTAAACATTGTTTTTCAGAAACAAATCATAGAGTTTTCTTTGTTGGCTCATACATAACAATTACACTATTTATATGTGCTTTGATAACCCAGGAAGGTCTATCTTATGATTATAGACTACTCTCCAAATAAATGTCTCTCAACTATAATCGCTCATATAATGTCACATAATTCCAGAAGGCTACGCATTCTTCGCTATGATATAGGAGAGCGCCTGCCAAGAAATTCATTCCCTGCACATATCCAACACCCATGTCATAAATTGCAATAGTATAGAGTAATCTTTGCAAAGCCTCCTTTCCTTGCTTTTATTAAAAGAATGGTTCATTCGGAAATGTTCTCATCAAGTCCCTTTCTATTTACTTACGTTGTTTAGTTATCCATTACTATTAATCGGCAATCTCTATTTTACATAATTATTAGTAATCGTTTCGCATATTATCTAATTTTTTAATGTCATAATGGATCTTCAGCCATTCCAAAGATTGAGAACAGTTTTCAAAGTCCTTCTTGAGATTCTCATCGCATTTGCATTATGTTCGATTCATTATTATAATTCAAATTAAATAGTTATTATTCATGTGTTATTTTCATTTTTAGGTTTATTGCTTTTCGGCTGAGGAATTGGGAAAAATTGTCTACTTAGAACTGAATATCGAGAGTATAATGGCTCCTCGCTTATCATTATGTCTGTGATTAATTTCAACGGAGTGATAGGCAAATCTTTAAGCTGAGCATTAACTTTAGTCTTTGATCGAGTAATGAATTTTGGGTACTGGTGTAGAAATGAATTATGTACATCCTTTGGAGTCAATAAATACTTCTTCTTATCGTTGTTTTCTATCTAATTCAACTCTTCAGTTCTAAAATGAATGGCATTTCCCTCTAAAATAATGAAAAATAGCTCATTTCATACATAAATCATTGAATGCCATATAAATCTACACACCACACAAAGAAGCCAACTCGTATGCCTTCTTCAGCAATCCTATCTTTCTTTTATGAAAAGTAATCTATTCTACGTTTAAGAACTTACATTTCTTTATTGTCTGTCTTCAATTTTAGCTATTGGAATTTTCTTTCTGCCCATTATAATTATAAATAAATATATTATTAAACCAGTATTAATCTAATGTTATTTCCTACAGATGGGATTTATTATAACTCTTTAGTTCAATACATGAAATATTTACTAAAGGTGAAGGCCAATTCCAAATGATTATGATTTATTAATAACTTATATATACATATATTTACTAATGAAAATATTATACAATATTTCAATTTAGATAAAATTATTTAACCTATTTACTTGATTTCACTAATTTTGATAACACTTTTGTGGCAACGACTATCAAAACTGTAGTTACTATAAGGGCATTGTAGTTGAAATTATCCAACAACATATCATAAGTCTAAAAATTACAATTATATCATACTTTGTCTGGAGCTATTCTTGTAAAGAAAATATCAGAACCATATACCAATAATAATGCTGACGATTCTAAATTTGTGGATTCAATTGAAAATTTCTCAATATCAAACTAAAATTAATAGTAAAAATACTGTTTAATGATATGAAAGCATATTTAAGAAGTTGATGGGTAATTAATATTAATAGGGAGGAAGTTCTGCTGATTACAATGAGTATTCTAAAATTGGTTGATCTGCCTTTTCCCTTCTTCTGGTAGAAACTAAATTTCTGTCCAAAGAATGCAATTATCCAGAAGTAGTTATGATCAATAAATTTTTTTTTGTTAATGATTTCTGAGTTCTTGACATTCCAAGATATTTGATTCCTAAAGGATATCCATAAACTTATTATAAGAAAAATGCTTCAAAGTCAGCTTTATAATAGTTTGTTATAATTGGTGTTTTGGTGAAATAATAGTTTTCCAACATTTTAATAAATGAAACTTCAATTTTTGCATGATAGATCTCAACAGTCCAGATTTCAAACATCATTTATGCTTTGTTATAATAAGTAACAAAAACTTGGTGTTCATCAAATACTAAATTGATTGGTTAATTAAAATCAGCCTCACTTTAAACACTTTAATATATTATTTTGCCTGACTTGGCATTGATAATAAGCAATTTAAGTTTGTCACCATCTGAGGTTAATATTGCAAAGTTAGAGTGATCAATCAATTTATATATGACTTTTCTATCATCCCAAATAGCAACCCTTGGGTTTTCTTCTCCTACATGATAAGAGGATCTGATTATTAAAATTTCATCTTTCATATTAATTGTCCATAAATTGACTAATTCATTATTGAATAGTTTATATCCTCTTAAGACACCATTGTCATTTCTATACAAGATAATCTCTTTTGTGTTAATGGAATCATTTTTGGGATATGTGAATATATTGTTTTCTTCATCTATTAGAATAACAATGTTGTGATGTTATCCAGGACCACCTTCAACTCTGTATGGAAGTGTCCATACTATGTTCTTTGAGGATTGTGAGGCCACTTATTAGATTATTCCATGTTATAAGTCTAATATAAATGTATTTAATCTTGATTTCTCTTTTGAATAGTAAAATAACACATGAGTTGGTTGTGCATCATTGTTATCGAAGTGAGTGATTAAATTGGAACTATATTATAATAAAATATATTACTCTATCTAATGGTGTGCAACCAATCTAAAGCTGTTATCTTAGTTATTTATTTGTAATTTAATTAGCAAAGATAATTCTTAAGTATCATAGCATAATAAGGTTCCATAAGTAGTCAAGAAGTATACCTTCTATTTCAATCCATATGTTTATTCCATTTCTCTTGTTTATACTTTTTCCTTGCCCAAATTATCAATAAAGTGAGTTACAACTTCTTATAAATCTTTTACTTCATTCAAAACTCTTGAGATAACATTTTATATTAAATATAAAGGATTGCTAGTTCCGTGTTTCTCAAGTGATTCATAATATGAGTTTTTATGTGTCTATTCTTAATTCTCATATTTTTCATAAAAAACTGTGTCAATACTAATTAAGGATTACTCAGTAGTCCATCTAATTCCTTTATTATCAACTAAAACTGTTTATAAATCCTAATACTAAATTAAGAATTATCTTTTATTTTAATCTATCAAAAAAGCATTCAATATAAGTGAATTTGTTTATAATTCAATTACTTCTGAATGAGTTTATTTTGTATCTCTGTCATATGAAACAATCTTCAATTCATTATTTTTCTATTTTAAGATATAGTAATATTTTTGATTCTCAAGATTCTATATAACAAATTCATCTTAACTTAATTCATATTCAACTTATCCATCCAAATTCACTATTTGTTTCTTTGATTTTTCAGTAATTACCAAGGTTTATGAAAAACCAACGAATTTATCTACCTTCTTTATAATTTCAAAGTTTAAAAGCTTTGCTGATTTTTCTTTTAGTTGATATGCAAACTTAGCATCTTAATAAATGAGGGTGTTGCCAAATTCATGAATTTTACCATTATTCAAACTTTCTACACAGTAGCTTTATGTTATTGATTCTCTGATTTGATAAATGCAAATTTCATTTTACTTTTGTAAAAGGACCACTGGAACATCAAAAATATATCCTGCATGTATTATTTAGTGATCAACCCTAAATCATCTCATAGATAAATACTTCTCATTGAATTTGTTATTAAAGGTAGAGAAGATAGTTTATCCATAAATAATTATAAATTCTCCATTTAATCCTATTAAGCAATGGTCAATATTGCCACTAATTTCTTATTCGGCTAACACTGAATATCCTTCATTAAATAATTGTATTATCTATTAGTTTGGTTCATAGGTGACATAATTATAAGAATCACACATAGTATAAGTGTTTCTTGATTTGACTTAGCCTAAATTTATGAGAATTCAGAAAACCTGTAGATTTATCAATAATTCCATTTTGATTGTTCGTGTTTTAGTAAAATATTGTTTAATCTTAGACTTGAATGTATTTTAACTCACCAAAGAGTCTCTTATTCCAATCGTGTACTCCTGCTTGTTATTATTGTAAAGCAAGAACATTATTAAAAATAATTCCAGCCACACTCACAATTAATAATAACATTTATTTAATTTAATGTATATTTATGCAAAATATTAAAATTTTATCTAACAGTAATACAGACACTTGAAATATCATTTTAACTCAACAAGTTGATATGGTTCATTATTTTAGAAGGTTTTTTCTTTTTGTTTAGATTCAAACTTTATTTGTTAGCAAGATACTTTTTTTTCAATTTAATTTTGTTCAGGGTTATTCTATAAAATATCATTATTGTTTTTGATAATATTGTTTTGCATTTTATTCTTTTTAAATATGTCTAGTACTTATTTGAATTTTTTCTTATCCTTTTCTGATTAGCCAAGTTTTGTTATTTGCTTTCCCTTTTCAATTGTTTTGTAATTCATATGTTTTTATTCTTATTAAACATAAATTTTATTTTAATTAGAAGAGCTTCTAAATTTAATCATTTATTTTTTAGTTATATCTTTATAAAATTAACATAACTTTTAGACTCTGGGTTGTCCAAATTTACCCTCTTCAATCTTCTTTGATTATAAACATAAATACTTTTTATATATGCGTTTTTAGTGCTTCTTTTTGCTTTTATTCTTTTGTTGAAGAGTAGCGCTTCTTGGCATCACAATAATTTTACAATTGTTTTTAAATTTAAATATATTCCCTTTGTGTATAATATTGTTTTGCAGATTCAGAATATTGTGATATAGCTTATGAGAGTTTTGGATTGGCCAGATGATTAATCTTACAACAATTAGGATGTATATTTTATTTTCTCTATTCACTTTAATGATGCCTTATTTGATGTTAAACACATCTAGATTGGGATTTTGCAATAGAATATTATTCTAAATAAGGAAATAGGAGTACTTATGGCTTAATTTGATTCACTCGTTTTATTAGTATAATTGACATAATATTGTTCCCCCTTCACTTGAGGCGTTCTTGGTTTTTTAATCCTTGTAGAATTTCTTTTGCTACAACCAAAACAGAAACATGAGCAACATTCATTCTTTTTGTTTGCCTTTTGAGATTTTTGGTCCCTATTACACTAATTTGAAGTGTTTGATCTAGATGTATGATATTTAATTTATTTGTTTTTTTCTGTCTTTTCAGTATTGTATAGTTATTTTTAATGTAAGGGATTATGAGCATTAGAGTATTTCATCCTTTTTTAATTCAAGATTTCACTAACTGATATTCACTTTTATACTACATGGAATTATTTCTTCTAACTATGGCCGAGATATTATATCAGCTACAATTTATTTTTCTTGGATTTTGTTGGAAAAATATTGGTTGATTTTCTACTATAGTCCTACGATCGTTTTTGGGCTCTTACGACCTTCAATTTTGTAATTAGATTGCATAATAATTTAATTAATAATTTTAATATCAAGAATCTTCTTCTTGTTTTAGTTTCTTCTTTTTCTCCTCTAACTTCGCCAACAAATGCCTGATCTCCTCCTCTGTGTACTCTTTTACCTATTTGTGAAGTTTCTATTTAAAAAGCACACAAATAATTAAATACTTTGTAATTCAATTATTGACTGCAACTATTACAACACTTCACTTTGACTAAGGTATTCTTTACTTCTTAATTTTCTTTATATTAGAAATTCAATTCCCAAGTGCTTAATTCTTTGTCTTTGGTGCAAACTTTGTTCCCACAAATTGTTTCTCCCTTGCCACTCAATACTTCTGGTTCAGTCCTCCATCTCATCCCAATCCTAATAATTATTATGTTTATTTACTTTCCAGTTTTATACTGTGATAAATCTATGATAGCGTATTCCTTATAGAGCTTATCATAATATTTTCTTGCGATCATCCTGCCATAGTCATCGTTTGTACTTAACTTTGGATCAATATCTTCTTCGTCATCTCTAACAAATTGATGGTATTATTTTAGAACTTCCATGTCTGATTTAGGTAATGGTTTTTAAGGTTTTTAATCTTTATTCATACTTTAAATATTATATTTTATTTTTAATAAATGTTATATATATTTTGATGATTTTGAATTAAAATACATAACTATTAAGATATTTAAAGTTTATATAAGAATAACTTCATCTTGGTTATAAAATGATAGATTCGTAGGGAATATGATTAGTTTATATTTATATGATATAATTGTAAATGATATATTATACTTAAAATATAACATAATTAATAATAAGAGTTTAATCAAAAAACATCTTCATATAGAAGAAGCATTTAGGTTTAATGTTCTTATTCATAATGATCTATTTTATTTAAGATTCGCTTTAATTTATTTTCATTGTTACGGATCTTAGATCTAATATTTATATTTATTATTACAATTTATCATTTGCTTCTTCTAAACTTAATTTAACTAATAAATCTAATCTTTCTAAATTTGATAATTAACTTTTTAATTTAGATGCTAATGTTTAATTTTTGACTTCTTTTTTTTCAAGATTATTCAAAAATTATTAAACCTTCTCGCAATTCTTTCCCTCATTCTCACCTTCTTTTAGTACCATTTTTGGTACAATCAACCCAGGCATTTGTAGAATAGTATTCCAATCAATACCATTAAAAAAAGGATGCTATTTAATTTCATCAATGTCCGAATGTCCAATCCTCTTTGTATAATCAGGTTCCATCAAACGACACATCAAATCATAAGCATTTTATGAAATGCTTTCCTCTTCTACATCACTTACATTTGGCCATTCAATTCTATAATTCAATATATTGTCAAATATCTTTTCAACAGAATCATCATTGAATGGAGGAATTCCACAAAGCATTTCATACATTATGACTCCTAAACTCCAATAATCCAAACTACTATTAGTTAGTGATTCTCCTTTCAATACTTCTGGAGCTATGTAATCAGGAGTTCCAACAATCCTTTTACTTTTACTGCTATGATCTTGTATACTGGTTTTGATGGCCTATTATGCTTGAGGTAATTTTAAATCAAAAACAGTATTGTATTGTGGGTCATTATGATCTGCAAATTCTGGTATTGTATTACTAATTTAGTCGAATTAATATTATACGATTCAATATCCTATTATCTTAACTTTAATTTTAATCTATTATTGAATCCGACTTCTGAGAGTCCGAAATCAGCCAACTTAGCATGTCCTTATTTATCCAATAGAATATTATCTGGCTTTAAATCTCTATGCACTATCTTCTTGGATCTCAAATACTCCAAGGCTAAAACCACTTCAGCTATATAATGTCTAACGTATTCCTCATCTAAAGCCTTTAAATTAGTATTCGAATTACCGTATACATCTTTAAAATGTGCGAAAAGTCTCCTCCCACCATATATTCTTATACAAAGCACAAATATTATTCATGACTAAACGAATAGTAAGCTTTCACAACAAAGTCTCCAGAGAGTATTTCAAAAATATTTCTTTCAGCTTTCAAAGTATCTAATTGCGTTTCCAATTGCTAAATAAATTGAATAAGTATTATACTTTTTAAGAGCAATCAATGATCTTCACTGCATAAAGGTCTCCTGAGGTTTTCTTTTTCACTAGGAATACCCAACCAAATGCTCCTTGTCCCAATGGTTTAACAAATTCGAAGTCCTTTAACCCTATTTCTTAAGATTGGAGTGTTTTTTCTGCATTGATACTAACTAATTCTGAATCTGAATTATATCCTCTGTCAACAGTTATCACTTCAAAATCAAATGATTGATTTGATTTCTAGGGTTGTACAGCAACACTTTATTTCATACTGTTTTTTGACATAATGTTTTTAGAATTTTCAGGATGGAATATACTTTTCTTAGGTTTCCTCATAATTCTATCGAAATCTGCTTCTATATTAATTTCATCTTGTTTCACTATATCTACATTGTTGCTTGAAGATGAACTACTAGGACTCAAATCATTTTTATCCTTTTTAGGAGGTGAAGCTGTGTTTGGTGATTCTTCTAATATCTACTCAGATTGCGATAAGCCTAAATCAATATGCAAAGCTCTTGATATTTCTTATTATTAAGGAGGTATGGGTAATTTGCGACTGCCTTTCATCATTATATTCATCATAATATTCCTTCCACTATTTTTCATACTATTTTATTAAGAATTTTTCATTTCTTAATTCGAATTTTAATTAGAGTTAGGTGTTGAATTTTTAGCTTAATTTGATTTATTTTCTTAATCAGACTCGCATTGATTGATATTCTCAAATGAATTTATAATGTTTTGATCTTTGTCTTTTTGAATTTCTTCAATAGAATCCACCTATCTCCCTAAACCTATGGAAGGAACTTTTTATTATTTTTTTAGTGGAAACTCTTAATCAGAATCGCATTGAGGCAGATCGGCAAATGAACAGATCTTTTAATTATTTGGAGACTCGTCTTATTCTGATGAAGCCATACGGCCTAATGGAGTTTAAACAGGGGATTCAATAACTGAGTCTACTGCAGTTGGAGATTGAGCCTTTCTAAATAAGGATGGCTTATTTGATGTTGGACTCATTAAAGCATCAGAGGAATTAGAAAGATTGCCAATTCTGTCTAAAATCTTAGATCCTGGATTGGATTGAAATTGCATAGGTTCATCTAAGTTTCCCTTGTTTACTTAGGTTCTCCTCATTTAATTACTGCCTAATCCTTAGGATCTTGTCATGGTCATCATAGTCAAACTATCTCTCCTTTTGATTTCATTGGCACTTCCAGTATTGTTGACATTAAATTTATCTTTACTAATAATCATTATTACAATTTACTTAATAAGTGACATGATCATCATATTGTTTTTTTTATTAACAGTGTTAACTCTAGGAGTTTGACATTCTGGATTGTCACATTCTTCTTCGTAAATGGTTTCATTTCGTTTCAATTTTTATTAGCTTGTGCCTGTTGAATTATTGAATTTCGAAAATCTAAATGAACTAGAGTTAGAATTCTTATATTTTTGTTTCAAATCTATCTCAATGTTAGGTTTGATTTTCTAACTCTCTTGGATTTGTTGAGTTTCTAAGTTTTATAAAATCTTAAAGTATTCCATCCTATCATATATACAGGATCTAGCCTTATCAATAATATCTAAGATCTCTTGATTGATATCATCAGCTTCTATGTTGCATTTGGCATCAGTCAATTCATCAAAGGTGATACGATTTACTATATTTAATGATAAGCTTACGTTTATTGTCCTCATTGTTGGCATTGCTATTAAGCACTTTTTCAGTGTAATTTACGATAATTGTCATTACGGAATTAATTAAAGCTAATTGTTTCTTTGACTTATTCTTATCTTCTTCCTCTTATTAGATTTTTTTATCTTCCAAATGGATGGTATGAGTTCTTCTTAAGGATCTTAATGGTTTCTTCTCCTCCTCTTGCTTTTTTTATTTTAATCGATTTTGTTTCTGTTCTTATAAACTTAGTTTCCCTAATTTAATTTAAACGTCATGCTTCAATTTATATGCTAGTTAAGAGGCATCGGCTAGCTATAAATTTAATTATAATAATTTTTTGCTTTGTTCAGCTTTTTTCTCACAAGTTATACAATGCGCTGTCATAATTTCTACCTCTATTAATTACTCGCAAATTCTGCACACTATTTTACTATGCTTTTCTAAATCTAATTCTTTTAATTTACTTTGCAATAATCTATTTTAATTAATTAATGATTATTTTATTATACGTTTTAGTTTCAACGAAGACGCGCTTACTTTTCAAGGCAGTGCTTTAATCTGGTTAATGCTCATCCAACCAAAATAAGAATAATTAGGCATACACTATTCGAATGACTGACAGTATTCTTTTCTAGATTCTATAATTTTTTGTTATTTCTTTTACTTTTATAACTGATTAGCTATTTTTAAGTTTCTAGAACTTCCTTTCTTAAAGCCCTTCAAATAATCTTAATTTGTCTATTTTTTTAATGTCTCCATATTTGCTATCACATATCCTAATTAATCCTGTTTGAATGAATTGAAAGTAGTAACTAAGGTTTTATGCAACTCATCCAAATAAGCTAATGAAGGTGTGCCGAACTAATATCTTAAATTAAGAAATACTTAACCAGCAATCAATAATTCGACAATAAATATTATTTAATCTATTATGAGTTCAATATCCTTTCTGCTTAACATGACACATTTTAAACGATGAACCTATTTTACAATATAATTCAATTGTGGCTTGAATATGGTGAATTCAATTTTTGTAGGTATTACCTGCAAAGAGTGGAATTATATTTTATTCATTAATTTAAAATGTATAAATCCAAACGAACCCAATATGGAGGATCAACTGCTAGTACTTTGGATCTGCTACACACCTAGGACTGTCTTTTCTGCCAATAATCTCAGAAATTTTGTTCTCTCATCACAAGAGCTCTATACATCAAATACTCAGCCAGCCAGAACTATTACTATCAAAAGGATATCAATATAATACTTTTGCAATAACGATCGAAACAATACACCACTTATAAAGAATGGACATATTACGATTCCAATGAATATTTAAAAAGATTCTACTCTACAAATGATACAAGACAAAAAACCATTGTATTAACCGAATATTATAAAGTAATTACTTTCAAAACTATACTGAATAGTTTCATCGAGATATTGCACGCCTGTTCATGTTGCCTATAGCTACTACATTATCTAAATATCATGATAAACGTCGCAGAATAGAATACATCAGAATATCTAGGATGCTAGGAGGACATGTTGAATAACCAACAGCAACATAAAATTCTATCTAAACTGTATTAATTGAATATTCACATTAACTTAGTCATTGCAAAATCTTTTGGGTTAGTTAAATTTCACTAAACAAGAATAATCTAACACATTGATCGAGATATAAAAGAATTTAAAAGAAGCCATAAACACTTCAAAAAACACTCTAAGAGAGTTCGATTCTCGTAAATACAATCTACCTCTCTAAAGAAAGGATTCTGATTACTATAATAAATCAAAATAGGATCATAAATCTGATACTAATTCTAGACTAGAATTCAAAGAAAACTTTAATGAACTTTTCTAAAGAAAAAAACCTTTAAAAAATTCAGCCATTTAAACTTAAAGAGAAGTTTCACAACCAAAGGTTTACAGCACGGAAAAAATCTGCAAATTACAGGTTCAATAGATTCCACTTACTTAAAGGAATATCAATAATACAAAATAATCTATATCTCCAAGACCTACAACTCAAAGATCTATAAAACCTTAAATTATGCAATTACTAAAGCCTTGTCAGAATAACAGCAATAAATTAAAGGCCACTAATATTATATTAGAATGTCTAATGAGAAAGTTAAACCTAGATCAAAAAACTCTCACTAAGCAAAAATCCAAGTCTCCTAATAATCCTTCAAATCAACAAGCGAAAAGAAAGAGAAGAGTAATGAGCACTAATTAAGAAACGTCGAAAATAGATTTGACTTAATTAAAATAAAAATAATCGTAGTTGTTGTAGAGTAGGTTTGATTAAAATAATATCAATAAAGGATATAAAACAGGAAGAGCCTCAGCTATGGCTTGATTAATTTAGTTATATATTTATTTCATACTATGAAAAATTAACAAATAAATATATAAGAAAATCAATAAAATACTCCTTATGCAAAGTACTGGAATTTGTCATACCTAATGTTATTTTATAGAAATACCATCTTGCTCTCCAATTATCAAGTGAATGATTAATTAATTCTTAAACGTGGACAAAAAGTTCTGCATCAGACTTTACCCTGGGATTAAATCTTGCATAAAGTTCTTTTAAGGCTTATTCCCCTTTTTAAAAACAGGGTAATGTAGTACCATGGCCTGTGTACATCATTTCTACAAGAAGCAATATTTCTTTTTAGTGTTATTAACATGCCTTGAATCCTCTAAAGATATAAAAACTATTACTTATAAAACAATTTCCTAAAATTTTCTTTAAACAAAACTCCTTTAGCCCCACCCAAAACTTAGATGTAGTCAGACAACAACTTAAATGGGACTTTTCCTTCAAATTCCATTCCTTTTCCAGGTGCATTTGATAAAAAGAATCCAAAGTCAATATGAATCAAATGTCCTTCACTATCTAATAATATATTTCCATTATGTCTATCTTTAACTTGTAAGAAATAACAAACTAACCCATATGCCACTAAAGATTAAACATAATTTTGCAATGCCTAATCTATATTATTTCGAAAGAAGCTTCTAAAAAAATCCGAGAAATTAATGAACTACTGGTATTTTTTCCTCAAATTCTTTTATAAACTATCAATGGTTGTTGCATTCTTTATCATCTCAATAATTCCACAATCTGGTCCCAAAGATAAGACTTCGTAACATCTCAATTTCAGAGGGAGCCCTGATTTTTTAAATATCTAATCAAATTGAGATATCAGTTGTAAAGCAAATTGTTCTTACTTTAAATTATCTCCTGTTTTTACAATTAGATGTGCTAATCTCCAAGATTTTAAACCTTAAAATATTGACTAAGACTTTATTCTATCCTCCTATTACTATGAACTTTCCCCAAATATAGTCCTTTTTAATTCATTATATTCATCCCTATTAAGTGTTATGCCTTTTTCAGCTTAAAGAAAACTGTTTCTATGCATTTTGCTTATAAGCAATACATCCTTTTCTTCCTTTTCAACTTACGGGATATTTGAATTTCCTTCAATACTAAATGCTTAGACATTCTCTTATAATGAGTATGTAGTGGAATATTTTGGTAATTCGTTTTAATCCTATTGTTCAACATCACTAGTTAGGGACTCATCATTTAAACAATAAAATTAAGAAGTTCCATTCAGTTGTTTCTAATCAATAGGCAATTTTGATTAATTGAATTTCAATTACATAAATTCGTTTTAAATTGATTTTTATATATCAACTGATGAATATTTCCTTTAAATTTCATCTAATTTAAGGTCTTCTTATAATAAATGGCTTTAAGTTCTTTCCTAAGGTTTTTTTTTAATATTAGACTAGATTTAAATGATTAAATTTACATTTGCAGTAATTGGAAATGATATTTACTCTTCAACAATCTATGAGTTGGCTTTCTCTTCTATTTCTGGTCTATATAGTTCTAGGACTAAACTAAAAGGGCTTCTCATTTTGGTAGAAAACACTCTGCTTTCTTTATAAACTACTTTAAGGACAGCATGGTTTCTAATTGAATTTCCAACAAAAGGCACATAAACTGCAGCAGGCAAATTTTCATTCATTTTCTGTAAACAAGAATGCAAGAACTCAGTTTTTTTCTTATGCTTTGATAAATCATCGCATATTCTCATTATATCATCCCAAAATGAAATGTTAGAGAAAAAAGCAGTATCAAAATTATTTTATCTTTTTCCAAAAATTGAATTATAATCTTGAAGATGAATTTCTTTATAGCTTTATAAAATAGCAGTTTCAACACTTTTTTAATTATCATTATTATTCCAGTCTTTGGTTCCATAAGTGGATATATTATTATTGAATTTCATAGATTCAACTCTAAGTCCTCCTTAATAAACTTGTTAAAGAGATGATTTAGTTGGAGAACTAGTTTCAACTGAAGTATTTAGATTATTTTTATTAAAGTTTATCTCTTCGAAATCTATTTGTAAAATGTGAGATGCTATTAATAAATTTCCAGCATAGTTCTGAGACATCTTGAGGAAAAAGTTATCTGTAAATCTTTTTACTATTGTAAATGTCACTGGTTCATTCTGAGTTATAATTTAAGACATGCTTTTCAGTTAGAAGAACACCTAATGTGCAAAAAAGAAATCAAGAGATGATGCTCTCAATACAAATTAGATTAGGTTATCATCACTTAAATGTTGATGAAAAACCATAAAGTTCACTATTTGTGGTATGAAGTATTCAAGATCTTTTCTTAATAAATTCGTTCCAAAGTTAGGATTTATACGGCATCTTTGAAGCATTGCAATAGCATTTGATTTGTTTTCAGCTACGTACAGTCTAATGATTACGTCTAAAATATCATCGTCTAAAATCTAAGTTTAGATCAATTAATATACATTCAAGTTGTTATTTTTGTATTTACTTAAAATTTTATTTGCTTTTTTAAAGGTTTTCGGAATTTCTCCCTTTACTTTCTTTGTATAACATAGGCAGCCTTTAGGAATATCGTCATTCATCTAAATTAAAAATTAAATAGTATATAAATTAGTTTTAAAAATGATAAGTTTTGAGAAATAATATAACAGGATAGCTTCATATTAGAAAGGAATAATTAATACTAATATGATCCTAGTATTAAGTTAAGAAGTTATTGAGAATTATTCCATATTAAATTAGAAATAAAATATTAAGTTCCATAATAATTAATTTATAGCTAATTATCTTATATTCTAGAAATTAACAAGATAATGATAAAAAAATAGCTGCATGAATAATTTAACATAATTTAAATTATTTTATAAAAAAATTTGCTAAAGATTTATATTTTAGATGATCATCATTATTTTTTCTTTCCAGCATTATGAATATTCTTTAATTTAATTATTACAGTTTAATATTTAAGGGTTAATATAAGTTTATTGTTGCATAAATCTCACTCAACCTTAATTCATATCTTCTAAATTAAGCGAATCTGATATTCTACACTCTAAGATCTTGTTGAATTTAAATATCAATTCTAGGTCTATATCTAAACAGCAAATATAAGGATAATTTTATTTATGGAACATCATTTTAAGTCTATTGTATTTAAATTTATGATTGAGTTAAAAATTGTGGAATTATCACTGAGTTTAGAATTTATAAATTATTTGTTTGAATATCATTAAGAAATTAATTGAATAATTTTTATTTTAAGCATCATTAAATAATGTAGTTTTAAATTTAGACAAGAATAATTAAAGCTAACACTTTCCTTTCATCTCTCTTAGTCTACTATTAATACAATCTTGTAAATTAACGTTATAATGAAAGGTATTTGATTTAAATTGTCATCAAAATAAAACAAATTTGAAGTGTTAACTAACAAAATCTGTTTATTCAATAATAATTTTTTTATTTTATTAACAATTCTCTATGTAAATGAAAATTATGAAAAATTTAAGTATAGAAACTGATAAAAGCGATAAAAGTCCACAAATAATGAGAAGAAATAACGAACACTTTGTTTCGTATAGTGTAGATGACAAGTACACTTGCTAATGCAATTTATGCATATCATCGTTGAAGAAAAAGTAACGCAATACAATAATGCAGAATACCCAAACCATTAGATGAACCATAATAAGTTAAAGGGAAGTAAATGTCAAATGATAGAGACTTTATTTTTATTGTGACTCGTTTGGTTTAAGAATCCTTTGGCAGAACTTTAAACATTTAGATTTAAGACACTGTGTATTTTGAGAAAGGAGAGCCTTAATCTATTTTATAGAGTATCAAAGATGGTATAGATAGGCCATACTAATTGAGAGTTCAATAATGGAAAGGATCATTATAAAAATTAATGCAATACTTGAATAACAGAAGGAAGAAAATTGCAAATACTAATATGTAATTAGATTTGATCCAACTGAATGAAAAATAATAGTCAGCTTTGAGTATGTAATGATTATATATTAAAGGTAATGTAAATAAAGAATAAATAAATAATATTAGTGAAAAAAGTAAGGAAGCTGTTTTAGTAAAGTTTGACGATGATTCAGCACAAATAATGACTGAATCTGAGTTTTTTTTATTGATGTCTAAAAGAAAGGGGGACAAATTTTGGCACAAAATATTTTATATATAAAATTATATCAAATAGAGAGCATTTTTAACTCATAGAATTCACTTCAATAGAAAAAGAGATGTGAATCATAAATTATTTGATAGAAGTGCAATGGAGACTCGCATTATCAGAGGTGAAGTTATCTCAGCATCAACAGAGTATATTAGTCAGACAATTGAAGATGAATTCCTTAGGTAATTAAAAGAAAGAAGTACCTTTGAATACCTAAGATATATTACCTTTAAAATCGTTTAGTTTTTAGATGTAATTATCCTTATTTTACATAGATACTTGATGACACAATCATTAATGATGGTATTTTTGAATGGAATTAAGATGACAGAGGGGATTTTCAATTTTTCAATGCATTCTAATTGAGTTATGAAAAAAGAGCCAAGGAGGAGAGATTAGTTTTACTCAAACCACATGGCTCTAGTAATAATAATAATGGAATCGATACTGATAGTGCTGAGGAAGAAAAGGAAATAGATCCAAGAAAAATGTTCAATAGAAAATACTAATTAAGACAAATGGCTAGAAATGCCCAAAATAAATTAAAATTGAAATAATAACATTTATTATATAAAGATACTCCAAAAGTAAGTTAATGGCAGACCTATATGCAAGATGATTACCTGGCTTTATTAAAATCTGTTGGCATTGATAAAAATTAATTTAATTTGAAAGAGGACAATTAATCAGAATTGACCTTCAAATAACTCCATCCTGAAATCTAAATAGACTTTTAAAAGATTATGAAAGATCAATCATTGTTCAATAAACTAAAGAGTAAAGTTTATATTAAATACATATTTTAGAATAACTCTTTACTGACAATAATAAATCTAAGCCTATTTCACAATCAAAAATGTTAAACAGTTTCTTTTTAACTCCAGAAAAAAAAAAGCAAAGGTCTCGAACAGTCTCTAAATAACCTAGATAGGATCTAATTTCAACCTTAAACCAATCTTCAATCAAGAAAAGCATTAGGTCAGTTGATCGAACTGTGAGCGAATTTAGATATGATTTTAGCAGAAACGGAAAAAGATCAGCAAAAACACTTAATAAAATACTTGGTTTGGCAAATAGCTGATATTATATAATGCTATTTAAGCATGATTTTATTTTATAATAATTTTATGTATATATAGTTATTAATGAAATCTAATTTCCATAAACATTATATATGACATTCCTTTCTCATTTAATAATAAATCTAAAAGTATAAAAAAGAGATAGTTCTTATAACTAGTATAAATATTAGATGTAAGATCTATAAAATGAAAATAAGGAAAAACGAATCTTCATTAAAAATAGATCATTATGAATAAGAAAATTAAACTTTAATGTTTCTTCTATATGAATATTTTTTTTGATTAAACTCTTATTATTAATATTATTTTATATTTTTAAGTATTATATTATCATATTCTATTCAATATATCTCCCATTTTCCTTTCATTTATCAAAGAATAAATCAAAATCATGAATTATATATTATTTAAATAGTTAATTATATAGATTACATTCAAGACATTAGTTTGCTTTTTATTCTAGCAAATTTAGATAATTGATAATATTATTTTTATTATTCTATTATTTATTTTTTTTTTTCTAAATCCTCAACCATTAGCTACCCTGCTTGGTTGATCTACAAAATTTCTTGAATTTAGCTTTCTTTATAGTTATTTTCTTCATAGAGTTTTTCTTTTTACTCTTATAAATCTTTGCACCTTTCTTAAAATTGATTAGTGCTGAGTATTTAAATTTTTTTACATAAATCCTTATTTTCCTCAATTAGCCTTTATTATTTTATTTTTTATTATACAATTTTCTCTGAAAATATTTGCTTTATTTGTTAAGCCTTAGTTTTAGTCTCTTGTTCGTTCTTATTCAAACAGAATTCTTGCATTTCCTATCTTAAAGATTATTCTTCATATTCAATCATGTCTTCGCATAAAAATGATTTTGCTGTTTTTTCCTTATACTTCCTCATTAATTGAAATTTGGCTTTCTCTAGAAAATCATTTAAGCTTTCTAAAATCTGCTTTCTCCCTTCATTTTGCCTAACCAATATTTGACTACAAAATTGTTCAATTTTTGTTTCTAAGTGCATCACTTCTTAGGCTTACTTAAGTTTTTCTACTCTCTCCTTAATACTGGCAACTTAATCTTCTAGTAGTTCGTAACCTTTTTTAAGTTCAGAAATATAATTTGATTAGTCTTAGTACTTCTCTTGAGTAGAATTAAAATTCTCTAGATCCCTAGTTTGATTTTAAATTTATTTTTCTTGATTTTCTTTGTAACATACTAATTAGCTTCTCTCCTTTTCTAAGATAGGCAAAGTAGATAGTTGAATTTCTTAGTAATGTTCTTATCTATCTTTTAATCCGTAATTAAGTTCATTAACTTGAGGATTTCTATTTGATGTTGATGTCCATAAACTATCAAAATATGTACTTATTTTTTTTTTTAAATGTTTATTTTCTTATTATATATTATTCAAATCTGATTTTATATTTAGTTCTGTTGCTTCTAATAGATTAATAATATTTTTAAATTAGCCATTTTTTTAATCAGTAACTATTTGAGTTTGTTTTCTTTGCGCATCTTACTTTTATAGAATAATACATTTTTACATAAGGATTAATGTTGGATTTAGTTTATGAAAATGAAATTGAGCACATTATTTCGTTATATTGTTCTTCTTTTTAAGATGATGTTTATAGCTTAGATTTATATTTATCATAACGAATCGCTAAATCAAATAAGTTTGATGAATTATTAATCTCTTTCAATATAGATAACAAAATAGGTAATTTCTAATTTCTAGATTTTCTCTAGTCGCTTCTATAATCCTAAATCTTAATAATCTCCAATTCCTCTAAATCATACGCAGTTTTTTCCCACATTATTTATTCATCCATTTATCTAATGCTCTTATTTTATTATTAATAAAAATGCAATTAAAGCATTTAAATTGATGGAATTAAAGTTCTGCAGAAATATAAACCATATATGTATAATTAAAGAATGGAATTGTCTATATATTAGATATTCTTAATAATTATAAATTAAACTCTTGTATATCAATTTTGGTCATATCGAATCAACTTGAGTGTATTTTGAATTTGGTTTAGTAACCTATGTAATTCCATATCCTATCGTGTATCCAACCCCGACTGCTATATTGACCCAGGCGTTCATCGTCATTAACAACATCATTGTAATCATACTTGACAGAGTTAGAAAGAATTAATATATAGAAAATCCTATTCTTCTTGACCTAAAAGGATAATTAAATGCTTGTACATAAATTGTTTCATAAAGATTTATACTTTATCACCTTAAAGCATATACATGATATGAATAATTGAATATAGGCAAGATAAGAAGCAACCACAAAATAACAAAAATGGTTAATCATCATAAATTCTCCAGCTTTGAAGAAATGATAAAAATTTTACCTTTCAAAAATGAACTCGCATTTTGCTGTCCAATACACATACATTTCCATCATCATTTTTCTTAATTTACTTATATTATTAATAACTTTTTATATAATATCATTCTAACTCAGTCACAATAAGGAATTATTAATTCCTATTTTGATATCTTGTATATACATGATCAATCAAATTCGAACTACTAGCAATTCGTTTAAGTTCCCCATCATCATCTTCACCAATTAATTCAATTTTTGAAGCCTCATAATATTTCAGTCCTAAACTTGGAGTGATCACATATTTTGAGTTTTTTTTCAATTATCTTCGAATTTACTCAAGTTGAATGAATTGTTAGTCCATAGCTATTTGATTAGTTGAGCACACACTGACTACCACTTTATCATTTATCAATATTTAATTATCTTTCTATTCCAAATCAATGATGTCATGTAATTGATAATTTTCTGTAATTATTATCTTGTCAATTGGCGTTTAGGGAGTTAAATTTATTGTATTGCCTTTAATTTCGATTTTCTCAGTATAAGGGATGCCCACTCTAAAAGGTTGTATTTTTTTTGGATTATAGCTTGGTAATTCTCCAAAGTCTTTGTGTATTGGAGAAATAAAGTTGTTAAATTATAACCAATATAACTAGGTAAGTTAAGACGTACCATTAATTCAAGTTCTGCTTCTTTAATTTATTAGGTGAGATTTTTAGTTTATTTTTCCGATTTGTTTTAACCCTTATTTCTGCGTTTCAAATCTTTTGCCTCTTTGTCTGGTCGATATCCCCTTTCTATGATTAATTAAATTCTAAATGAACATTAGATTGATGATAATACTCTTATAAGAAGCTTTCTTGTCTCTCTGTTTTAGCTTTCAATTCTTCGTTCATCTCGACGTATTTATTGAATTTGATGCCAAACCAATGTTGACTATCATCTAAGTTTATCATATAAAAATACTTTTATTTCTAATCAATCCTTACTTCAATGAATACTCTGTCACCATCTTTTTCAAATCCAATACAATTTTCCTTTGTTCACAGAATTTTTAGACTTCTTTTATAAGCATAATTAAGAATTTAAGTTTATAAATAAATAAGTGATATTCTTAAATCACATTAATTAGAATTAATCCAAAAAAAAAGTCGTTATCTAAATGTTGTTTTGATTACTATCCATATCAATAGCTTTATGCCAAGAATAAGAATTAGAAAGCATCGCTTTAAATATTATTTATTTATTTTTTAATGATTTTATCTGAAAGGAATAAACCAAACATCCTGTTATAAAGAAAATACAAACCTATTTCTTTGTCTCAAGTTTTGAAAAAACCTCTTATTGTTAAGTCTTTACCACCTATTTATGCTTCACCCTCACAAAGATCCATATTGAAAAAACCCTAAAAACCAGAAAATTGCTTATCATAAAGGCCATCACAACCTTAGATTTTCAATAAATTTGAAGGCCTAGGAGCTATTGGACTATCGTTCAATCCCATAGAAAAAGAACCTCTTCAATAATAATATGCATTAATGAGCAGCAAAAAACTAGCCATATAAGTTTCGAAAAAATATACTACGCATAGAAAAATAAACATATAACCATCGCAAAACTAATCCTAAAAATTTTATACAGAAGCTTAAATGGACAAAGTTAACAAGTGGTCACAAACAACTTTTGATGAAGACCAATTATTGGAATATTTAAATACTTGAAATGGTCATAATTGAAACTGATATTTTTATGTATATGAAGATTTTGCATGATAAATGTTTTACATTTTTGTAATCATAATTATAAACTATATATTTTTAAATTATCTATGAATGAACCTCAGTTATTATTTTAAATTGAGTAAAACAAAGCTACTTTTAGAGATTCCATTTAATAACATTATAATTATTTAATAAGAAAATCTATTCAATAAGAATCCAATTTCTTTACCAAAATCATGTAAAGTTTTATTCTGAAAATGGGGTTAATATATTAAAATACTCTTATTACTTTTTATAAGATTTTCGTTAAAATATTGATTTGTTTTTACACAAATTGATAATGATTAAATATAATACTAATTGAAATCATATATGTATTATTAACTTCATTTTAATGCTTTGAGTAATTAGGCAAACATGATTGCATTTGAAACAATTATTTAAAGAGCTAAATTTTTCTCTTAATTTTTATTTTCTAAGATTTCTTTAATGGTTTACTTTAGATCATCCTATAAATAAAAATTATCATAGTTAATGTGATGATGATAATATCCAACTAAAGATTAGGTATAAATAAAAATTTAGTTATTAGTTTTAGCATCATAAAAGGGGATGTCCTTCAAAATTTTATATCTTTTATTTAATTTCTTGGCCAACTTGGGGAAATAATCCCTAACCTGACTAAATCCAGATTCATTCCAAGAAATTTCAAAAGAACAAAAAGGCTTGAATAATAGAAGTTAATATTAAAAATCATGAATGTGAAGTTCGCATTAAACCAAACAAAACAATAAAATGCATTAGATCACCTATTGTCTAGTCCAAACACATTCTTTAATAGGTTGTTAATCGCTCTGTTATAAAGTGAGAAGAACTTAGAGATCGACATCTTGAAATAGTGCTATTTTATGAAGTGCTTTTTTCAATTTCTAGAATTTAGGTGTATCTTATTAATATTAATTTGCGCATTAACATTAACCTTTAGCACATTGGATAACAGTGTTTATTGTTAGTTCATCTAAGTATTCCGTTTGTAATGCTTTCTTGATAGTTGACACACTCACCTTAACATAATCAACATAAGTTATCTAGTTCACCCATGAATATACTTTTGTTAACATTTCCAACCTATAAATATCACTTATAAGTTTTTATAATTTGGGAAAACTTACTCGTTTCATCATCCTAAGATTAAATTGTGTTTTCATTTCTTCATATGGATCACTGTATGTAAAATCTGTTTCATCAGAATCAGAATTTAGATCATTTAAATTGACTTTTCTCACTACTTGTGTAAGTGCATTTTCAGAGAATGTGCTTAAATAATGAAGCAAATCTTGGATTGGATGTTTGACATCAACTAAATTTTGAAAAGAAACAACCACATCTATATATGGAGCATGTTATGCTAAATATTTGATGGTTAAATTAATGGATTCAGCAAGATTTGACTAATCTTCTTTTAATTGCATAAGTTCTTGTGTAACTCTAAATACTTCTTCTTGTCTTGCTGATAATTTTTATGGCCAGATAATCGGAAGAATATCCATGGGATTTTGTTTATTCATTAAAATACGTATTATTCAAAGATAATATAAACATAAATGAGATAACTTTATATTTGACAAGAAACATCTATTTTCGCTTTTTAGTTAAGCTCTACTTCAAATCATATTACAGAAACCACACCAAACTCAGCATTATAGAAAATTCTAAAATGACCAAAATTACTACTAATTCTACTTGAATTTAATTTAATTCTTTAGGATAAAGAAGATGATGGTATAGATATATATTGAAATTATTAAAAAAATTCAATACTTCACCCTTGTTTTTTATTCACTCTCAGTTGTTGATGTATAGTATTGGCTAACTTAATAAATTCTGTCAAGTAGGTTGATGTAATATTGGCTACATTGATGTTTGCATTTTCTAATTTTGTACGCATATTCACTATTTCATGCAAAGGAATAAGACTTGATATATCGGTGGTAGGTTCTTAATGCTCATATCTATCAGTAATTTAGGAAAAATGAGTTGGACTTATAAAACTTTATTTCTAAGGTGAAACTATTCCACTAAATTAGGTTATTGAATATTAATGACCCTTGGCTGGAAATTATAAGTTATTTTATTAAGGGGGAGGCGATAATGAGGATATTGATTATATTCTAGGTTTAACTTATATGATATTTACTTTTAATGTAATCCATTGATTTTACTTGGAGAAGAATTTTGATTGCTTTTACCTGATTTAAATAAAAAAGAATCGTTTTATTTTCCTTTTTTGTTACTGTATTCCTGCAATTTATTTACTAAATTATTCAATGAAGGAGTACTGTTATTCAAATTATAAATACTTGGTTTTATCCTTTTTTATTGGAGTTTTCCTTTGACTTTCCATACCATTAATGGAGGAATCAAATCTTGTTTCTACAGGAGATTTCGAGTATTTATCTGCCAATCTTTCTCTATATAACTTAAGGTTAAAATTTAACGATTCGCTCATTAAGTATAATTAATAAATGATAATTTAATAATCACTCTTGTTCATCTACAATTAATTATTCCATTTCAGAATCAACAAACACTTCGCTTATGATGGATTCAGTCTTGTCCTTTAAGGATAGTCTTGGGTAATTTTAGATTAAATCAATTTTGGAATGTGGATCATTAAAACAATCGTCCTCTTGACTTTCAACAAAATCAAATAACACCTATCTATATAAATCCCATATACTTAGATTTTATCATTAAAGTGAAACCTTCTTGTTCTCGTTGCATTTATAAATCGGAACAGAATGGAAATACCTTCTGAATTCTAAGGTTCTTCAGGTAGATTCGATAATAATTAAGCTTTTTTCAATAATCTTTACTCCTAAACAAATAGAGAATTTTGTATACTTCTTTTTACTATTGTTCAAGTTACTTGGCTTATTCTTACAATCTTAATTCTTCATCCTTTCTTTTTTTCTCTATAGCTTATTGCTCAGCAAAACGATAAGCTTCTTTTTATTATTAAATTAACAAATCTCTTTCTCTTTAATCTTCCTTCTGTCTTTAAACTTGAGATTGCTATTACTGCTAAACTTAGTGGAAACTTTGTTAATAATATTGACTATGATTTAGGTTGGGTTAATTAGGAGAATTGACTTCCTTTTTGATATTTTCTATATAAATATATTCCTTATTGAAAGCAGCCCTTAATGTCTTAATTTTTTATGCTACTTCTTCAAAATTGGTATCTATCGATAAAGAGAATTGCTCCATTAACACAACTTCATCGACTATATCTAATTTATAAATTAAAATTGCAGGAGGATCTGGTTTATTTGGCATTTGCTCATAAGCTTATGGACTATTCAAGAATCCAACTATATTGTAATTCCTATTTAGAATTGTGGTAAGGGGCTTGCAACTAGACATTTTCTACAATATCAATAAACTTTAATGATTATGTAAATAAACTAATAATGGCCTAGTTTCTTCATTCGCTTTCTACATCTTGTCCTTAAAGTTTCCAGATTGAAATGCTATCTCTGTTTGAATCTAGTGTTGTTTGAGATATTGCAAGAATTCATTACCATAATTAGGTGGATTATTAACTAAGTAAAATCATGATCCTTACAAAAATAAGAGAATAAATTCGCACCCATTTGAAGAGTTTTTTTCATTATGCCCTCATCTTTTGCTCTCTTTTCCTCTTAATATTTCCGATATTTTTCAATCAATGCGACATCTTGAGGTTATCTGGAATTACCTTAATTAGATCTTTAAACATTTCCTTTATCTATAAGCAATAGATTATACCCTTTGGAGTTTCTTAAATGGTTGACCTCTGTTATTATTAATCTTATTATGTCTTCTATTAGGCACTTTGACCTTGACCTCCCTCAAAATCCATATAGAGTTGAATTGCATTCTAAATAAAGTTTCTCAATACATCAAGCTTATTTTCAGCCATTTAAATGTAAGACTATGCTTTCTAATAATCCTAACACCCGGTAACGGCCATAAAATTCAATATGTCCTCTTCTGAACTAGGTGGCTGCATTTTTTTTTATTATTTTATTATAATAATCAAGAATTTAAGAAAATGGAATAAAGTCTATAAATACTAATATTGTGTTTAATTGAATTTGCAATTTGATAAAATTTAAATAAATTTCCATTCTTTTTTGATATTCCCATTTAATCGTAAATAAAATGATGTATTTTTTTCATTAAAATGAATAAAACATACCCTTCCACAGAAGTGTGGACTCAGATGAATGACCAATTATAAAAGAGCATTTAAAACAATTCCATTAAAGAGTAGGAGTTAAAAAATCTAAACTTTGCATTTGAGGATTTAGCACTACTCTAACATTAATTAAACAATGCAATTAATTTATGGAAGTCCTCCTCAATATCATAAAACGATTAAAATTTGCTCAAATAATAAATTCCTTTGCTTCTATACGCTCTTCACCAAAACTTATCTACATTAACCACCATGCTAATTTTGGGTACAGTTTCTTGATAACCTCATGTAGATTTATTTATCTTAATGGCTTTTAAAAATTATGACAGTTTTGCAAAGACAGTGGTCCAAAATTTGGGTGTCCCCTATTTACTTGATAGGTTACGAGATTAAAACATGGAAGTTTGTTAAAAGTCATTTTCACTCTTAGGATTAGTACCTAAAAGTTATTTGAATGATATAGATGCTTTGCCTACTTTAATTAATTTGTCTAAAAGAATCAAGATCGATTCTCATGACTATTTTGATCTAATAATTGAAATAGGTAGACATTCTAAAAGAAAAGAAGTATTAAATTGAGTTATATGGATTAGCATTTGTAACTAATTTGCAAATATATTCTTTAATCTGATCTTAGTGAACCTCTATTTTATTTAAAGAAACTAGTATATTTTGTAAATAAATCACCAGCATAGTAGGATGTATCAATTATTCTTTTAGAAGGCTAAATTATAAGTAATTTAAGAAAAATTTTCAAAATTACATCTACAAATGGTGAATAAAAATAATACTATATTCTTTATTTGATTTCTTTTTTGAAGTAGCATTCATAATAATCAAAAGAGTTTACTTCAAATAGTATTTTGTTATTTTTTAACATAAATGTTGACAAACACAATTACAATTTAACAGAGTTATATTCAAAAAGTCTTTATGAATTAATACTTCTAAATTCTGATCTAATTAAGGAAGTTATCAAAAATCAATAAATCATAAATAATCTTTTTGCCTTTTACGATTAGAAGGCAATTGCCAATTTTGCATAAATATTTAGTAGGGTTATAGAATTTGATTTGGACTATGAAATTAAATATTTAGTCAAAAAAGGAATATTGTTTAAATATTATTCTCAATTGAATAGAAATGATCTTAGTTTACACTCTACTTTAGAAGGAATACATCAACTTTTAAGAAAAGGTAAATGAGATCTTATAAATATTAGGCTACATAAAGGACAATTTGAATCAATTACAAAAATAAGTAAGAAATATTTTGGTTTTAAAAGCTGAAGATAAAAATTTATAGCTTGAAATAGTTAGACTTATTTAATAATAAAAGCAATGATTTTATTTACTTATTCTAATTATTCTATAATATTATCAGCAAATATCATATAATATTTATATACAATAATATAAAATGAAAGTGTTAATGTACCAAATATAAATAAACTCATAGATCTCTTGTTGCCAGATATCTTTTTTCTAGATCAAAGTAACTTTGCAGTTCTTTCTTTCCATATTTTAATACTTTTGGAATTTTATTTGTTTTTTCATCGATGGGAGGAAATCTCTATGCCTCCTCTCCATCTTCAAACAGAATCACAGTAGGCAGTTACCTAGACATAGCACTTGTATTGATCCTATAGCATTCAGCCAATCTTGGTATTTTAGCTAGGTTAATTGAAATGAATTTCAATCCATTTGTTGTATATTTACATGAAAAATTAGCCCAAATTTCCTTAGTCTTGAAATGAATAGAAATAAAGTAATACATAGTTACAAGTATCTGCCCAATCGACATAAAACTCAGCGAATACCATTTCAGTCATTTTGTAATTTTATATTTTCTTATTTTTTTCTTTGCCCCTTTATTTCTTAGTAAATCTCTCATTCAATTCTTCAATAATATCTCCATCTTCATTATCTCTAAATTTGACTCCAACCAGTTCTTCAAACTCCTTGATCTCTTCGATGTCTTAAATTTTTGTTTTGCCATCAAATTTAGGCTCACTACATAAAACAAATATGGCCAAACAAGCCCCTCCATATAATAAACTAATTTTAGCATCCACAAACAAATAACTAGTTATTAAAGCAATTTTGATTGTAAAAAACAGTGAGCTCAAATATTGTATAGTAGAATAACTTCGTAAGTATTTGATCACAGCAAATGCCATGATTGTATAAAATATTGAGTTTTCTCTGGTGGTACCTAATTCATCTGGCACATCCAAAATAAAGAAATTGAACAGTCTAAAAATCCTAGAAATTGGATATATGCTAATTAAGAGAAAGTTTAGAATATAATAAAGAGATATCATAAAATAAATTTAATATAACAATTTATTTTTCTTCTTTATTTATTATCAAATGTATTATTTTATTATACATTTTAATCATCTTTAGTGTTTAATCGTATTGAATTTATAAACTGTGCAATTATTTGGAATCCAATCCAAAACATCTAATCAATAAATTTAATTTTAGCAAAATATTGTTCAAACAAAAGGCCATGTATTCAAACAGATCATAATAATAAAAGAAAGAGGACACTTTTATTCTCGGCTCAGTAAGTCCCACTGACTCACAAACTTAAGAAACTCAATACAAATATCTCCCATTGGTGACAAAAGCTATATAAGGCTAACTAGACCCTAAATGGCAGGAATGCAAAATAAAAGGGAAGAACCTTACTCCTCGTTCGAACTGTGCAATTACGATTCATCAAAACCAGTAATTGTTTTTTACTTACTTAGCCTGTACTTATACGGAGGGTATTAGAGTGTTGATGGAATTTTGAAGGACTTTTATAAATTGAATTTGGGAGCAGAATACTTTTATTGGCAGAACATCAAATGTGATTATGAGCCAGGTCCTCGTTGTCGCCATACATTTTGTGCTTTCAAGGATAGTCTCTACTTATTTGGTGGACAAACAGGTGATTCTATTACTACAAATGAAATATTTGTTCATGACGTCAATCTAGGATTGTGGACGAAATTGAGCATAAATGATTCTTACCCCTAACCATTAGATAACTATTGTGCAACTATTTATAATGATCAGTTAATTATATTTGGAGGCTTTTACACTGCAGATACATTTAAACATTCCAATGATTTATATTCGTTTAGTTTCACACTAAACAAGTGGGTTAAATTAAATAAATCTAAGGGAAAACAACCTTCTCCAAGAGATGGCAGTTCCATAGCCATTCATAATTAGATTCTCTATATGTTTGGAGGTAAGAATGGAGATTTGCGTTACAATGATTTGTGGCAATTTGATTTCTCAAAATAGGAGTGGCATTTCATTCCTGTTAACAATTTGTTTGATATTCCAATGAGTCGATCTGGACATTCACTAAAAGGTTATTAAGATGAATTGATACTTTTTGGAGGCATTCATGACGTAACATGGGAATTGGATGATTTATATAAATTTCAAATAAATCTATTAGAATGGAAAATGATTAATAAAGATACTTCTAGAAGAAAAGATTTAGAAGTTCCCTCACCCACCAAATCCAATCGAAACACCCACAATAAAAGGAGATCCATCAAGTTGCCATCCCTTTTAAGACCTTTAAGTCTAAGGAGATCTCCCTGTACATCACCGAAGAAAGTCAGATCCTCTTCTTAATCTTAGCATTCTTGTTTTTATAATAATTAGAATGGCTAACAGAGCTGTGATTATTAGAACAATAGTTCATCTATTAATACAACTATTAATTATGTTTAGGAAAGAATACAATTATAGAAACTTAAGAAGAAAGCAGCTATGTTAAAACTCTTTGAAGTTGAAATGAATAAAAGAGCAGTGTTTTAAGATGATTGCAATGTCACTGAAAAATTAAAAACTTCAATAATTCTAATAGGAAATCCAAAACAGGATCTAAAATTAACAAAAGGTGCATTAACTGAATTTGGATAATAGATTGTATCAAAGTACTATTTAATGTTTAATATGTAGATTTCTTCTTCCTTTAAGTAATGGCTAAAATACGATATATGGGAAAAAACCATGTGCTCGTGATGGACATGCAGTTGCAATAATCGATGATTAAATGGTTCTCTTTGGAGGTGATAGACATACTATGTCTTTTAATGACCTCTATCTTTTAAATTTAAAGTAGTTCTGATGTTTAAATGATGTAATTAAATATAATATTATTATTATAAAATTTAATTAATTTATTTTAAAACCTAAAATTTAAAATAAATATTTTCTTTCAATTTAACTTAACAAAATGAATATTCATAATTTAAACGTTTAAAAATTCGAACCCTTTCTCTATAAACATTGGCTATTTATTTCATTTTTAAGTTTAACCCTAGTAGGTCATTGGGCCCTATTTGGTTATAAATATGTCTATGGAATTCATAGTTTAGTGTTTATCATTATATATAGTATTAAATTTTTAGAAGAAATATAAGTTTAAACCTTAAATAAAATCAAATCTTTATAATAAAAATGACTCTCACTATATTGTTATGCTGTTTAGCTTAAGTCACAATTTTACAAGCAATCTCCTTTTTATGTGAATGTGTTCACATAATTCACAGGGAATCTTGTGAGAATTCTACGAAATGCTTTTGGAATTAAAGTGAAGAAAGATGTTTATAAGCCTCTGATTTTTTAAATCAGAATCTAATCACTTCTCACTGTGCTCAATTTGCAGAGGATGATTGTATACAAGAGAAAAGATGTGCATTCTATTTGGGAAAATGTATAGAATTTGTGAGGTGTGAGAATTTTATGTAAGAAAGATGTGATCAAGCTTCATTGTAATGTATTTCTGATGGCAATAAATGTATGTAAAAGGGATTATGTTCTGATTATTTAACATAGATAGCTTGTTAAAAACTTAATTCAATGGAGAAATATTGTAAATGGGTGAGGAGAGATGGTTAGTATTTTTGTGAAGATGTATAGGAATGTAATGAACTTCCTGTTCACTTAAAATTGGACAGGGATTGTAGAAAATAGATGGAGAAATGTACAATTTCATTAAATGGGGGGTGTGAGATTTCTAAATAATTATGCAATTAATATACAAACAAAGAACAATGTTATTTTAATTTATATTAAGCTGAATGCTTTTGGGATGGCAATTTGTAAAAATGCTTAGAGAATATTTGTATAAACCGATAATCTTCAAATTTTGAGGAATGCTAAAAGATTGATCCTGATTGCACAACAAATGGATATAGATGTATTAAGAAATTAGAATGCGAATAATATGATAATTCCTATTCATGTGTTGAGGATTCAAAAGGGAAAAAATGTATATTTTATAAGGGATAATGCTTAAAAAAGAATTGCCAGAGTGCTCCAAGTTTTATCAATACCATGATTGAATGTTCGGTATTTCAAAATAGTGATATCGTTTGTGTTCCTAAAGTGAGGGGAGGATGTTAAGAAACTCCTTAGTAATGTGATGAATTAGAAACAGAAGACTCGTGTAGTTCTGTTAAGCAACTCTAAGGGAAATATTGTTTTTGGTAAGATAAATAAAATGTTTGTAAAATTAAATAATGTTCTGATGCCCCTCTGTTATACAGTCATACGGATTGCATAGGTTGGCTAGATGATTATGCATGTATAGGAGGGTTAGGGAATGGTTGTATTGAGAATGTTGATGATTGTTCAAAGATCTTAAATCTTAAGAGTTGTGTAAAGGATAAATTGAATAGAAAATGCATGATCGAGAATGGATAATGTTTAGAAGAAATTTGCCAGAATTTATAATTTCCATTTTATTAGTCAATATTAGATTGTGAGAATAGGTTATCAATTTGCACGTTTAGTGTTTACAATAAAACATGTATTAATAAGGAATGTTCTCATTTAGAGGAAATACAATGCAACTTTGATTATTCTTTTAATAAATGTATCTAGTTACCTGGGTGTATCCATAAGATATGTGAATCTGCTTCTGTTTATTTTGGAACTCATGAAGAATGCGAAAACTGGAATGTTAGATGTACAATAAATGCGGGGAAAATAAATGGAGTTCCATATCGAAATGGATGTATAACCAAAGATTTCGATTGCACGTATTTTAAATATCAAATATAATGTGTAAATACAATATAAGGAATACCTTGTTTTTGGAATTCTCAAGGGAATTAGTGTGAATTTCGAAATTGCAATAATGCTCCTTCAACTTTTCAAACAATAGCATAATGCCAACAATGGGTTTAATATCATGATATTAAGTGCATCCCTAAGGAGAATGGAGGATGCATTCAATAACACTAAAATTGTTAGGGTCTAAGTGACAAAGTTTAATGTTTAATTGGTTCAGAGTAAGGATTATGTTATTGGGATATTACAACCAAATAATGTTAAAATCGTACATGTGAAAATGCCAGCAATGCTACTTCGAATGTATTTTGCAAAAATTGGTTGCACTCTTGTATTTTCAAACCGCCTAATTTATGCTAAAGTGATAATGCAGCTTCTACTTTATGCAGAGATGCTCCAAGAAAAATTGACTTTACATCTCATGAAGAATGTTAAGCATGGAATCCTAATTGCACACTTAAATTAGGATAAGCTTGTTTTAGTGAAGATAATTGTTCCGATTATATTACTCTCGATGAATGTAAACATAATTAAAAGATATATGTTTGTTAATGGGATATTTCTACTAATCCTGCTACTTGTATAAAAAAACCCTGTACTGCCCTAAATAGTTAGAACTCCGTATGCGTTGCTCATTCTCTAATTTGTACATCAATTACCACATCTGATGATTTGGGAAATTATTATCACACCTGCGACATAAAATTACGCACATGCTCTTTAATTACGGACCAAGCATAATGTAATTAACATTCCGTTACTGAAAAATGCTAATGGGCTACTGTGGGGACTGTATCAAGCTGCTCTGCCGTCCCTTGTAATCATTTTGAGGCAAATTTAACTGAAACTATTTGTTAAAATAGACAATTTAATTGTTTTTTTAATAGTATCACCTCAAGTTGTGAGACGTTAGAGTCATATTGTCCATTAATGACTGATATTTCATATTCAGGTTGCTAAAGTAGCCAAAAATAATGTATTCTAGACGAACCTTCAAATAAATGTGTTCTAATCAAACATTGTTCAGACACTACTACATATTAAGATTAAACTTGTAGTGATTTTTATGGTTATTGTTAAAGCAAGAATTTTACATCTGGTTGTTAATTTCTAGCCCCGAATTGTTCAGATTATAAAATCATAGAGAATTGCAAAATAAATTTTAAAAAAGAGCAATGTTATTGGAGCTCTTCATTAGGCAAATGTATAGATCTCTCTTGTTCACTTATAGAAGAGACTTTAACTACTCATACTGAGTGTTAATAGTTATCATCAGATTGCACTTTAAACTTCCATACCACACATAGTTGTATGGATTTGGGTCGGTGTGATCTATATTAAAAAAAAGAATAGTGCTATTTGGATTCCAATAAACAAAAATGCAGTTGGATCAAAAATAATTGTATTTTGGATAATTGTAAGGCAGCTCCAAAGGGTATTTACACGTTGTAGCAATGCTAAGAGTAGTTTGGTGTAGTATGCACAATCAATGAAGATCGATCTGGATGTATCAACAAATTGGATAATTGTTCTCAATATAATAAATTCTAATGTTTGACTCCAAACCAAGCCAATAATTCTGAAGTAGCATGTTTTTGGGATCAAATTAATCTTGATTGTAAAGAGCATCTATGTCACAAGGCTAATTAATTAATAAAATAATTGATTGAATGTGAATAATTTAATCACAACTGTTAAACAAAACAATGCAAAATATCATTGTGCGATGATTACAAATACGATTTAGATGTTCCTTGTTCGTTAGCTTTGAAAAATCATAAGTGTACAACCGATGGCTTTTAATGTGTAGAGAGAAGACTCTGTTCAGATGCTAATATGGCTGGCTGCACTTTTTCAATTAATTATTAAGATTGTATTTGGTTGGATGATGAGAATCGTTGTGCTGATAAAACTTGTAGTGTAGCCTCAAGATCATTGAAGACTCATCAACAATGTTAAGATTACTTAGAGTAGTGTACAAATAAGATTGGAGGAGGCTGTGTAATCATTACAACATGCTAGTCAATTTCATCATCAGAAGCTTGTATTTATGATTAGAATAATGAGTTATGTGTGTGGGATGAGTCCAATAAAAAATGCATCTATTTATCATGTTCTTCTATTTGTGGGGATGGTGTAGTAGGAAACGAAGAATTTTGTGATGATGGTAATATACTACCCTATGATGGATGTTATAAGTGCAGAATCTAATGTTAATATGGATGTAATTCATGCATTAAACACAACTGTTTAGACTGTAATTAAGGGTTTGAATTAAGTCAAAATGCATAATGCTTAGAAATATGCGGTGATGGATTAAAAGTGGGGTAGGAAGAGTGTGATGATATGAATACTATCCCAAATGATGGATGTTATGAATGCAGATTTCAATGTCATTAAGATTGCTTAGATTGTAATTTTGGTGTCTGTAATAAATGTGCATTTGGTTGGGAAGAGTACAACACATAATGCAGATCAGTTTGTGGTAATGGTTTATTAGTGGAATCATTAGAATAATGTGATGATGGAAATACTGATGATGGTGATGGGTGTAATTCTGTCTGTTAAGTTGAAGAGGATTGGGAATGCGTGTAATCATAATTTACTAAAATAAGTGAATGCAAAATGATCTCACATCCTAAAATCATCTTATAAAATTTATCTTAAAAGAGGGATTCCTAATAAATTATTAGATTGAAATTTAACTAATAAGTTTAACTCAAATAATACCTTAGATTCGAAGATTTCATCAAAGTCAATGTTACTAAGGATGTTGATTTTCAGTTGTTAATCCAGCCTATTCTCGAAGCCTCTCTCTCACTTTAATTTGTAGAATACAATTTCCAAATAACTATATTAGAGAAAGTTGAATATCCACAAGTTTCCATTCAATTTATCACTTCTATTCTAGTTAATTCAGAAAAATATGAACTTACTAAACTAATGGATACTATTAGTTTAGGTACACCCTTAATATTGTCTCTAGAATAATACTCAAGATTAAATAGCACTATTGCTTTTAACGAAATTATGATATATATCTTCATTGGATCCTCCTCGGTATCTGTATTAATAGGAAATTTAGACTTATTTTTTAATATGTTAACACTCCTCCAATAACTTTCATATGTTAGATACCTGAGTGTTCCATTTCCATCACATTTAGATGAATATTTGAAAGTGTTTAAAGTAGTCTCTTTTTAACCTTTATATGATAAATTGAATATAGATTCTCTCTTTCAAAAACTAAACGTTGGCAAAGCACCATTTATTAAATCAAAGAATGTGGAGAAACAGCATACTGAATTAAATAATGCCTTTTTTCTAGTAAATGCTAAAAGTTTCTACTTGACGATGTTTTTATCCATATTTTGTTACTTATTAGCTAATCTTTTTATTAGATAAACTTAATCCTTGTGTTAAAAATTACTGAAAATACAAAAATTAAATTATCTTAAATTCTTCAATAAAATATTTAACTCTATCTAATAATTTGCTCTTAAATCTTCTAATCACTTCATCTACTCAGGATTAATCAAAGTATTCATTTCATCACAATATTAACTAATGTATAGTGCATATAGTTAATTTCCAGAATATTAATTTAAATTCGAAGTTGAAAGTCTATTTGAAACATTCAACTCTTTTAACGCTTTAATTTGTATGATCATACCTCATATCTTCCTATTCAAGTCTGTTGTTGTCTTACGAAAATAATACAACTCAGAAAATGTTAATCAATATTCTATTTTTTATGAGAATATTAAACCAGATTATTGGTCGAGATTCTTTATCCCATTCTCAATGATCAAAGTGTCCATTTACATGGCAATTATTTGCTTTTTATTTAATTCAGCTGTTATTCAATCAATTTCATTAATAATTTTATGCATTACCTTTTGTTCTTATGTGATTGTTGTAAAACCTGTGACTCAGAAAATTGAATTACGTAGACTAATAATACGAGAAATCACCTTTTTATCAATAATCACATCCTTTTTCCCTTACTGCTTGAATTTAGATGATGAAATAATCAATATCTTAGGTTGGGTTCACATTGGATTGTTCACAATTATACTAGGTTCTAATATAATAATAGATATAGTGAAATATTCCATTCAGTTGATTTCGTCTTATAAGAGAAGATAAATCAAAGTCAGACAATCTGAGCAACGTTAATATTTTATTAACGGGCTCCAGTAATTTATAAATGTGGACAATACTTCTCAGAACATTTGCAATGGACAACTATCTATAGGTTTTGAAGCATAATCAAATTACTAAAGCTAAATCCTATCACTTCGTTGAGCTTATTTAAATATTAAATCATATTAAGACTATTTTTAATTTTCTAATATTTTACACACTAAAAAAATCAAATATTAATATTAAAATCGATATTATAAAATGTATAGTCCAAATTATCCACATGGAGAATTTAATGGACAAATTGGTGCTATTCCATAATAACCTGGTTAACTAATACAAAATGCCAAGTTTACAGCAAAAAAAGATTATGCAACTTGGGCCTAAGAAGTTCCTCCATTAAGGTAAATTAATCCAATATTCCTACTTATTATAGACCAAAATCTAGGGAAATGGAATTAATGGATCTACTACTTGTCAATAATATCGCTAAAAAATAAACTAGTCTTCCTTATATAAATTAAAACAGATCTCCTAAACCTGAAAATGTTTAAACTTCTAGATTACTAGTGCCTATGCACCCCTAATATCATCATCTTAGTCCCTATCCTATTCCACCAGGATATCCACTACCAAATAGTAACAAATATCTATATACAAACTTTAGTGAATCAAGTTTAGTAATTCCAGTATTTTCCTGCACCTTATGCATAGAATTAAATTGTACACTTTATCAAATTAATATAGTAAGGCCCATATGCCCCAATAATAAATAATACATTCAAACAGAAATTCAGAATCTACTCTTGAATACATGAAGGAAATGATTAAGAAATAAAATGAATTTCAGGCAAGATAAGAAAAACTAGAAAAATAATTAATCAAATTGAGAAAAAAACCTTATAAATTAAATGAGCAAACCGAAATGTCATTTAAATAACCAAAGTTATTCGATATACCTCCACCTATCTACCCATTTGAATAACCAAGGATTATAACCAATAGGCAAAGTGATAATAAGAAAGTAAAGAAACTAAATTACTAAATAAACATGCTCAAAGAACTTGTATTAAATTAGACTCTATCTATATTAGTAATAAATAAAGAACATTAGTAACGGAGTACTGGAAAGTGAAAGTTAATCTAGCGAGTCTAGTGTGGAGTATGTGTAGAAACCTAGAAAGCAACGACTTAAACCAGTTCCAATCCCACCGTATTATGATTTGACTTAGGATGAATAGAGATTGAAGAATCTGATCAAACAAAACAGCAACTATAAAATAAAAAGAATTTTTATCATGGTTACTTATTTAATGTTCCAAAAAAAATAGTTTATGAAAGTCGGACCGATTAAAAACCAAATATCCAAAGATAAAACTCCTTAATTGGAAAATGAATATAAAACAGAATTGATGAGATTTTCACCCACTGTAAGTGATCCTTTGGTGTAGAAAATGGCTTAAATGAAGGTTAATTTAAGAGTAGTCGCAACTCCAGAACAGAAAGTGACTCCTAAGGCCTTAATCTAAAACTCGAATGCTTTAAAATAATATATTTCAGATGTATTCCAAGCAGTTTCTAATTACTCCCTTAAGAAAAACTCTCTAGAGTACCTTAGCAAAATAACACGAGATTTTGAATTCCTATAATAAAACTATCATTCGAAGTTCGAGCTAAATAGATTATAATTTGGATATTCAGGATGTCTTAAAAACATGTAACCTGCAACTCAAAATTTGATGATCATTATAAATTTTTGGATCAGGTTTTTCATTCCTTTGAGTTTTCCTGAGACTTAAAAGAATATTAAAGATATTAATGAGGTGATGTAAACTAATTTAAAAACAATAGTATCAGCTTTATATCAAATAGCCTTGCAAGCATGCAAAAATTTAGCTTAACCTATTCCAAACAATACTAAGGAGATTCCAACAGAAAATATCACAAAAGAAAAGAATCCCTTTTTGATTAGATTAGATTAATTCAGAGAAACATAGGAGGAAATGAATTTAATGACCAGAATGTAAACGGACAAATTAGATGAACCTCTGCTGTATCCGGTATACACTTTAAGAGAGATGGATAAATTGTAAGCAATTCATATGATATCGGTAGTTTTGACAATGAAAGATCGTTTATAACTGAGAAAATCCAATATTTAATTAATTGGTGCAGTGGAGTGATGGAATCTGTCAACAATTTTAAATAACAGGAGAGACAAGAGATGCGAAAACAAAAAAAGCAATAATTGGATATACTGAATTAAAATGTGATTGAACCTAAAAAAAATAAGGTGGCATAAATTATTAAGGATCAGAAAACATTATATTAATAGAATAGTTCAGAAATAAAACAATTGAAATAAAAGATTCAAGAGGAGAAGGAGAAGAACGAAAAAATGAAGAAGGATTATGACGAAGCCGTAAAAAAGCATGAAGAAAAATAAGAAAAATTGATATTATTAGGTGTCAAATGATCACTATATTAAAACACACTTATATTTAACATTTCCGTATTCTGAACACAATAAGATAGCTGTCCAAAATTCTTATAAGAGCTCCTCTTCAATTTCTATTTTGGCTTTGTTTCCAATAATTTCAACTATCTAGTAATGGAATTTAGCCATTCCAATAATCCCATATAATTATCTAGATGCCATGAATAACTTACTCCAAACTCTTGGATATTGTTAGAGTGACGAAACTTAAGTCTAGGTTTCTTTGCTTCTCAAATTGGTATTAAATATACATTAATTATAATTATAAATTAATGCAATAAGCTATTGAGTATGAAAATGAATCTTAGCAATTAAATTAATGTCCAATCTGTTAAGAGTACAAAGGAGATAACTTTGATTTAGAATGCAAACATAGATTCTGCAGGTTTATATGTTAAATGAATATAGAAATTGTTTAGAATAGTATTTAAATGTAAAGATAGACGAAGGAATAGTGATGCATATTAGGTGTCCTTCCTGCTCATATACCATCTCTTATGAAGAAGTAGTTTAAATAATACAAAAATTAAAACTTGCAAAATTTGAGAAATTCAGAACCTAATACAAGGGCGAAAACAACCCAAGTATGAGACATTGTCCCAATAAATCCTGCGATTTATATGTACTCTTGGATACCGATAGATGTATATGTGGTTAGGAAATATGTAAGGATTGTGGAAATGAATCCCATGGATTTAGTAGTTGTAATAAATTGATGGACGAAATATTTGTATTGGACAGCAGACAAGAAAAGATCTAAAGATGTCCCAAATGCAAAATTATTGTTCAAAAGGAAGGTGGATGCAATCATATGACATGTAAGAGATGTCAATATCAATTCTGTTGGATTTGCAGGAGATAATACACATGTATATTATACATTGCATATTGTAGCTAAACATTATAATAATTACAATTACTTTTTTGGATGTCCCAATAAGCAATACACTAATACCATGCCATGGAAATATCCAAAGTTATATTAAATACTGCCCTTCGTTTTATTATTCATAATCTCCCCACTTTTGATCGCCTTGGGTATTTTACTGCTTATATTACATCCGTTTTCCGGATCCTATTACTTATTTAATCGTTCTGATAACCTAGCAGCAGTTGGTAGGTACATACATTAATAAACTCTAGGCTGTCACGAATTCAAATGCTATTGATCAGTTTTTTTGTTTATTTTATTGGGGGAATAGTCCTTTACCCCTTTGTTGTCTTATACGAATGTATATTACTACTAGTGTTTTTATTGTCTTTGCTAATCAAATTTATTAAGAGCAGAAGGAATTTTTGATTTATTTATTTATTCTAATGTTTCAATAACGATTTGATTATATCAGGTTGCCTTAGCAAATAGCCGATGATATTATACTACCTCGTAAGCAATGCTTTTCTATTCTGTTTAGCAACTAGTATAAAGGCTGGGACTGGTTAAAATGCAATTAGAAAGATCTTCAAAATCTAAGATTATGATTAATTCGAAAGGATGCAAATAAGTTCATTGGCTCAGGCTCTTCAAAGGAATGAACTATATGATCCCAATATTCATTATGATAGTTTATTATTAAGATATCTGTATGCTAATAAATTTGATATCCAATCCTCTTTAGATGTATTTATTTATATAAAGTTAGCAATTGGCATAAACAAGCAACATTTTGTTTTAACCTGGTTATCTAGATTTAAGTAACGATGTCGAAGCCTTATATGTATTATGATAAATAACCATTCTAGTATAAAGGAGCTATATATATAGAGGGCAGGACAAGAAATCATATCCCTTGCATTGTAATTTCAACAAAATTAGTAGATGATTTAGCTTTATTTGAAAGAGCAGCTGTCATCCTGTGTGCAATAGTAGAAGACTATATGTTCTACCCAGGTAAGGTGGAGAACTGGATTGCTGTAATTTAAACTAAAGATTAGAGCGCATATAAGATGCCATTAGATAAGATATTTTAGATAATTAAAGTGTTATAAACATGTTTTCCTAACACATGCGAAAGTATCTATATCTTAAATACTACATTGTCAATTAATCTATTATGGTCCTAAATAGAAGGTAATATAATATCTGAAATTAGAATACATTGATCCAGTTACATTAAATAAGATAAGATTTTTGAAGGACAAAGAATTAGGAATCCTTTCTAATCAATTTGATCCCAACCATTTGGAGTATTCTTTGGGTGGTTAGAAAGTACTCTAATCATATTGGCCACCTGATCCAAATGACTACTTTTACGATTTGCCTCAATAATAATAACAACCAACATATGAAGAGGAGCCTTAAGTATTTTTCTCTTAACCAACTAACAATTTATAATACCTTAATTAAGCTCCTCCTTTAGAAATTCCACCTCCACCTATAAATAATCAAGCATCACAACCTAATATTATAAAATAGCCTATTATTGCCCAATAACCTTAATAATCCTAATAACCCTAACAACCTTAATAACCTTAATAACCTTAATAACCCTAATAACCAGGATAACCCTAATAACCAGAATAACCACCTCCACCAGAGAAGAAAAAAAAGTGTATTTGTGTTAAGTGTTCTAGAGATCTTGAAGAAGTTGCATCCCAACCTCGCCAACCTAAATAATTAGAAACTTCAAACGGTGGATAAAAATAACCTTCTTAATAAAAAATATAAGTACAAGCAACTCAAGGATAAAAATAACTGGATGACACCTATATACCTTATGAGAGAAAATATGACAGTGTTCTTAATGATTCATATTTAACTAACCCTTAAAATGAAAAATTGTTGCAAGAGAACAGTTAAACTAATAAACCATTATTCGGAGGCAATTCCTTCAATGCCAATTAAGATTAATAATAATAATAACCAAATTAAATATCAAATAAACCATCATTTAACAATCCATTTTATGGGTCTGATTCAATGAAGGGATCTTAACAATTAGAATACAAACAGATACCATAATAATAAGATAAAGTAAATTAGGAAATATAAGCTAATATAGATGATCTCATATTGAATGATAAGCCTGATTATTAGCCCAAATACGTCAGTAAACATAGCAGACAATATTAAACTTCTCAATCTAGTCGGTTCAGCAATACTGGTCCTAACCCTTATAATAATATTTACAATCCTTAGAACCCATCTTTGTATTCACAAGTACCAGCAACATAGTTAAACCCATCTTCATAATATATACCAACCATCCCTTTTGAACCCTAGAGTTAATAGTAAATTCCAAAGCCAATTTAAAATGATGGGGTTTTATAGTAGCCTGTGCAAGTACAGGAGTATGATTACAACTTTATTAATAATCAATCCTATTATGCTCCTCAGATTTCAAGTGATCCTAAAAAGAAGTACGATTTCAGTTAATGGGATAAATATAATGATACCAATGATCCATTTCCAGTCTAATCATATGTATCTCCCTCGAATGACTACGTTAATCCTTATTTATCATCAGTTCCATACAAAAATAACATTGGGAGTGTCGAAGATTATAACTACTTGTATGATAACTCAGGTGATTATAAACCTGGAGAGTTTCGACCATCCACTTACAATTTCACTCCATATGATTTCAAGCAAAGTGATCAATAATATTAGCCTAGAGTTGAAAGTACTACAAAATCAAATGGGTAATAGTATTCTAATAATTAATAGAGCACCCTAGCTGTATCAATAGAGACCTGGATAGCAAGCTTGTGAGATCTTTTGATTCATCAGTACATATAAATTTGATTTTTTATATATATGAATTCTTTATATTTAATTTTGCATAATAAAGAACCAATAAAAGGAATCAGACATGATATTAATGTTATTTTGGCAATAAACAATACAAAAAAAATAGTGGTTTATATAATTATATATTTAAATGAATTATTGTGCAACTAGCTCTAAGATGTGAAAATAAAGGGAAATAGCTTTTAAGATTAGTTCTTAGGATAAATGCTTCTAGAGATTCCAATTGAATAATATTTATAGATAATGTTGTTATGATAGAGTATTATTAATTTATCCTCTTAAATAACTAGTTCTATTAATAATTTAATTTATTGATTCCTTATTATGATTTAATTAAGTTAATATTAATTCAATAAATTTATATTTGTATAGTTGCTAAAATATTCAGATGGTCTCCGAATAGATTAATATTAAATGATTCTGATGTGTGATTTAAGTAATAAAAGCTTTTTTATTGATCTTAATTAATTAATAAATGCTATAATTTAGAGGATTCATTATTTTCGATTTAAAGAGATCAGTATTTTTCTTTGAAATGCGAAGAGACATTGAATTGGACTCTGAGTGGTTTAATTTGCAGAAAGAAATTCGAAAAAAATTAATTGATTAAGATGTTTTGGAGGATAAAGTTTTAGAGATGTCCTCTGCGTATGGGAAAGTAAGAGGGAAATTTGATGACTTTTAAAGTATTTTCATTAAAGTATCTATAGAAAGGTTTTTGATTCTGATAGCCTCAAATTAAGTTGAGAATATTTATTTAGCTGAACTATTAAATGAAATTTTCGCCATTTTAATCATCCAAGAACATTATAATAAGGTATATCACATCTAATATACAGTTCTTCAAAGAAGAGTTAGAATCATAAGCCTTTTTTGATGTTGAAAAGAAAATTTCAGAAAAAGAATATTATTTAAACTAAACCTGCTATTCAAAGCATGCTGTCCCCAGTCTATTCTAATAAATTTAATTATATAAAGAACTTTCAAGTTCGAATGATTTAGATCAATTATTGGATGAAAAGCAATACTAAGACTCCTAGTCCTAAAAGTAAATAATTTTCAAAGGATTCACAATTTTTGATACAAATCGATAATGCTTTTATATGTTAATTAAGAGAGGATTCGCAAATGACAATTAGTGGAGGATGTAAAGAATGCAAATATAACAATTTCTACTGCAGAGATCAAAGACACCATTGTAACACTTCTTTTGGAATTCTGAAATGGGCTAATTCTTATTTGAGTATGACATTTAGGCAAGTAAATAAATAAATTATGTAGAAAATTATTTTATACTGATTACAAATTCAACTGCAGCCTAACATCCACAATAACTGTTGCTTCAGAAATTAAAAACCCTAGTTTAAAGAATACCAAATTATTAAAAAGTAAAAGAAATACAATAATTAGTTAAATAAACCAGAATTAGAAAATAATTTAAAACAGCAATTAATTGGGGTAATGGAAGCTGAAGAAAGAATTTATTATCAAGCATACTATCCTAATTGCATTGAAAAAGAGAAGAAAATAAATAGAAAAATAATAAAACAAAGAGGACTCACTGAAATTTCATTTAAAAACGACGGAGTGATGGGCGGTGATGAATTCTCTTTAACAGATTACCTAAGTTAGAGAGATAAATTTGTCACTGATCTTTTTTGAATTCCATTTCAAATTTTAATAAGTATTTACTATTACCTTCCCATTTTATAAAATATAATCCATTAGAATTTTTATAATATATACAATTAATAAAATACCTATATATTCTTAAATAATACTGATGAAAACCTTATATCAACATTAAGAAGTTGAATAGATCTTAGTTAAATTCTCAATTGATATTTCATGATTACTATAATCGAACATAGAATCATAAATACATTTATTAATAAGAATCTGTCTTGCATATAGCACTACTGTTCAATTTTAATTAAATCAATTACTTTCTGAGTTCTTATTCGTTTCTAATTAATATGATGCATTTAAATATATCAAAAACTAATTTTATTATTTTTGTTCAAAATAGAGAAATTCATTTAAATCTTTAGGCAACAAGTGTGGTTTCATTGAGACAATATAATCAATATTGTAAATTTGATTGTTTATTAGATATTTCTTGATAAAATTATATAATTTAACATAATAATTATTATGAAGCAAGAATCAGGGACAGCTTGTTTATTTTGCTTGAAATATAAACAAGATGGTTCATTCTCTCTTGTTCTTACAAAAGCCTTATATTGCAAATATGCACAATCATAAAATTTTTACTTCTAAAGAGACATTAATGATATTTTAGAAACCAAAAGAACTAAATAGCGAATTCGACATTATGATAACAATTTATATGATTTAGAGAATGAATACTTAAGAAGGTATATGGTATTTCTCTATCCCAAGATTTTATAAGTCTTCAGAATCGGATACTCGAATTTAATCTCTGCTTGAATACTACAAATATCACATTAATATTCCAAGAAACTTTCATTCGACCTTAATTAATTGTAGGATGGAAAAGATTAGAAACATATAATATCGTAAAATTAAAAAAGAATTGGGAGTATATAATGATGTACAACATAGTCCAACAAAGTAGAAAGATTCATCGGAGGATTGCTCTGTTGAAAATATGAAATATCTATTGAAGGATTTAAAATTAGTGACAACCTAAGCTGATTATTCGAAAATTACAAATTCGACATTGCTTAAAGATCTTATAATTTAGATTGGAAACTGTAATGAGATAGTAGATCCAATTGATTTTTTAGAACCTAAAAACCAGATTCGAATTAATCACTTTCCAACAAAGAGTCAAACGCCATCAAATACAATTAAAATGCACATTGAAAAGCAAATCAAAGCAAATTAAAACCTAAAAGCACCATTCATCTCTCGCTATCCAAAATTTACTACAACATCTAACAAGCCTCCAACTGTTAAGATCGTCATTTCTTAACATCAACACAATTCTCAAAAACCCCAACAATAGTAGCCACCTATAAATAAAGGATCAATGACCACTAGAGTTAAATCTAGATAAGTTTCGATGGGTAACATTGATCAAGCCAAATCAGGCTTACTTACCTCTAGAAGCAATCAAAATCATTAGCTACCTCAATAAAATGATGGTGTAAATGAAGGAATCATGGATTTCGCAATTAAACTCTTTTCTAATTAAAGCACAAAAGTCCCTAGAAAAACTCCCTTTTCTTAAAATAACAACTTCTTTGTCAAGGGAAGCAACAGTCCTCATTTACATTAACTTCCAAATAAGGATGAATTAAAATTATAGTTTAGAAGTTTAAGATCAAAAATAATCTCCCCAACCAGGTAAAGTAAATCAAATGTAGGCAGTCCTCAACATCGTAAAAAATAACAATAATGAATTTTGTTAATAAAAAAATACAAAATATATTATAATTAAATTTCTCATAATCAAGTAGAATAACAATTATTTTCATTATTTATTATATTTTATATATTAATTTCTATAAAATAATAGATAATTCTTTTTCTATGAAATAATCAAGTATAATAATTAGATTTAAGTCCATAAATTGTTCTATAATGTATTTAATTTAATTTTATAATAATTCTGAAAAATGAAACCATACTAATTTGAAAGGATTAAGACTGAAATAAATGATGTTTATGCAGGAAATCAATCCGCTTCCAAAAGATACTACCTGAATTCTAACTCAAAATCGACTGAGAGGAGTATTGAATAATTATTTTAAAAGCTAAACAAATAAAAAAATCTAATGAAAATGTGCTTCAGTTGATCAATATGTGGCATGAACATAGGTAATCTTTGTCAATAACTCCTCTTATGCCTGCGGATACACAAAAACATTTAACTCATAATTCAGTTCATGCACTTCAAGATAATTTAATTGAATAAATTAATAGTAATAAAATTATAATTTCTTAAAAGCTACAAACAACATTAAATTAACTCCAAAAAAAAATGATTAGTCAGATGTCTACTTTTCCACTTCAGATCATAATTATTAGATTCCAATCTGCAAACCTCATTTGACTCTAGATAATTTAATCAAACAAAATATAAGTGAGATATATAACCTATTAGACCCTTCCAATAAAGTTCTGCAATCTTAGAAAGAAAATAAGAGAACTATTTCAAAATCAAAACAAAGTGATAATAAATTAAAAAAAACTAAGGAATATTTAACCACAATCACTCTATTGTCAAATGCACAAAAAGCTGTTCAATAGTTGTATAAGAATCAAGACGCAGCCAAAGCCGCTGAGATTGATAAGTATTCAAGTTCATTAAGTATTAATAGGAAGATTTAATAAGTGATGTTTCAAATTGATAAAGATTTTAGATGAATTATAATAATACACAATTATGTTTAATATTAAGTTATAAAAATATTTTTATTTTCAAAGTTGCCTTTTTCTTTTAATAATATGGATATATATTGTTTTACATAACAATGGGTAAATATAATATAAATTGATACTTAAACATAGATAACATGATTATTTTTAAATCAATTGTATTTAACTATTAGTTTCTCCATTAAGTTTAGACATTCAACTCTTTTTAATCTGAAATCCTCCTTGAAACTACGACAATTACTAAGGAGTTTATTCACATCATTTGGAGAGAATGACATTTATTATAAATATTAGGCTAATTGTCCCAAAAGAAAAGTAAAATTTACAATCTTCACATTTGAGCACTCAAGTACTTAGTCATATAAAAAGGCTTAAAATAATATTAAAATTTACATTTAATGAATTAGGCAGTCAAATTGTAAGCATATTTAACAAAATGAATTGAATACTCAAAATTGTTATTAAATATTTCTAAGAAATCTGAATCCTACATAACTAAATTTAAATTTTCGTTTAAATGCAAGAACGTTTCTTAGAATTGATTGAATGTTTCAAAATGGATTTCTAAAATGCATTTTTCTAAATTTCGAAAAGATTCTGTCATTCTAAAATGTTCAAAATCTCTTAAATCTAATATATTGATTTATTTATCAACAAGATTAGTTTTTATATCTGTAGTTTTGATCATAACATTTTTCAAAAGAATAAAGGATAATTTTTCAACTGTTGATGCTTAAATTGAATTGTTGCCATAGAACTCAAGTAATTGTTCTCTAAGTTTTTTCAGAAACAACAAAAATTCTATCTAATTTTAAATAAGCATTCTGTTGATAGTGAATTCATCATTTTCAGAAGATTATCTATGAAATAGGAACTTTGGCTCTGAATTTTAGTAAAGATGCTTTGGAGGACAATAATTTCTTTCAGATTTGAATTAATCTTCCCTGCATTACTTATTGTCACTATATCTGCTAGTAGTCTGCTAAGATTCAACTTTATGATGAACTACACTCACAGTTCTATCTTTCTTCTAAGTATTAGGCTGTGTTTGACAATTTTATATTTTTTAGTTGGAGATATTATTTTTGTTTTCCTCATCATTTTGGGGGGAAGCATGAGTTTTCAAATAATGCTTACCTTTAATCAGCTAAACTTATCGATTATCAACGTGTAATTACAGAGGAGATATTGTATTTCGTTTAATTTTATCATCTGTAGGACTTACATTAGGGATTATTTGCATTGACTTGTTTTATTTAGCCTCTTGGGGAGTTAAATTTGAAGTATTTGCAAACTATTATTGTAGTTATGGTTAAGTAGGTTGTATTATTGGCTTTTATTATTAGTTTGGAATCTGTTATTATAACTATTACAGGGGTTAAGTTTAAGAGAAAACTTATTAAATTTATTGTTAATGCATTGAAGCTTGTTACTACTTTGAAGTGTTCTTATTTTAAGATACTTACTAAGTTTAATTTTGTGGATGATTTTATGCAGGCTATTATGTTTATTAATATAATTATTAAACTTAAGGTTATGGTTATGGATTTTAAGTTTGAGGTTAAGATTATTATTATGTCTCCTTTTTTGGTTGTCTCTCAAATGCATTTTCAAATAAAGGATGAGTAAAGACTTATTCCCACCCAAATCTATTATTTTCTTCGTAAGCTAAACACCCAGTGATGAATTATTAAGCTGATTTAGAAATTTTTTTTGCTAATATTATTAAGAATAAAATTACAAAAAGCAATTTTTTAATTTCTCTGTTTATTAACTAAATCTAGAATGTCTCTAACATTCCAAGGTGTTTTGCCTTCTATCATTTCGTAGAATATTAAGCCTATAGACCATACATCGCATTTGGAAGTGTATTATCTTCTAAGTAATACTTGTGGAGACATGTAGAGGGGAGTTCCAACTAGGGATGTCATCAAATCTTCATCTAATTTATCGAATCGTTTGGCAAATCCAAAGTCGGCTATCTTGAATATGTTATTGTTGGCCACTAAGATGTTGGCTGGTTTAAGATCTCTATGTATGATTCCTCTTTTAAATGATTAAAGAATCCCCCGCAATATTTATATCAATATTTTAGTAGCAGCTGATTCCTCAATTGGTCCCTAGGATATCAGATGAAACTCTTACTGATCTTTTCATGTATTCTTTTAAGTCTCCTCCGGTACACAGTTCCGAAATTATATAACAATTATTAGCCGTTGTAATTACATCGATAAGTCTAACTATATTGGGACAGTCCAAGTCTTTCATTATATCAATTTCTTTTTGTAATAATGTTTGATTCTCTGAGGAATATTGTTAGAAGGCGATTGCTTTAATGGCAACAATTTACCTAAAATAGAAATTACATAATGGAATACCCTGAATCTATATTTCTACCGATATAGACTACTCCATAGGAGCCTCTTCCAATGACGGCTTGTGTGGAAAAAGCATAGTTGTGAATTCGCTTGTCTGGAATATGTTTAGATAGCTGTTGAATACGAGCCTACATATAAATTAAAATAAAATGAACGTTTGAAAATAAAAAATATATAAAATATGATAATCATTAGTTCTAACAATAATTCAGATAGGATTCGTAATGTTTGAGAATCACCCCCAATCTTCCATTAATGTCGGTACTGTAATACCATTTTAAAAGTCCATTTTCACACATCTATATAGTTTATAACATTTCTAATGAATGTTTCGATATTTTTTCTGGTGAGGTTTCCTCCTTTTTGCCAGCTAGTGCTAGCAGTTGGCTCTTTGCGTTTTCATTCAAAGACAATATTTGGATTATTTCTTCAATGCATGTATGTAATTTCTAGTAGAGAATTAAAGTTTCTTAATCGAAATTGTCAATTATTGATTGTGTAGTTGCATATTTTAGTTTCTAAATATTATTTATAAAATTTACAGAATCAGAATCCTTTATATTTCTTTCAGAAAATCCAACTATTTTTAGACGTTGGATATTCTATACTGTGCAGACGTAAATTGAATGCTGATGAACTGGTACACATTCAATTAGTTTAACTCTCATGCAACAGTCATTGTATTGAGGATCAATTATAAAAGTCAAGTTTTTTTTTAAAGCTTCTGTTATCATTTCAACATATCTAAAATTATTCGTATACTTCATTACCTTTTTTCAAAGAAATTAAATTGAGCTTAAGCGTTGTGATGGATAGTTATTCTGTAAATGAAGCAAGGATCCCCCTCCTGCTCATGCAAACTTTCCTCAGGTTGAGTGATGGAAAGAAATGGCGAGTTAATATAGTTACAACATAGTCGTCTGCATATTGGACAACTCTGTCTTTGCTTAGATTTTATTAAAATACTATACTTCAAGAGCAACCACGATACAATCTCGACAGAAAATATGATTACAAGGTAATTTAACAGGATCTTCAAAATCCTCGAAGCATATGCTACAATTTTCTTAGAGTGACATTATAAGAAATATGTTCTAATTTTTTAAAATTATTTTCTAATATTACATTCTAAAGAATTTCATTCTTAAACATAAACTGAGAATGGTGATGTTCTTAATTAATTAAATTATTTTAATAAATTATTACATGATATTTTAATAACACATAAGTAGCGTATCATTTATTTTTATTTTATATATTATTTATTTTTTTTCATCAACAGATTAGGAATTCTAAACTTATTTTCTTCTATTAATGATTTAATATTAAAACATAATCATCAAATTCATATTAAAAATTGTGAAGAACTTAGCATTTCCTATCTTGAATCATATTTTTTTCATTCAAGAATATGCTGATAAAAATATTAAGAAGCTTGGTGGTTTTTATAAATTTAAGTTGCTTTTTTATTTAATCATATCATATTCATTTCTGAGAACAAATAAACAGTAAATTGCATTTGAAAGCCTATTTGATTTATGTGTATTCAATATCACTAATTTAATTAATTAAATCAATTTTAAATACATTTGTTTCTATTACTATACTCTCAGAATACTCTAACAATTTACCTGAAAGTTTTTGCTTTTTTACATGTTTTAGAAAGATTTGATTAGTAAAACTGAACAATTTTTGAGAGAAGAAATGATATAATATTTGAGATGAGGACAATTAATTGAAATTATATCTTATATCCTTAAGGAATTAAAAACCCATGAACAATCTTGGAAATATAGTTTATTTATCATATTAATTCAAGTTTAACATGATTGTATAAATAATCATTTTCTGATCTTAACAACAATAACTTTTCATAAATAAAATGTAAAAAATATGCAAAGAACTGAATTAAACGTGAAAAGTATAGACATTATTAGGCAGGATAGCAGCGTGAAGAACGTGGAGGCAATAATCAGGGTTATTACTGAGATAACAGTAACTATACAACTGAAAATTTTGGACTTACTAACTAAATGTTGTTTACTCTATTAATGCATTAAGTATTTGAATCCTTTATTCCTTTTCTCACTAAAAATACTATTAAGATAATACAAAAATATGGAATGAAAATATGTGAAATTCCTAAGCATAGCAATGCTAAGCAGTAGATCTCCAATGAAATATTACTTATCTAAAACAAAAATTATTGGATAATACAATTAAAGATGGATCCTTAATAGACAGCCAAATTGCAAATAGAAAAACATACATTGCAATTGCAAACTACAGAATGATAAATATTTTCTATTTCAAAGTAGTTCGTATTCTTTTCATGTACATCCTTTCAAATACACGGACTATTTAAGTATTAATTTTTTACGTATTTCTTTAGGTGATGCTCTGCTTACATCTAATTAGCAAAATATAATATCCTATTGTTTACACCAATATTTGATATTCATAATTTCCTCTTGAATTTGAGAAGACCCATTATCTTTTATATATTCATTCAAAATTATTATAGTCCTTTTATGCTAGCCATTATTTGTAAATAGCTTTTTCCTAATTTACTTGATAGATTTCAAAATGTCTGTATTTTAATCACAAAATATAATGATATATCCTGTAACTTTTGGATCCCTAAAAGGTAACAACGTAAAGAAAGAATCGTAGGTTGGCGTATCAATTAATTCAATCTCGTAATCTGAAATCTTTGATTCTTAGAATAGCTTTTTATTTATAGCCTTAAATTTCTAAACAAGCGTGGTCTTTCCAGCTTGTTGCAATCCAATGACCATTATTGTTTATTTATTCTGGGCTGAAATCAAAGATGAATTTAGATCATTCTGCATAGAATATTAAATAAAATTATCTAATTAAATAAATTTGGGAATATTTTAAAATTTTATTGTATTTCTTAAACAGATTTTTTATATCTCATTATTTCTTTTCTTATTCTCTTGCATTGGTATTTCTTGTATTGTTTTATCTATTGTTGTCTCTGTTATCTCTGTTATCCCTTCTGTCTCTATTATCTCTGTTATCTCTGTTGTCTCTGTGTTCTCTGTTATCTCTGTTTTCTCTATTGTCTCTTTGTTCTCTGTTGTCTCTGTTTTCTCTATTGTCTCTTCTATCTCTGTTGTCTCTGTTATCTCTATTGTCTCTATTGTCTCTATTGTCTCTTCTTTCTCTATTTTCTCTATTGTCTCTGTTGTCTCTGTTATCTCTTCTGTCTCTGTTGTCTCTGTTATCTCTGTTGTCTCTGTTATCTCTATTGTCTCTATTATCTCTTCTATCTTGACCTCTGTTTTCACCTCTTGGAGCACCTCTATTTTATCTTGTGTTTCTTTCTCTTTTTTCTCCTTCTAAATTATTAAATTTATTAATTACATTATCTTTATTTTTATGGAACAACTTCAGATTCAGGGAGTGGTTCTTAATATCCAACAGACTTTTTTTCTTCTTCAGTTGGCTTTGTGGTCAATTTAACGGTCAAAATAGACAATTATTTAGTAATATTGACTTCAACTAATCCTTCTTCAGTTGGTACATATTTGTCCACAATTTAAGTATTTCCAATTTAATTAATCTTATATAGAATTGAATGAGATACTTGTGATAATCCAGCTACTCTTCTTCTTACAATTTCACTAATAACCAATACCTTAGGAATGGCATTATCAATTCCTTTAATCACAACAGAGTCTTATTTTGGGATCTCTTATGTGCCAACCAACAATTCAATAGCTCTTTTGATGTATGAGCCATCAAGTCCTTTGGCAGCGACTCTAATTTCGTTGATTGGAGCTTATGCTTATTCACCTCTGACGTGTTCGTATTTATCTTGAGTTGCTCTCATATAAAAATTAAAAAAATGATTTAAATTAAAATATTTAAAATTGAACTTATTAATAGATATAGATAGCAAAACTCATTTTGAATAATAATTTTTTGAAATTCAAGTATGGATTAATTGTAATCAAACAATAATTGCATTAATATGAGTGATTTTGAGCAAAGCAATTCACATAACAAGCATGTTGAATGTTCTAAAATAAAATTTATAAAAAATGATTGATAATAATAATAGATATAATTTGGGATTGGTTGTGATTTGAATTAATTAGTTAAGTTTATTTTGAATAAATTCAATTAAATAAATTATTTATGAACATTTACAATTATCTCTTTAAGTTCATCATAGTAGGAGATACAAGTAAGATAAACATAAGTATGTTTAGATGTTGGTAAAAGTTGTTTACTGTTGCAATTTACAGATTCCAGATTCAGAAATGAGCATGATGCCACAATTGGTGTAGAATTTGGATCAAGAAATCTAAAAATTAATGACAAATAAATCAAGTTACAAATATGGGATACTGTATGACTATTTCTAAAATATCTAGGCAGGACAAGAATCCTTCAAATCAATCACGCGATCATATTATAGAGGGTATAGAATGAATTGTTAATATAGATCAATCGGTGGAATACTTGTATTTGATGTTACAAGTAGACAATCTTTTGAGGATTTACAAAAATGGTATCAAGAAATTTAAGGATATGCTTGTGATAAAATTGAAATGGTTATAGTGGGCAATAAGATTGACTTAGAAGACAGGTATAGACAACATTAAATTATGCTGTAGAAGAGAAGTCTAAACTGAAGAGGCTAGAAAATATGCACAAAAATAGGGATTCGCATACTTTGAAACATCAGCCAAGACAGGTGAAAATGTAGATAATGTCTTTGAAACAATGGCTAATTAAGTATTAAAGAAAATTGATAGTGGAGAAATTGATCCTACTTAAGAAGTACTCGAAAATGATCATTTTTAGGTTTATGGAATTAAGATAGGATCTATCGGAATCAAAAAGAAGAACGATGTAGTTTAGCCAAGAGAATAGCCAAAAGCTTAACTCGTAACAACAAGTTAGACTTAATAATAAGAAAAGAATGGAGGCTGTTGTTGAACATTATTTTTAATAAATTGTATAATCGATTTCTTCATTTCTTAATTTACGAAGTGTAAATTTATTCTATATTTCATTTTCTTAATCAAACATAAATATTTCAAGTCAATCCTCTGAAGGTCTAAATCTTTCCTTGTTAGCTTTTGTTGCAAGACCCCATAATGTACCAACTGCTATCCCATTCCTACTTATACTTCTCAAGGCATTATGTATATATCCTTTTAAGAACCCTTGTGCTTTCTCTTTTTAATAAAGCTGTTTAATAATATACATATATACTTGAACATAAAAAGATTTGATGGATTTTTTGGGCTGTTTAGTAATGACTTAATAAGCAGACCTTTATTAGTATATATAAATCGGTTGCAATAATAATGTTGAAATCAAGGAAGATCCTATCACAGAGAATCCTACAGTTATTATGTTGCCATTGAAATATTAATTGGGCCTAAAGACATTCAGAAATTCATATCCTAATTTATTTAAACAAAACTAAAATAGACCCATTTCTGCTATAAATTATAAGTATGTATATAAAAAGCGAGAACCAAAAGTGGTTTTAATCCACATCTAATTACCACATGATCTACTCATTTCAGTCATCTTCTATGAATAATTCTTGGTTCTAATAATTTAACATTAACAATACTCATGCTATTTTAGTATTTCATTTTGCAGTCTCACTTTTAAAATGCTAATAGGATGAGATGCAATCATTCCAATCAAATTAGATGTTGCTGCTATTAGTAATACTAATGGATCTGTCATCTTTGCATATCTCAATAAAGGATAAACAGTTGAATTTTCTGGAGTAATATCAAATCCTTTGTTCTCGTCCTCATCTTTGAATCTTGGTGAGATGTAATTCTTAAACGCATATTTGAAGTATAAATAATTAAAGATATAGTATCGTAATACAATCTTACTTAGTGATAAATCAATTCTGCTTTTTAATCCATAATATAGACTACACTTTGAACCAACAATCGTAAAAAATAAGGAAATGATTTACTTCAGAGTATATTAAAGATGACTCCTAAATTAAGGATTTTGATAAATATGTTTCCCTCTAAATACTTCTATTTCCTATAAAATCAATAGGATAGGTCAGCAATTCATAAGCCACCACACATCCTGTTAATATCAATTCTTATTTAAATGGCGTATAATCAGAAGGAAATACTATGCATTAGTACATTAAATTTAATTATAAGTATATTTTATTCCAGAATTAATTAAAATTTTTTTATAGAGCTGGCCATTCTACTATTATACAATAAATACATTATGTTTTTAATCTAAAATTGTTAATCTGAAAATTTATTGATTCCTTTTACTCAAATTTTTTTTAATTAAAATATCTATATTAAACCTTTCTATTTTGTTTTTATAAATGTATAGAGCAAGTTGATTATAAAAATGTATCTGACTTATTTATATAAATTCAACGATAAAGGATATTATTAGAATAAAATTTAATACCGTCGAGATGCTATTTATTAAAATATCATCAAAACAACATACTACTTTTATTCTACATCATACTATTACTAAAGGAATATCACATCTTTCTTAAAATAACATTGCAAAATTAATAAAGTCCTTATTAAAGGCAATATTGTATCAAATCTTTCCTTTTTTGATCTTCATTCTAAGATCTTTCAGGGATTTAAACTTGAAAATTAAATAAATTTGAAATTGATATTATATTTGATTAAAATAAGTCAAAAGTCAACAACAACCTAAGATAACTTTGACATATGTTTTCTATTTCTTTTATTATATAAAAAGTAAGTACGCTAAAAGTGAAATAATAAACTCAAAAACATTTGAAAAAATAATTCATTTATAAATAAAATTCCATTATCATCTTTCAATAATATCTACATTTTTCAAATTTAACAAGGGACTTTGATTCTAATTTCAAATAGAATTTTATAGCATTCTATCAATTAAAAAAGATATATTTTCACATTCTGAATATTTTGTTAAAACAAGAAATAAGAATTTTAGATTTTAATAATTCATTATCCTTTAATTATTAGATATCCCCCTGAAATTTAGAATCAGTTTTTATCGGTAAGGTAGAAAGGGAAAAATATAATGTATAAATGATATATTTATATGAGAATTCATTAATTGATTTAATATATAAATACAAATTAAAAATGGCTCTTAAAAGAATTCAAAAAGAATTAGCTGATCTTTCTAAGGACCCCCCTTCAAATTGTTCAGCTGGTCCAATTGATGATAAAGATTAATTCCACTGGTAGGCTACTATTATGGGACCTGAAGGCTCTCCATATTAAGGTGGTCTATTTTCACTCAATATTCACTTTCCCACAGACTATCCATTCAAGCCACCAAAAATCAACTTTGTTACTCGTATCTATCATCCAAATATCAATCAAAATGGAGCCATCTGCTTAGATATATTGAAAGATCAATGGTCCCCAGCCCTAACAATTAGTAAAGGTAAACTAGTAATCATATAATTAGTGTTGTTAAGTATTTCCTCTTTGTTGACAGATCCAAACCCAGATGATCCCTTGGTGCCAGAAATTGCAAATATTTATAAAACTGATAAATAACGCTATGAGGCAACAGCAAGAGAATGGACAAGAAAATATGCATCATGAAGAATCTATGTATATGTTTTATACATTGCTATAAAGTTATAATATATTTAATTTTGGTTTATTCTATTCACTAATGAGAAGAGGAAGGATATTGGTCATTAGAAGGACTTATTTTTAAGAAAAAAGGCAATTTCTGAATGGATCATTGGATATATATTTTTGTTTGAAATTTCACCAGAGTAAAAATAGAGGATATTTTCTTGAAGCGTTATACATTTCTGCTTAAGTGGATTGATATCTAAAGCAAATTCGATTATCAGAATTCATTCAAAATTGAATAAAATATAATATTCTAAACTTCTTCAATATTGGTATTTATTACACTTATATATTGAATGAATGCTTGTAGAATTGGTTAGAAGTGGATCTAATAGAAATCGGTTGTATTCAAAATAGGAATTACAAAAAGTTTGAAAATATTGTTATAAATTTTTAAAGTGTATTCCTACATTGATTATAAGAAATCTAATCCAAGACCTAAGAATAATATATCCTAATTCTTGAAAGAGATGAGATGTCTAAATTAGGAATTGTATATAATATTATATATTTAATAATTTAAGAGTTTTATGTAAATAATTATTGATGCCAAATTTTTGTTAGGAATAGGAGTTGGCTTTTTTGTGGCTTCATTTCTAATGTTACCAAAAATTTAAAATCATTAGGGTAATGGGTCTAATCCTAAGCTAAAATTATCATCTAAATCAATCCCTTCAACTTTAGATTTAAAATAAGTTTATTTGAAGAAAAGTGACAAATCCAAACAATTTAAAGAGAGGGGATCAACTTTTTAATTATAAAAAACAGGATTAAAGAATAATAAAAATGATTTTTTGGAAGAAGATGAAATTAGAAAGAGGGTAAAGATGGAGTATCATCAATTTGAACCTAAGTTTGATGAAACATTTATTGAAGTCAAATCCATTAATACTTCATCTGACTTTGAAAGCCCATAATAGTTAAGAATTGAATGCACAACCTTATTACCAATAAACGAGAACTTTGTATCTTAACAAGATGATCACTATTTTACTTAAAATGATAAGGGATCCAAAGAAATCGAAAAAGATATTTAAGCGCTAGCCAATATTTAAGAATCTCCAGTAGTTAATAATAATTGCTTTAAGAATGATGAACTAAATGTTAAATAAGTGTTCTAAAATAGAAATTAAGATTTAATAAGGAATGATTGAATAGTAATATATATGTATATAAAGTTTAGTGATTTGAGTTTATAATTTAGAGATCAATTTTTATTAAATTATTATTAATATGAATAAAGAAATATAGCAATTTTTGAATAAGTTAGAGAGTGTTTATATATTTTTAGTTTTTTTCCTGATTTAAGTAAACCTCCAAAACCTGATTTGGAATTTATGGATGAAGATGAATTGTATGAATGGCTTCATCAAAGATTATTATTATTTATTGTTACAAAGGATATTCAAATTGGAGCAGTGGCAATTTAATAATGGTGTTAAAGAGGATATTGTAGTATTTTTCAACTTTAATACATAGAACATTAGAATCTGGAATCCCATTGGTTCATTAATTTCTAACAATCATGGCCGGTCAGTAACTGAAAAAAAATCCTAAAATGGCTGACGAAATAATTAATCTCATGCAGGATGATGAAGAAAAGTCGAAATTGATCTATTAATTGTAATAAACTTAACAATAATAAGTAAGTTTACAAGTTTCAGATGTAAATATGTTATTCCAATTAGTCACCCAAAGTATTAAAAGCTCAACCAGATAAAAAAGACCCTAGCATATTCTAGAATATTTTAACAGCCTTAAGGTGCTGGGATAAAAAATAAAAATGATTCACTTATAATCATAAAAATTGTTTTAAATTTCTACAGATATCTCATAATCTATTTGTGAAACTCAAGATTTAATATACAATCTTCTTACAACCGCCTAAATTCATCAAATTTAATATCAAATACACTATAAATAATTTTATTAATTGAATACTACATATTAATGTAATTACAGCTTTGAAATATTATCTTGGATAGAATACAATATATTGATCAGTTACATTAATTCAAATCATGTAACTTTGACTAAATTTATGATATAATTATATTTTTTTTATCAAAAAATCAATAAAAATTCTGTTGAGTTAATATTTAACTCATGAAGTTTTTGAATCTTTAAGAATAATCTTTAGGAGGAATAGCTGAAATTTATGGGCCTTAAAAGATTTTTTTAAAGAATGATTCCATTTACTTTGAAGTACTAAAAATAGTATTAAAATTAATTACTCAAATTCTGTTAGTATATCTATTATGCCGAAAAAGAAGATTTTAGTTTAATCGTTAGACTTTATAATTTTTATGTCATTAGCATTAGCAATCATCTAAATGTCCTTTTTGTCCTCTATAATATGAATTCCTATTAATAAACTGTAATCTAATAGATTATTATCCGATAAAAATTCTGAATCTTTTTCTATTTATTCTAAAAGTTCTTATTGTTTTTTTGGATCGATTGAGATTATTTCATTGTTAGCCATAAAATCCAAATCTTTACGAGCTACATCTGGATCAAGATTTTATTGAGTAGTTCTTTTATATGTACTACCTTTGAGATCATACTTTTTGTGGATTTAAAATTCGGTCTTAAATACGTTTCCCATTACAATGAAGAAGATCTTTCTGCCATTTATGCTTATTTTATGTAAACCATAGAGCTTAATTATAAGAGAATTTGGGCAATTTTTCAAATAGTAGAAGTAATTGCTTAGTATTTTTCTGAATAATAAAAACTCTTTCTCAGATATTGTTTTTATCGTGTACAATCCGTCTTATGAAAAATAGAAGAAACTTCCACTTTTCCCAGTTGAAGTTAACTCAGTTAAGGTGCTAAGATCACCTTACATAAAACTAAATAAAAGATTTTCAGGGCCAATACTATTTAGATAATTGTCATTATCGATCATCTATAGTCTTCTGATTTAGTTAAAGACCTTAGGTGCATAATCATAGAATTTGCATTTATCTTTATTTTAATGAGAAATTAGTTCAAAACATTATTTTATATCAAAATCCGCAGTTGAAATAAAGGTTTCAACTACAGCATTCGAAGATTTTACTGCCATTTGTATACCTACCATCATATTTATAACTAAGTCCCATATTTCATTGCCAATTTATACAGAAGACTTTTTGTATTTATTATTGTTTATGGACACTTATTTGATAAGGATTTATTCTTAGATCTCGTCACACTCTAATTTTTCATGATATAAACTCTCCATTTTGTTCAAAGAGTTTTCAGTATCTTAATGTAATTTTTACAGTTATGAGTACATTTCTTTAAATTTAAGCTTTAATTAATCATGTGACATTTAATCAATCATACTCATCTCATCTATCTCTGATACACTTTCTGAGATTTCAGCTTCGTCAAATAAAACATCTACTCCATATTTTGAATTTTAAGATAAATGCTTTGATAAATGGAGAGATCTATCTTATTACCCATGAACAGAGTTTAGTATGAGGGCAGTCTGGGCCCTTAGTTAATCAAACTAGTTAAGCATCTTCTAATCTCTCTTGTGTTAACTCTCTTTTATTGTTTGAGTTACTCCTTTTCTCAAAAATTCAAAAATATCCAAAACCTACGGATTTCTCGTTAAGGCTATTATATATTCTTATAATGAAATTTTTTAATCTTTATTTATGTCTATTAAATTGAATATTTGCTACTATCTTTTTTCCATATGATCAAGAATATCATCTGTCAAATCTGTCCCTTTCATAATAGTATATGACTTTATTAACTATTACATACAAAAACTGAAGTCCTTATAGGTGATGTAACCGTTTCTCCTTTGATCGATGATACGAAAAGATATTTCTGCCTTTTCTTCTTAGGTTCCGTATGTTATTTTATCAAAGTAGGCTACAAATTCTTCAAATTCAATGTGGCCATCTAAATTGATATCCATCGCTTAAAATAAGGCATCTCCCAAACAGGATATTGACTCCAATCCCAATACATCTAAATTTGATTTAAATTATTCCTAATTGATGTTTTTACAACCATTAGTCATTTAGATGAATCTAAATAAATTAATGTATAAACAATATACCTTTTTCTAAGCACATTTAGTTCTTTATCACTGAATCTAGTTTCATTAGTATTGAGGAGTGTCTGTTGATACAATTTTTCCTTTCTAAATTTTAAACAATCCATTTTAATTTGACAATCAATTTGGATTCTTTGAAAATAAATAACTAAAAAATATACTTTTTTATCTAAATAAAATAAATGATCAGGGCGGTAATCTTGTTAGGTGGTCCAAGTAGAAAAGCAAGTTACGGAGCATATGAATAAGCATCTCCATTATTTCCAGTTAGCGGGATTGAAATAATTGGTCATCTTTTGAATTCAATTCATAAAATGCCAAATTTGAAGGATTTTGTTCTTATGGGTTATTATGATAAGAAGTGTTTCTAACAATTTTAAGAGCAATACTAAAAATTGTATGGCAAACATATATATTACGTCTAAGAATAGAGAGAAATGGGAACAGCAGGTGGATTAGCATAAAATTTAGATGTATTATTTGAAGAAGTTGAGGGTATTTTACACAAATTAACTCTAAGATCTTTTGGTAGTGCATTCAGATATTTGTTGTGATTTGTAAGCCTAGAAATTCTATGAATATCATAAGAAGTAATTTATATTGGATATCAAAATTAGTAAATCTGGTATTTGCAGTATAATGACGGTTAGAGTATCCAAAGAAGAATCGACTCGTTATGGATGTTTGATTAAGGATCCTAATACAGATTAATTAATACATCATGCAGAGAAGCCAGAATAATATATTTCAAATTTGGTAAATTGTGGAGTATACCTCTTTAATTAATCATTCTAAACAACAATCTTGAATGTTAAGGCAAAAAAAGAAGCCAATTTAAGTGAAGAACTTTAAGATTAACCATTTGTTAAGTATATAAAAAGAAGCACAGATTTGGATAAGTCTTACTTGTCATTAGAGAATGATGTCTTAAAATTGACAGAAAGGGATCGAGTTTTTGTATATGAACATACAGGATTCTGGCAATCAATTAAATCAACAACTGACCTTCTAAATGCAAATAGACTGCTGCTCCAATATTATAGGTAAAATCCTTTCTTATTCAAAAATCCTGAGTTTGAAATTAATGGAGAGGGAGTATTGATTCATAAGAGTGCTAAAATTCATCCCACTGCCAAATTAGGCAGTAATGTAGTTATAGGTGCTGGTTGTGACATTGGGGAGGGAGTTCGTATAAAGAATTCAATTCTATTGGATGGTGTTGAAGTCAAGGTAATTTTCATTGTAAATTATAGAATTTCTCATTTATTTCTAATTCAATAATCTGCTACAATACAATTATAGGATATTGGTGTAGAATTGAAGGTGAGGTTTAATTTTTAGGACCATGTGTGATAATAGATAATGAATTATTTTTAAGGGATGTTATTTGTCTCCAAAATTGCAGAGTGTCTGAAAGCAAAGATGGAGGCTGTTTGATGTGAAATTATAATTATTATATTATCAATCAACACCTAAACATATATCAATTGTTGTGTCATATACTACTGTGGGCATTACTGATTGCATAAATTTCAAGAAGATGAACAATGCCTGCATTGGCTTAATCTCTGCTCCATTTTATTTTGCTTTGTCTAGGAAAGCCTTCATTGTTGTTGAATGATTGCATGGATGTATTGTTACTTATTAATAATGAAGATAGGGATGTTCCTCTACTGTTACTGTTTCATTCTAATAGACGCTCATGATGTCTTCGTAAATTTCTTAATGTTTTAAAGGTAACCCAGAGTTTAATGCCACTCCTTACAGCCATAATCTTGGACAATGATATTTACGGTCATATGTGATAGAGATTGTATAGACTCGAGTCTCTTGTTCATTCAAAGCTTACTATTGCTTTTTACTCATATCCACACACAGAAAACCGTCTTGTCCTTGGTTGTTTTAGAAATCAAAGGACAAAAACTCTTTGATACGTGTTTAAGATGTCGCATTGGCTATGAGATACATCTTTTCTGGATGGGGAGGATCTACACCTTTTTTTACTTGAGCTTTCTTCCATTGCCATCCAGTCATAGTTAATTGATCTCCAGCCTCGACAAACTATTCTGGTGTTAGCCATCCTTTCGAATAGAAATCCTATACTTTTGGAGTAGCAAAAGAATTCACAAAATTGTTGATTCCTTGAAACATTTGTACTTTAATTATTAAAAGCAAATAGAACATTTGGAAAATCAATATAGTTTAATAATATAGTCATTACATGTCAATAAGATATTCTTCAACTTTTTCATATATCAATACATATGCCTATTGCTACAAAACATCTTGTTCTGTAACCAAATATATTTTGTGATCATCAAAATAATACCACTATTAAATACTAATTATTCTTTACCTGATCTTGTCTCGATGAAAATGTAACATAATGGCCTCTTTCAGGTGTTCCTTAATGAACAATGATCGATCTTAATTTATATTTGGCTTTTATGGAACAAAATCTATCATTATTTTAGAATTGTAGTTTACTCTTAAACATCAAGACTGATTGGGAATCTCACATGTCCATTCAACTTAATCCTATTGGGATATACCTGAAATCTCTTTAAATGTATCATCAAATACAGAGGAGGTGTACCAATTACATATTTTTTAACTGCCCTGGTTTCATTATAGCAGTTTTCACATTAATAGTGATCACTAAGGATCTCTTAAGCAAAAAATAACTTTAAACACTTTTCTAAGGTTTGCAACTTATTCATTGGCAAAGATAAATCCAAAAATGATTCAAATTTAGTGGATTATTGGTTGCATTAATCGCATTTGATCAGGGACATCATCTATCCCTGAAAGACAATCTCTGTGATTGGCTAATCATACTTGAATTACCCTTAGATTTCTACAGTCAACTACTCTATGAAGTATCTTAAGAATTCTTGGGAATCATGTTATTGACGGGGGTCAAATTTACTTTTTATCAATTACTTTAATAACTAAATTTTAATAAAGGCTCCTGCCTTTTTGTTAACTGCAATTGTGATTATTTCTAAATAAGCATTTAACCATCGGTACTTGTCTGATTATTGATTGGCTATATTCTTCCCTTCATTCATCATCCAACAATTTATTTATTCAACTGACAACAGAGTTTATATAGCTGCATGCATAAAGCAGTAATTAGATTCGTTATAAAATCCAATAGGAGGCAATTCAAATTGAGATTTTTGGAAAGGCAGAGTGATACTCATATATGAAACAGTATCTACCAATCCTGACTACAGTGAACTCACTCTCGATAAAGTAGGTTTATGAGTTGAATTCTCAAATCCCTCTCCTTTGCTATAATCTTAAACTGAGACTTCAGGTCCTCCACCATATAAACAATGAATGAACACCCAAGTATTTCGATTAAGCAAGACAAAATCCACGTCTTATTTTAAATTTGGCTTGTAAATTGCTTCTGTAGAACATTAGTCAGCAAAGAAAGGTTAGTTATTTATAGGTCCTGGTACCTTTGTATTTATGTGTTACAAATAACTAGTATAATATTTAGCCCAATCAATATGAAGCATGTATTATAATTTGGTTTGCTGTGAAATCAAGGTTCGAATAATTTGTCCCTCCACTTCAGATCTTGTATAGATAAGTGCTTATACCTTTGAGGTGAAGTTAGATGTTTTTTGATGGTCTGGAGAAAGCGATTAACGATGTAATCATAGGCATGTCCGGCACTCTTAATAGTGAACAATACTTACATTCACCTAGGTGATCTTTGTGCTTCCTGATAATGAGTCTTCCAACTTTGATGGCGAGTTCAAGAATTATTTACTTGCAGGTCTCATTAGAACTTGTTTCCCTTATCCAGGATGCTTGAACTCTGGAAATTGTGGAACCACTAGATTTGTAGTTTCATCACTCTCATAAATTCTAGAATATTTACTCATTCATTCGATCTAAATTGTTATCATCAACATCACCTTTAGTTTTTAATAACATATTTAATTATATTAGAACAAAAATCACAATGTAAAAAAACATTCATAAACATCTTGATCAATTAACTATTCTAAACTCTAAATCCCCTCAGTGTTTTCAATTGATTAATCTACAGCAAACACTTGAACACTCATTTTCCCTTGCATAACCAAATTGGCACATTCTCTAAGTTTCTATGGGAATGCATCATCTAAATATCTGATCACATCCTAAATCTCAGTGAATGCGTAATTCTTATTCACAATCTTATCCCAAATAAACTGAGATTCCTCCTACAAAGTTTTAAATTTAATCTCATTGTATAATTTATTTATAGTATATAATTTCTACTCCAAAATGTCCTCATCTTGCAAATTGCTCAGATGCAAATTAGCTTAATTTAAAAACTTCTCTATCTCTTCATTCCCCTCCGATGGCAACACTCCTTACATGTATACCTACAAACCATCTGCACATCCTAATGGTTTTCTCTTAATTAAGACTTATTGACCCATTTTAAAATAGTTGTTTGAATAAGATTATAAGAAATCTGCATAGAAATACAACTTAGAAGTGGTTTCTATATTTTTCAATCCTGTTTAGTAATAATTGAGCACTGATGAAGTCATATCGCTATTCGATTCCCTTTGAACTATATACTTTAAATTTTATCCCTTTAAATTTAATGTCCTAGTCAAATAGGTTTCTTATGAGTCTTCAAATAAACTATCATTTGGCAGTATATTTCCAACGTGTAAAATTTCTATTTTACTGGACAGGAGCGATCCCTAGAATTCCAAAAACTTTTGATAATCCACTTCATCCAATACATTCAATATTTCTTATGGAGTATTAATTGGTCTCAACATTATCTTAGGTAAATAATATTGTTAGGTCAAAAGTGACAATTTCTAATCATGGAATCTTTTGATATCTTTATTCAATAAATCTTTTACATAATAGAATAGCTATTCGTCATCGATACTCATCAAATCAAATAATTTATCCTAAAATTCTAATTGCTTTTCTGAATAACTAAGCATCTACACATTCAGACCATTGATTGTCTCTTTGAAAGATAACTCATATCCAAATAGGAATTCTTATTGAAATAGTCTCTTAGCCAATTCTGAGTAATATTTTTGCAACAACTTCAACATCGTTTTACCTTAAGCTAATGTAGATTCAGGTTTTTCAATGAATAATCCAGTAAACACCATTGCACCCAATCTACTAGGTTTCCACCAAACATTACTAGCAATCTAAAAGGGTGTTAATTAGACTTAAGCAGACTTCTCCTTCTCCTAACAATTTACTGAAAAGTCTGGCAATGGGTATTCGCAAACAAACTCTACTGTTTCAAACTTTGGTTCTCTTGACCCATCAAATTTCCCATCTTTTACTGTTAGACTAATATCATCTACTTGTTAAAATCCAAATCCTTGTAATTCATATACAGGTTCACATACTGATATTATAGCCAAATTTTCAGGTAAAAATGGGCTTATAGATGGTAATGAAAATTAATATTAATTGTTCAGTTCAAATAATTTCACTAATGGCTTTAAATCATAAGTAAAGCCTTAATGGATTTTATTTATAACAGCGTCTAATATAAATATTGAATCATCCTTTTGTGATTCATATGTTTAATTGTATTGGAAATTCTCACTTCCAACCAAAACAACAAAATTATTTGCCAAATTAGATAAATATTGATTGAATTAGTTTCTATCAAAGATTGGTTCACTTTCTTACCCTCTCAATACATAAATCGGATCAGAAAATAGGTTGTACCCAATCTAAACAAGGTTCTCTTCATATTTTGTATTGAATAATAATTCCTCTGTTGCTAACATCTAAGAATATAAATGTTGAAGTTAAGTTTCATCAGCATGCTTTAGATAATCTAAAAATTAGATCAATTTATTTATGGAGATTAAAATATTTCCTAATTCGATATCTAGTGTTATTAGTAAATGATTCTACCACATTGCACCATAAAATGGCTTTGGTAAAAGGTATGCTAAGAATCTTTAACAACTAAATTAATCACTTAGTGATAGGATTGTCAATACTTCTGTATCACTTTTGAATTTTAAGACATGTCTACCTATTGGATGTCTATTCTAGAAGATCGGCTGTTAAAATTTATGCAAATTTTTTAATTTTGTTATATCCGATTAAAATAGTTTATCTAATATAGATTCATATTCATCTTAGGTTTTAAAAATTAGGCTTAGAGTATCAGCTGAAACATGCTATATATATTATTGGTATAGTTATTCTTAATCAACCTCTAATATTTTGAGTTCTTTTAATTCTGTTTATTAACTTAAGAAATCGCTCACATATTCCAAATCCCCAGATTTTGAATCATGCAGCAAATCATCAAATAAATCCTTAGCATTCTTCTCAATATCGATAAATTACGGTTTTGTTAATATGTTGTACAATTCTTATAATTTTGTGTTTACTTCTTCAAATAAACTTAGCTAAGCTGTTAGAGTAGTGTATTGATTATAGATTTCGATATAAAAATTGGTTTATAGACATCTAAAGAGCAGTTCGGTCAACCCAGGCTTGTCTTATGGATCATTCTGCTTTCCAATATTTAATGTAATTGTCAGATGTATACCTTCTGTTGTTGTTTAAATAAACAAAACTTTTATTCCATTCTATAGTTCCTTATAAGTATAAATGTTTTTGGAAAATACAGGTTTTAGTATTTAGATTTCTGATTCTTATGATATTATAAGTTCTTCCAAATCCTAAACAACATTTTATTAATCCTCTAATTGCTCCTCTATTTTTTTAATGATTTAATCATCATCATCCACCCAATCAGTCTGAACATCTGTATATTATTCTATTTTTGAGATATAACTATCCAAAACACTATCTATTGCAAGTTCATCCTCTTTTGGTGCTTTGTTATCACTTACATTTTATAATCCATCATTAATTTTATTTAAAACTTGTTATACACCCGAATCTTTTTAGTGAATGTTTAATTAGTCTCCACGTACATCATTATCAATAGGTTAAGATGGAATTATAACTAAATCAATTAACAAAGCAAGCTTACCATTATAATGCTTCAACAACCCAAATCCTGATAATCCAACCATAAATACTAAAATCAGTATGACTATTGCATCAAATTTAGATGGGCCTGATTAATCATCAAATGTTTTATTCTTATTTTAATCTCCATTCTTTTAATTGGCATATCCTTATTTTTCCATACTCCCCTAGTCTTTAAGTAATCTTTCGCCTTCTTCCTCGCTCATATTATATAAGAATTATTTAATATTCAAAACGGATGATAAAAAATTGATATTCATAAAAACTGTAACATAAATCCATAATTCATTTTTTCATATGCTTTTATAAAAATGGGATGTATGAGATACACATAGCGAGTGCTAGCAAACCTGTAATAGAAGCAATTCTGTCTAGATCACAAAAATTGGATAAAAACCCCCCAATAAAAGGACCTGAGAATTCTCCTAACGAAATAGAAGCAGAGAATATTGCTGATGCAAAATTATTACATTGTTTCACTGAATTTGGATATAATTCTACCAAGGATTCATTTAATTAAGGTAAACTGTAAATTAAACTAAGAATATAGAATAATTTTTACGGAAATGATTATGCAACTCCTGTAACAGCTAAGCTGATGCAACAAATTAATAAATTTCTATCAATTCCAGTAAATGCAGGATCAGGACCATAAAAAAAAAGAGCTAATCCATTTAAGAGTTGAAAGGCAACCATATAATATGGTTTATTTGGATTCTGAATTTTTGTTATCAAAATTGTAGCTACGGTATAGCACATAGGTTATAATCCCATATAAAACCCAACTGTGGACTCCTATATTTGGTAGTGATCCTGCATATATTAAGCCATTAATGGGAAATTGATGGTTATTGAAGTTGTCACCATTACACACATTAAAGCATTGATATAAACATCATATTGTTGGAGAACCTCCAAATACTGTAAAGGCTATTCCATTTAGGGCTCGGAATGTTATGAATGAAGATTTATCTCTATCATCTCTATCTCGCATTCTTTTTTCTTAATTTCAAATTCATAATTGTGAATATAATAACCACACAATATAGAAAAAATGATGAAGGTAATAAAGGGGAAAGTGAAACCTCCTATTGAATATAAAAGGGACCCTATCATTGGTCCAAGCATATATCCGAGTGCAGAAGCTGCCTCAGCCAAAGCTATTTTTTGCTCATGTTCTTCCGGGAATAAAAATGGAATATAAGAATAAAAAGATGTAATGAAAACTGAATACGCCTATATATTTATTATAATTTACTATGCCATTTACAACTCTTGAGACCAATGAAATTATAGTTATATACCAATAAGTTTTTATTAAATAAATTAGGATGAAAAGAAATAAGCATATAGCTTAAACAATCATTGAGCCTGTCAACATTATTTATCTATTCTTATCGTTAAGCACTTCTCCAATTTTGATTGACCCGAAAATTCCCCCCAATGGATGCAATGCAACAATTATGCCTACTAATGTTTTTGATAACCCTTATTCAAAAGCAAACGGAGGAAAAAAAGGGGCTATCAATGCCATGGATGCACAAATGATAAAATTCGCATTATTCAATAATTTGAATAATTCTTATTGTTTATTATTCATTAAATTATTTTGGTTCAATTATTGATTATTTTATAAACATTTGATAACATCTGATAGGTCATCAATATTTCATACTAATAAGTATTAAGTATTGCTTTTATTAAATAATTAATTACATTTATATTAAATTAAATTAACAAACATGTTTACTAGCTCAAGGTAATTTATTCATTTTAAAGCTTTGGGATAGTGAAATATGTTAGCTACTTTGATTTAAGTTGTCAAACTTATTTGAAGTATCCTTTAATCTACTATCTTTTTCTTTTAAATCATTAATAATAATTTTACTACTTTCCTTACTATTATAGATCAATTATTTAGAAATATCAAAAGTATTTAGTTATGAGTATGAGAATTATTTTATCTTAGAATTCATTATTATTTTAATACTAATTCAATTATTTGATTATCTGAAATAATCAATATAATGTTGACTACCTTTTTTAATTGATTCTTAAGGACGATTTTTAAACCTCATTAGATTAAAAGAAGCCAATTTAACTATAAAATCATATGATGATGAAACAAATCTCTCAAGAAATTTCAATTAATATAAAATTCTTATATTATCATGATTTACTTATTGTTCCATTATTTCTTAATTATTTATTATTTTGTATATGATAAATCTACAATATTTTTTCTGGCCTTTCTTATTACATTTTTAGTTCTTCTTTTAATATAAAGAAATAGTAATTACACCATTCTTAATTTATATTAAGCATCCTATTTAGGCATGCATAATAAAATTAGGCCATAGCTTAATAAAACCTTGTTAATAAGTAATGAATATTCTTTTGTTTTTTGTTAGAATTTACATTTCAATAATAATATTAAAAATGATATGATAACATAAAACATTGGTCTCTTATCATCATTTTTTATATATTTAATAAAAGTATTTTGATTTGCAAACTTTTTTTTTAATAAATTTTTAATTATATTTCGATTAAGTTGCTCTATCAAATGAAAAACTTAATTTTTAATTTAATGATACCAATTTTAACCAAACTTTAATTATCAAGATGTGTAAATCAAAGAAACTAGATTTTTTTTGACTTAGATGAATTTTGAAAATCATTAAAGAATGATAATTCTTTTATAAATAATAGTAATAGGATCAGAACTAATGATAGTGTTTGTTTTAGTTATTTTTTGACAGATTAAAATTGCTCAATCAACTCAAAATATTATATGGACTTTAAATTAACCAATAATAATCATTTACGAATTTATACTATAGACTACTTGAATAAAACGAGTAGTAATTATAAAAGAAGTATTTAAAAATATAAGCTAGCCTCAACAATAGGTTTCAACTATAATGAAACCAATAATTTAGTAGTAAAAATAATAAAAAAAACATTTTGAGGATATAGAGAGTTAAATAAATTCTTCGATTGATTTCAACTTGAAATTAAATTAAATTATTATCATAGCTCCACAATATAAAATATTTTTAAGTTACTAAATTAAAAGCGAATTAGACTAAATAAATCATGATTCTAAACTTTATTTTTTGCGCACTATCAATTAATTTAACCAAGGCGTAAACTCTCCATTGTTCATTTGTTTACATTAAAAAATTTCATTATTTTTTTGCGGACCTAATTAAGGCGATTCACTTATAGACTCTTAAAAAACTATTCCTTTTTTCTTTGACTTTTCGCTATGATGATTTTAGATTCATACTAATATTCTAATTCTTTATTTCTTGGATCAGTTTTAAATTATACTCCCAGTTACCTTAAATATAGCACTATTCTATGTTCACTTTCAAGTTACTCCTAATTAGAACAATGGAACTAGGGTAGAAAGCTATCAAGCGATTCCACGGATTCAGTAGGTAATATTTGTTTTTCTAATTGTTCAGAAAACAGAAGCTCGATCTTGGATTTTGTCAAATCACTTCCTCTTTTACCATACTACATTTTATAAATATTATGTTTATTAATAAATTTTACAATCTCCATTGTTGTGATTAATTTTTAATTAGTTTGTTTTGATAAAGTCATAAATTATTATTAGCTTCTATTATTATCAAATCTAATGATATAATTTTTATCATTGTTTTGTTTGGTAAATTCAAAGAATTGTAGAGCCGGCCAAAATATTTAATTATTAAATATTATTAAGAATCAACTCGATGTTAATTTATCTTATCTTGTATTTATAAACATAACCTTGATGAAAATTTCATTTTTTAATTATAAACTTTCATATGCTTATGGTAGCCTTATTTATATTCAACAAAGGTTTCTCTAATATTAAAGAATAGATTGAATATTTTCAAACTTAACAATTTCATAGATACTATTTTGGAAATCTTTCAATTTAAGTAATAAAAATAAAGATTATTCCAGAAATCCTTCATTTGCCTCATCCAATAAATGATTTAAAATCAATAATCATAGAATATATCAATTAAGGGAACCTTTAAAATTTGAATTTCTGTTATTCTAAAATATCATCGTCATTTGCTTGTATGTGTTGAGCATTAATTTCCTAAAATTAAACCTAAAGCCTTTATTGAATAATAAGAGCTCTCCTTAAAAGCTTTGTAAATTAGAAATTAAATTTATTATATTAAACAACTAAATGGAAAGTATTTTAGATTAAAAAATTAAAAATATGGTTGACTTATATTTTATATGATTTATCAAAAATTATTACTTTATTATGTTTAAGCCATATAGTTTAGGACTTTTTATTCGCTTTCTTTAATTAATGAAATTCTCAAGGACATTGATTTTTTAAAATTGTTCAAAAACTTTTCAGCTTGCTCCTATTTTTAAATTAATTCTTTAAATAATTCAAGAAGTAAAACCTTATTTTAATCACCCAAATTAGATTCTTCAATGTCAAATTACTTTTGAACAATATTTTAAAATAGTGAAGTTTCAGATTTTACAGATTCAGTTATTGCTTTAATTTTATCTATCTAATTTTTAGATTTGCTTAAACTTTATAAACCATTGAATATTTCACAACTGACTTTGATTAATAATGAGCAATTTTTCTGTAATTAATCTTTTAGTGTCTTAGTTTGCTAAACTAATTCTTTTATTATGATATTTATTTCATCAATTGATTTATCCTATTCAACTATTTTTGAATTAAATCTTTACTCTTGCTAAATTAGCATTTTCTCATATAATATTTTACTCAAATTATTTTATTCCACACTTTCATATTAGTCAAAATTAAATTTATTTATCAAATCATACAAAGATGTTTGATACTAGTTTAGTAATTATTAGAACTTTCTTAATACTTCAGTAAGCAATTAATTTGGACTGTCTATACTTTCCCTATTTAAATATTTTTCCTCAAATATTTCAAGAGACATTTCAGATATAAATTATTCTAATTCATTTATATCCTATTTCTTCATATCCAATTCTTATTTCAAATCAGATAAATCCGTTTATAAATTCGAAATTTCGGCATCTTTTACATCTAATTATTCTTTGAAAAACTTTTCAAGACTTTATATTTTATTTCCCATCTCTTCTTAAAGTTGTTTATTATTTACTTACTCTTATTCTAAATATTAAATTTATTGAATTAATGTTTCAGATTAAATTTATTCTTTATTTGATTTAAGAGCACTTTAATGTTCATATTACCTTTCTTAATGAAGAACTGAATATTATTAAATAATTTTTTCTTTTAAAATTGAATCCTAAACATGTGTATTAAGAAATAAGAAAAATAATTATTCAACATTCAAATTTTATTCGATATTTGATTAATTATATTAAGAAAAAGTTCCTATTAAATTAGATTAAGTATTTTCTAAATTTTAACTAAATGCTGAAATCTATGGGGAATCATTACTTACAATTTAGAAACTAGGCTAATCTTAATACTCAAATTGTGCATTTGATTATGCTTGTTATTGTTAATCTTGATTAATTTCTAATACATTTTAATTTTCAATTTTTTGTAATTCTGAATTTATTACTTAATCATTTTAATCTTCATTTATTTGTTAATGTTATATTTCTACTATTTCATTTGATTTTTCATTTTACTTGGATTCACTTTAATGATCATATTAATTCTCTAGTTATTCATAAGATTCTTAAACTTAATTGTATTCATTAAAATTAAAATTTTAATTTTAAATTTATTTTTATTCATTCAATTCTTCATTTTACTTTTATTCATTTTAATGTTAATCTTAATTTTCGACTTGTTCATTTGATTCTTCATGTTACTTTTATTCATTTTAATGTTAATCTTAATTTTCGACTTGTTCAATTGATTCTTCATGTTACTTTTATTCATTTTAATGTTAATCTTAATTTTCGACTTGTTCATTTGATTCTTCATTTTACTTTTATTCATTTTAATTTTAATCTTAATTTTCTGTTTATTCATTCAATTCTTCATTTTACTTTTATTCATTTTAATGTTAATCTTTATTTTCGACTTGTTCATTTGATTCTTCATTTTACTTTAATTCATTTTAATTTTAATCTTAATTTTCTGTTTATTCATTCAATTCTTCATTTTACTTTTATTCATTTTAATGTTAATCTTTATTTTCGACTTGTTCATTTGATTCTTCATTTTACTTTTATTCATTTTAATGTTAATCTTAATTTTCTGTTTATTCATTCAATTCTTCATTTTACTTTTATTCATTTTAATGTTAATTTTAATTTTCGACCTGTTCATTCGATTCTTCATTTTACTTTTATTCATTTTAATTTTAATCTTAATTTTCTGTTTATTCATTCAATTCTTCATTTTACTTTTATTCATTTTAATGTTAATCTTAATTTTCTGCTTGTTCATTCGATTCTTCATGTTACTTTTATTCATTTTAATGTTAATCTTAATTTTCGACTTGTTCATTTGATTCTTCATCATTCCTTTATTCATTTTAATTTTAATCTTAATTTTCTGTTTATTCATTCAATTCTTCATTTTACTTTTATTCATTTTAATGTTAATCTTAATTTTCTGTTTATTCATTCAATTCTTCATTTTACTTTTATTCATTTTAATTTTAATCTTAATTTTCTGTTTATTCATTCAATTCTTCATTTTACTTTTATTCATTTTAATGTTAATCTTAATTTTCTACTTGTTCATTTGATTCTTCATTTTACTTTAATTCATTTTAATTTTAATCTTAATTTTCTGTTTATTCATTCAATTCTTCATTTTACTTTTATTCATTTTAATGTTAATCTTAATTTTCTGTATATTCTTTCAATTCTTCATTTTACTTTTATTCATTTTAATGTTAATCTTAATTTTCTACTTGTTCATTTGATTCTTCATGTTACTTTTATTCATTTTAATGTTAATCTTAATTTTCGACTTGTTCATTTGATTCTTCATCATTCCTTTATTCATTTTAATGTTAATCTTAATTTTCTGTTTATTCATTCAATTCTTCATTTTACTTTTTATTCATTTTAATTTTAATCTTAATTTTCTAACTTGTTCATTTGATTCTTCATTTTACTTTTATTCATTTTAATGTTAATCTTAATTTTCTGTTTATTCATTCAATTCTTCATTTTACTTTTATTCATTTTAATGTTAATCTTAATTTTCTGTATATTCTTTCAATTCTTCATTTTACTTTTATTCATTTTAATTTTAATCTTAATTTTCGACTTGTTCATTTGATTCTTCATTTTACTTTTATTCATTTTAATGTTAATCTTAATTTTCGACTTGTTCATTTGATTCTTCATTTTACTTATATTCATTTTAATGTTAATCTTAATTTTCGACTTGTTCATTTGATTCTTCATCATTCCTTTATTCATTTTAATTTTAATCTTAATTTTCTGTTTATTCATTCAATTCTTCATTTTACTTTTATTCATTTTAATGTTAATCTTAATTTTCGACTTGTTCATTTGATTCTTCATTTTACTTTTATTCATTTTAATTTTAATCTTTAAGGTTTTTGCTGTTTTATTCATTCAATTCTTCATTTTACTTTTATTCATTTTAATTTTAATCTTAATTTTCTGTTTATTCATTCAATTCTTCATTTTTCTTATATTCATTTAAAACCTAAAATTCCTTTTATTTATCATCGTTATACTCTACTTATTCATTTTATTCTTGAATTTTTCCTTTCTTCTCATTTTCTCTTTATTGATGTTATTCTTCATTAAACATTCCTTCCAATTATTTTGTATTCCTATTTTCCTCTTCTTAAGTTTTACAATTCGCTTAATTAATTTATGAATTATTTTATTCTAAATTCATATTTTCTCTTTTATTATTATCTTTTGATTCATCACATAGTTCTGAATTGCTAATAACATTTTCTTCATTTTCTTCATGATTATCTGTATTTTATTATTTTTAAATTGCATGCATTTAATTTTCTTCTCCTTCTATCATCTATTTTTCAGATTCACTTATTCTTTTATAATTTTCTGAGTTATTTGTATCTTCTTAGTTCGTCTACTCATTTTTATTATCCTCATCATTAATTTCCCCCTTAAATTAGTTTTCTTGATTTGAAATTTTTTAACTATTCATATTAATATTGAAATTTATATACAAATTTAACATCTTTTTAATTGAATTAATAGTTCCAGAATCACTTAAATATTCATAATTCATAAAAATATGAAAATACTATTTTAAAATTATATCTTGCTGTATAATTAAACAAAACTTTGTTTTAGGTTTCAAAATCATTTCTTTTCTTCAATATATAACATTATTTTATGTAAAATTTTGATGTCCAGAATTTATCCAAGTGAAGCTTTAAATTAAAAAATTTCAAATATATAAATAATAATTTAAAGGCTTTATACTATTATTAGAAATTTTAATGAAATAATACAAAAATAATTTAGAGAAAGAAGAGGAACAAGCTTTATAATCTACTATTTAAAAGCATTAAGTTGAAAATTTTATTTAAGAAAATAAGGAAGAAGTTCCGAATTAAGAATATCAAAAAAGTTACAGATTGAATTAGATTCGAGAAAAGAAATAAAATTCAATTAAATAATAATTAGATGCACTATCAACAGCTACATCCAATTTTTACAAAGAATCGAATGAAAATCAAATTAAGGACTAGCAAACTATAGTTTAGTTTTATAAGAAGATGGATTAAAGTTAGATTAACTTAATTAAATAATAGAGAGTAGCAAACAGAATTATTTCAGCCAAACCACTAAAGCATTTAGTGATTAAGAAGGGATAGGAGTCATCTTAATTTTAATAATTTGAAAGCCATGAATAAAAAAGGTCCCTTCTTATTTTTTAAGGTTAAGGTGATAAGCAGTTATAATAATAGGATGAGGAGATGATTTCTGTTAATTAATAAATAAGTTAGGATTAACATTCACAAATATTTAAAAGACCATCTAGATTAAGAAAAATTTCTCAATCAAATGGAGCTTATTTAGCATAAACAAGCTAATAATAAGAACCATAAATAGAATCCTAGTTATTGGAATCTTCTAAAGAATAAATAATAGGAAATTAAAGTTAAAAAAGTAATAAGGATGAATTATACGATTCATTAGAAATAGAGACAATTTAAAATATTTCAAAAATGAAAGAAGTAAGAAAATTATCTATTCTAGAGCTAATTCGATTCAATAACTAAAATAGAGTTTAGGTTTAATGCCAAAGAAGGATCACTCTATATGTTGGGAGAACTTTTGACAAATCTATAAGAGCTAACATTAGATAATTCTAATATTGAATCTTTGAGACTATTAGGCACAAAATTGACATTTTTATAAATATTAAGTATTAGAAAATCAAATTTAGTGGATTTATCGGGTAAAAAACAAATTAATCTTAGGAATACTAAGTATGCCTAATTTAGTAGAGTTAAATTGTTCATTTAATAGTATAAATGATGTGAGCCCCTTAGCATTTCATTCTAGAATTGCAAGTTTAGATCTTGAAGGGAATCTTTTAACTGATGAATATCAATTGGGTCATTTAGAATCCTTAAATTTATAAAATTTAAACCTTAAGAAGAACCCAATATGTTGTAACTAAAAATTATATGAAATTATCTGTCATAGATTTGCTGAAATAAAATTAGAAATAGATAGCAATTCAAAAATTACAGAGAACCCAACAGATGAATAAAAATAAACTTCGAAAATTCAATCTTAAGAATAGAAAATAAATCAAGAAGAATAAAAAATTAAATAATTATAAACACTTATAGATGATTTAGAATAGAATAAGAGTTTATGTTAATCTCTGAAAGGAAAGCAGTAGGAGAAACATAAATTGAGAAGGCCTCAAACTGCTTAAGCCTAGCAAGTAAAGCCAGCATCACCACTCTAAAGCTAGAAACCTGATTATTATGATTTACTCATAGATGAAAATTGCAAAGATCCTAATAAGAAAAGCAAATAGATTTATAGTTTAAAAAAACCAATTTTTTGATTCATATATTATAATAAAAAATATCAGTATTAAATAATAAAAGTAATTTTTTCAATATATATAAATAGTTCATTAATTTCTAAGATCATCAAGAATACCTTAACTTTGTAATTCTTCGATTTCAGACTAATTGTACCACTTAATTCTTTTTCCATCGTTCCATTCCCCTATTTTGAAAGAATTATCCGATTAATAATATATGCCTACACCACTTTATTTACCTTTCACCCAAGTTCCAATATATTTTTTCCCATCATCCCAATAAAAAGTTCCTTTTCCATGTTTCTTGTCCTCTTTATATTGCTGCTATTTAAATCAAAATCTTTACTCCTTTATACCTTCTACCGTCCGCCCATTTTATTTCACCAAATCCATGCATTTTATTTTTACTCCATTAACCAACATAAAATCTACTATCTGGCCATAAATACTGTCCAAATCCTTAAATTTCATTATCTCTAAAATCACCTCAAGTACAAAAATTTTATACCTTAATAACAGGAGCCATCAGCAAAATTCAATTTTCCTGTTCCATGTTTTTTCCCATAATAATAATCACCTTCATATCTAGCACCATCAGGCCAAATCTCTGTACCCTTTCCATGTTGATAATCATTCAACCACTTTTTCATTTATTTAACCAATATACTTCTCCTGAATATTTAGCTCCATTAAGATGAATATAGGTTCCTAAACCATTTGCAGCATCGTCCAACCAATCACCATCATAGACATCTCCATCCGCATGAATCAGCTTTCCCTAATTTTTATTATATTCTTTTTAACCTTCCCACATGATCTATCTTCCTTCCAATCTCCTTCGTAAACTGAACCATCAGGCCATTGTTGCTTGCCAAATCCATCTCTCTTTCCATTTAACCATTCTCCTTCATAAGTTGCCCCATTGGATAATTGCAATGCCTAATATACATTTATAATACTGGAAGCTGAGATCTCTCTTTCATTCCAATAGTTTATAAAATAAGTGGATGAATTTACTAACTCTAAATTTAAGTAGTAAGATTCTTCTCTATTTTTTTAATTGAAATTTTGCTATGTTGAGAAGATACCATCACATCAGAAACAGTATCACTTTTAATTTTCAATATTGTTCCTTCAACTTTATCTTATTCTTATTCCTTTTTATGAGAAACTTTTGACTTTTTTGATTATATCTCAATAGACTTGCTTGAATTTCTTACAGTGTATAATTCTTCTTTTGAACAACAGGTGCTTACGCTACAAGTTTGCCCCATTTGATTAATATTATAAGATAAAAAAAAAAATAATTTTCACAAGAAAATTAATTATATTTATTCTGAATAAACTTTATCATTTTTAAATCAAAAGTACTAATTTTAATGTTAAAATTTATGAACACCATTGACCCAGATTAAGGCTAAAGTAGTTTGTCTAGACTAATTTTTTTTTTCATTTAAAATTAATGTTGATTTGAAATCTAATAATCAATTTATATATTGGATTAATTTTTATTAATAAGATTTTTAAACACATATTTCCAAAATATATTTCTTTTTATTAATTTGATTGTCTCTATTTTATAATTTCTCTAGATTTAACAATATGAATGCTATATTCAATTTTATCCTATTCCAAAGCAAAAAATAAAGAATTTATATTTTGACTTATCAAATTATAGTGACTATGCCATTATTTTCAAATTATTTAATCATCAGACAAATTATTAAAATAAACTCTTTTTTGATTTTTCAATCAACAAAGGTATAAAAAATTGAAAGACTTAAGTATTACTTGAAAACAATCTTAATAAACATATATTAGTATTATCAATTAATTAAGAGTCAACCTGTTTCTTGTTATTGTAGCAATAATCTAAGCTATCTTTCGTAGGACTCATCTTCAATCAAAATTTGTAAAGGGGTTATGTTGACTATTCTTTTGATTAAATAATATTGATAAATCAAATATTATCTTAATAGCTTTGCAATTAATATACATCCAAAAAATGCTATCACAAAATACACTATTGAAAGAGACTAAGTCAATATTGAATATCTACCTTACTAAATGAAAGCTAAGCTTTTGTTATTTCTTCAATTCCATAAGACAATTAATCATTCAGTTATATGAATATTCTAGTTATAACTTAGGAACCTTCTTGTTCGTAGAGATTATATGATAGCCTACTAGTGAAATTATTGACACCCTATTCTGCTTTTACTAAGTTGGTGATATAGTTTAAGCTCTAAATAGTGCCTTACTTTAAGGTTCCTTCAAAAGCTAGATTGCATTATTTGTACATAAAATTTTTGAAATCCTAAAATAATTAAGTATTTTTACATCTGTTAAAATATCGCATAAATTTTCAGTTTCGACATTGTTATAATACTAAATAAAGGTGTCAGAAACTATTAATTTATCGAAATTAAAGGAATTAGCATATAATACATATTAATTCATGGTTTAAAGTGCCTAATTTACTAGAATGTACAATCTTTATTTATCATACTCTGTCAGATAAGTAAAATTTACCCAACGATAAAAGAGTTCTTTCTACATAACAATACTTCCTGATCGAAGTTTTAAATCAGAAATCATTTTAAAGAAATCTATTGTTGATTGATACTTTTCAAAAAAGTTTTAATTTGATTGATCAACTAATGTTGAATAAGACACAAAGATCACGCATATTAAAAATAAAATTAATGCTGGTCTTATTCTACTTACTTTAAAGATTTTTTTTAACTTTTTACTTTTTTTATTCATCTAATTATTGGTTACTGAATTTTTTATTTTAATTTAACAATTTTCGAAATTAAATTAGTAATCAAATATATATTTTTCATCATGAAGAATCTGAGATAATATTGATTTCAATTTTTAAATTTCATTTTCCATACGATCTAAAGAAAAATAATCCAGAAGATATAAAAATTTATCATATTAGACCAAATATTGATTGTAGTAAAAAAATGATATAAAACTTGTACAGGATATAACTAGAATAGAAATAAGCCAAAAGATTGTCCACTTTTAGTTTACACTTACTGATCTTTCTTTAGAATAAACAAATATTTCCTCAGTAATTTAGGTCAACAAATCATGCAAGTCAAAATAATTAGCATAAAGAAATACTTGATAAGTAGATCCACTTGGACTTTCTCTCCTCCCATACTTCTTAGCATATGCAAATTGATATTGTAATATAACTAGTAAGACTTCTCTAAATGTCATTTGTTCAGACACCACTGAGGAGTCATTATCTTTCATGAACCTAATATTCATATTATAATCATTATAGAACAATTATAAGTATGGGTTAGTTAATTATTTATATAGACTATTTTTCAATTCTTGATATCCGAGATAAATGTTGTCATAATAAGGGTCGGTCAATTGAGTAAATTATGTCAGATTTATAAATCCTTCCCTTTATGCTTACTAATAGGATGACAAAGTAACTCTCATTGAAAAATAAAGATCGTGTGGCGCCATCACATCTGAATGAAGGCCAATCATGTTTATTTCAGTAATGCTGTTATCTAAATCAGAGGGCATTAAAGATAAAATTATGATGAAATAAATCATTTAAACAAAATTTTAGATTAATAAAAACCCTATAAATTAATTGACTTTTTAGGGAGGTTTTTAAGAGGTAATCTTTCCAACCAACTCATATTTTTTATAATTCACTGATTAGTTTATGCTAGCTACAGACGATTACGATTAAGCATATTATTATTGTTAATCTTATTATTTTTATTAAGATTATTTATTATCAATTTTTTCTTGAGATGACTAAGATGATTTATCCTTGAAAGAATAAATATGAGATAATTTGCAATTATAAAATGCCTGCTATGATTATTTTCTGACTTTATAAAGGGACTTTTTGGTTTCACTTTCATTAATTAAATTTTCAGCGGGTTAATTTTGATTTGTGTCCTTAATCTGTGTTTATATCTGGCGAGTACTTTAATCGCCGTTATTATTAAAAAAGGTTGTTAATGGTGAGAAAATGGATACTTAATTATTCAGATCTTGTACATAGATTTAATTTGCATGATCCTCATCAACTTAACTGAGGATACAACTTTAACTATAACTTATATTGGAAGTTTCAGAAATCAATGATTCTTATTCATTTATTTCGTCTATTAAGTTATTATTTTACCCACTTAATTATTATATATCTTAAATTTCTATTATATAATAAGAAAAATCTTAATGGGTTCTTTCAATAATGTTAAGTTTAGCTATGAAAGATAATACCTTCTCTTTTTGTTTCCAGATATTCGGATGTAAATTGGACATTCTTTTCTCTCTATTCTCTACAACTGTTGATTTTCGGATCTTCAGATAATCAAAAAAGAATAGTTTTTCAACTAAAAGTCTATTATCTTGTTGTTATCTCAACAAAGCTTCATCAAATTATGGAAAGATGTTATAAATTGATATTTCATTCAAATATTTATGCTTCACCATTTTCACGATCAAATTATCATCATATCCAATTTTCTATAGAAAATTAAAAGAAAAACTAACAAAACTTTTATCAAATCCATCCACTATGATGTAACATTTTTCATAAACTAATTCTTAAATGAATGCTACAAAAACCAATTAGGAATGATGAAAAATTGCAGTTGTATCATAACATAATTAGATCCCTTTAACTAAACAATCATGTACATTTACAAAATTAGGACTAAAGTTTCTATAATATCGAGATTTCCCTGTTGATAAAAAAGTGTTAACCATTAAGGGATGGTATTAATAAAAGAACAATGGTAGTATTTCTCGAAAACAAGTATTTTATTAATTAGGCTTTCCAATTAAATTAAGCATATGATTTGAAATCGTTTAGACTTCCAAATGTTTTAAATCTTCATTTAATGATAATATTACATAGGCACTCTATTATTAAGTCAAATTTAATGCAGAATGATTATTTTATATAAATTTTAGGTCTACATTAATTGATTGATTGTAGACCTTATTAGCTTCAATGTAATTGCTGTATAATTCAGCCAAAAAAAACGTGAGCGCCTTTTATAATCTGATACTTGGATATTTTTCAAATTAATTTTTGATATAACTTTCTGTAGAATGTAGATCATTACAAAGTTTATTTGTTTTTTTAAGAGTTTTGTTTAAATCAAATTATTATTGTTCTTTAATGAGTTCAGAAAAAAAGGATACTTTTGAATTTATGAGGTTTATTATCATTTCTTTAATTTTGGATACTATAAACTCATAATGTAAATATTAATTAATTGAGTCAGAAATAAAGGTCTATTGAGCAGCCTATAAAGAAGAACCAAAAGAGGCTTTCATATTCCACTTTGTTTAATTAAATAGTTGGATTGTCCTGGCTCTATCTATTATTCCTAAACAAATTTTAAAGCCCAATTTCATGTCATTTGCATTTTATTTGTCCTTCTCAGAATCTAATGATTTAAACTTCTTATACTACTAAGTAGTGGATTTGATTGTAAGTTCTTTAGTGAATTTTTAAATTGTTGTTTTATCAAATTCATTATTAAGATTCTTATTAGCTGAGGGATAAACAGTATCATTTATTAATATTTAATTAAAAGCTTTAGCAGCCAACATAGTCCATCCAAAATCATTTAGAAATATAGCATATTGAATAAGTAATTCTTAATTTAAGTAAAATTCTGAGTTTTTAGAGTTAATAACTTTTTTAATTAATGATATTTTTTCAAATATAAAACTTCTAAATATTTACCCTGTTATTGCATTTGCCTACCTTGGTTCTGCAATATAAAAAGTAGTAGTACAAGAACATTATTTTTGTTGGCATTGCTTAGAATGAAAATAATTTATTAAAGATGATCTAATTACAATATAATTTTCATTGATATCACATTTATTTAACATATTAATTAAAACATTCATTACTATTTTAATGTTGGGTGTATTAGTAGATTAAAAAAATAATAGAAATTCTTAAGTCTTCCTATAATTGATATTTGATAGTATGTAAACTAACATTAAGGGAGTAATCACTAATAATAAGAATATGTAATTGGTTGATGGGCTAAAACTATCCACAAAGCTAAGGACACAAAAAAGCAATTAGAAGAGATAACCAGAATAAAGTATGATTTCTTAATATCTATAAATGTAAATTGAACTTGTAAACTAATTTCTGATTGCTATAATTTAAATAACAAACACTAAAATATACTGAATAATTCTAATGGTTTTGGTATTATCAATTAATGTAAACAAAATAATTGAAATAGTTGAAAAAACATATATAATTAAATTGGATTTGGTAAATTTTAACCTTTCCATTGGTCTCATTTTAAATGTTATTGGTTATCTATTAATGGAACAAATCAAAATTTAATCTATTTGTAATAATATGAATGTTATTATTCCGAATGTTAAATTTACATATTGGATTGGCTAGTCTGATTTTATTAAAGTTACACTTCTTTTGATTGACAATAAAATGATTGTATTAAATGGAGTAATAAAAATAGGACAAAGTAGTTGTTAATAGAAACTTTACATCCTAACAAAAATTTATAAGGGCATATGATGCTAAATTTATTACACAAATTTGTCAGAGTGAAAATGATGTTTTATCATATACATCAAAAAGACAAAGCCTATTTTACTAATGAGTACTACGACTAAAATAAATAAATATATTAGTTCTTCTTGGAGTTGTTAATTGATGAGAATATAAATGTCTGTTCTAATTAAAAATGTATATATCAGATCTAGAGATGAGTTTACTTGAACATCCTTTATTTACGTAAATGTCGGATGAATAGCCATTATCAAAGTTTGGAGAGAGCTGATTACAAGTAAACAAATCTCAATGGCATATGAACAAGCAAATTATCCTCTCACAAATATTGCTGTCATCACCCATAAGTCATATAAAGACGAGTTTTAATTCAGTTTATTTTACAACATATAATTTTTAATGTTTGAATATTGATTCATTATTTAATATATTTATGTCTATAAATCAAATTAAACCTTAATGAAGTGCTATTTCTCTGAGATATCTTTCCAAAGATTCGTCATATAGAATTGACTCTTTCGGTATCAAAAATAAGGACTATCTGATTTAGTGGTATTCATTTATTAAATATTATCTATATAGTTACTTTATGAAAATAATTAGAAAAGCAGATACAAGCATATAAATTAGAGAGAAATACTAATTATAATTAATAATCTTACAATTAAAAAATTATTTAATTCATTGCAAGTGTCTTTCACACTTTGCAAAAATAAATTTGATAATCCAAAAAATGATCGAGTGACAATCTAAGATCCTTCTTACTCATATAGTTAAATTTCTACTCTCTTGGTGAAGTTATTAATCTACTATTAAGTTTTTATTGAGTTTGTAATGTAATTTAAAGCCTCTATTAACCCTTTTGATAATGTGCCTTCGAAGGACTTATCACAATATAATAGCATATATTCTTCCAATTACTGAAAATAAAATATAATCTTACATCTAAAATCTCAAGGCAAATATTATTTTTCTAAATATTCATAAATTTATCTTCAAATTTGCTCCCCACCAAATATTAAGATGAATCAAAGGTTGAGGATAAAATAATATATTAAGCTATTATTTTATGTGACTAGTCAATGTACTAATATAAAATATCTCTTTCACCTTATGTTAAAAAAGTGAAGTTATCCCATCTAAGACTGATTTCTTTAAATAAATAAATACTTCCACTCTTTAATTTAAGATCTTGAATTATTTTATACAATGTGATAGTGTCATTATATTTTGATAAAAATGTTTCCTATTTGTAGTAAATTACACTTGTGTAGACCAAATAAACTACAGTGATAAATACTATTATGGAATAAACATGAAATCTTGACAAATGTTATCTATTTCTGTTCAGTAACTTAAAATGATGAACTTTACCTCTACCATATTAAGATTAGGTTTTTTCGTGCTCATATAATTCTAATTCAAAGTTATATCTCATTATGTCATCTGAATTTGATTACAATTATTAGTGTATTAAATCGTATCTATTTAATTAGTCATAAATTAATTATTTATTAAATTCATTAAAAATTAATAAAAATTGATCGTAATACTTAATGTACAAATTAAAGTTAAATAGTCCAATGAAACCAAAAACTATCAATAATAATTGAAGTATAATCCAAAATATTTTCCCTTTATTATCAATCGTATCTTTCGTATCAATAAGCCACCCTTAGATTTCTTGAGTTATAAGTTCTACTTTTTCATGAAATAGAAAATAATTTGCCATCAAAAATATTTAACAGGGTTTACCAGATGTACTTTATCTCTATTCAATAATCCTCATATGAGCATATTAATATTATAAAATGGTTAAAAGTGATTCTCTAAAGCTGGTTGACATATTTTGTAATTCTTTTTCATTTTCATTCATAAATCTTAGATTTAAAACAATATCAGAAAAAAATTCTTGTAAATACACATTTCTTAATTATTTATAGAAGCTATCTTTCAATTCCAAATATCCCGATCGTATATTCGTATAAAAAGGTTCAGTTAATTAAACCATTTAATTTTGAGTTAAAAAGCCTTCTCTCTACATCTATTAATAAGAAGATACAGTAATCCTCATTGAAAAAAATAAATCATGAGGTCCCATAATACTAGCGTGCAATGATCCCATTTCAATATTATCTATTATAAGTGTCATATCAGATGTCATATTAATCATAACTAAAAATGAAAAAATAAAAAAAATTAAGCTCTATCCAATAAAAAAAAATAGAAAAGAATCTATTTTCTTAGGATTTTTTTTCCCACTCATTTTTTCAATTAAATAATATCTATTATAAAAAAAAGGTTTATAAAACCCTGCAACACTAGATGATTATTGTCCTATCCTTTCTAATTATTGATTATTTGCTTTAGATGCTTTTCCATCTTTATTCTTTTTCTTTTCAGGTGAATGCTCTTCCCTATCTAATTAACTATTTTATATATCACTCTCAACAAATGATTTATTAAATGATTTATAAAACTCTTATTCATTTCGAGCTTTACTACTTAATAAATTTGATTGACTTTGATTTTATTGTATAAATGAAGATTAGTTCAAATTTTTTGATTATCCTTAATTCTAATTAACCATGATGCTTTATTTTAAATTTGAGTCTTATAACTTGAGAGTGTTTTTTTTTCTTTCTTATCGAAATGACAATACGCTCAGAATCTTCAGATGCTTTCCTTTCCATTTTGATCCCTTGCTAGTTGTACTCTCTCCTAAACAAGGCTTGTAAAGTTCAAGCACTTTCTTTCGCTCATCATGGCTTAAAATTTATTTCAATGAGATAAATTCTAGTTAATAGTAACAAGCAAGTTGAAGATTCACTTTTTCTACTTTGATTTCAATACTAAAACAATTGATATTTTCTTTATTTTTCCAAATAAAGAAATTTGAATCTTTTCTAATACTTGATTATGTCAATATTGATTCTTAATTATACTAAGGTTTAAGAAAGAAACAAAACGTTGTTATTATATCGGTATTAACTTCTGCTTTAATCATCATATTATAATAAGGAATAATGGTTTATATTCCAATCTAGTGCAATACACCATCCTCAATAAATTATTTTTGTTATTTCTCATTTATTCCAAATGCTTATAGAGTTTTGGGTGTAAAATAAACTATTTATGTTTAAGCATCCACTACTAAAATTGGAAGTTCAGTATTTACGCTTTGAAGAAGACACACAAATATAAATTTATCGAGTTTAAAAATCTATGTGTTATCTATGCATAAACTCACTTATTTTAACAATCCATTATGGGTTTTTATGAATGTGTAATTAAAATTTCTATAAAACTTATTCTATCCAGAATGAAAAAAATTCTAAACAGAATTCTCATGTTATTTAATATAAAATTAAGGAATAATGTCATTAAAACCATAAGTTGTCAAATCAAAATACATTCCAAATAATCTAAAAAAATTATGAGAAGATTAGATGATGCTAAAAGTTCTAAAATTTTCATCTACCGATAAAAGAATATATGAGTTGACATCAGCAGTCAAGTTTAAACCCTTAATACCTCTGTATTTTATTTAACTTTCCTTTAAGTTTACTTCTGATTGTTTGATATTAAAAGCTGCAAGCAAATTGTTCATAATTTATGCCTCAAAAAAACAGTAGGCCTATTGTAATTATAAGTCTGGACTTAAAGTAAATAGAGAATTAAATTATTTTTCTATTTTCAACAAATATTTTGAAGTTTCTTTAACCTTTTTATAAAGTTAGTTAAATGTAAATCCAGAGTCTGAATCCAATATTTCATAAAACTAAATCTTTAACCTTACGCATTCTTTCATACCAAGAATAAGTTCTTGCTAATTAGTTTAACTTATTAGGAATTCATTTAAATATTATCTTATCAAAGTTTGGCTTGCTGCCCTAAGGGATGTTCCTAAATTAGCCTCAAATTTAATCCTTGATTATTATAAAACTAGGTTTATCTAGATCTATTCAATAGTTGAAAGCATTATTCTGATTTTGGTTTATTCATTCTCCTTATAATCTTTCTAACTAAATTAACCCAATAATATACTTCATGAAGTGATATAGGAATGAAACATTAAATATTTTATTCTCTTTTGACTTTTTTAATTAACTAAGAATTTGTAATGAAACCATCATCTAATTGAAATCATGGAGAAGTATTGCTGTAGATATTAATAAATCCTACTTCACTTAGTTTTTCATTTTAACTAAAAACAATTTCTTAATGAGCTGCTTATATTGAGATTTCATAAAATTATTTATCATTAAGCTTGTCGTAGCATTGATTTACGTACTTTCAGTTATGAAATAGTCGAGTTCACAGACACAAGATGCTGTTTTACATTTTTTTTTATGGTGAAAGTAAATTAAAGATTGCTTAAAATTCTTATAATTTGGGCCACAATCACAATTATTTAATATTCTCACCAATTAATAAAGAATTTAATTGATATTTAAATCAACCATCTATTTAAAATCTTTACTTTTATGTAGAAATATAGCTGTAAAATATTTATTATCCTGTTACTCTTAAAACTTATATAAAATATATATTATTGATGGAATTGTTATAAAAAACAATAACTAAATATCCTGTTGATCTACACCACTCTAATTCATTATATTGTACATTCCACTCATTATTAAGAAAGCTTAACAACTTAAGAATATCTTTTTTTGGGCTTCGTAGATAAAGCCACAATTTCTGATTTAATTAATTATTTATAGCACAGCTATTAGTATTATAGTAATTTATTCAATTTATTGTAAATATAGGGCTTCGTTTTAATCTGCAATGATGACTTAGAGCAATCTAAATTTAAGTATATAATAATCAAAATTCGAAATTTAAAACTATTTGCATTTAATTGTCTTATAAGTAGTTGGATGATGATCGATTTTCATAAAATATATTATGTCAATTGTGTACATCAATTACCCAAGTAAGCAAAGAAAAGATTTTAACGTTGATGAAGGAATACCTTCTTGTATTTCCTAGACTGATTAGTAAAAAGCAAATAAAAATATCCTAGATATTGGTAAAATCAAATAGATTCCTAAAAAACATTAATAATAGGCAATTATTTAAAGTCCATATAAGAATAGATCCTATTATAATAATTTTTTAAAGTATGTCTCATAATAAGAGTTAAGCAAACAAATCAGAATGAATAATAATTTTTGAATAATCCATATGATCAATAAAATGATGTAAAATTCACCATGAAAGTATCCATTATGGATAATTATGATATCCGGCCTTATAAATATTTAAAGAAGTTTGTAGATAATATTTTCCTCAACTTCCTTTTATTTTCTAAAATAATAAGGCTAAAATAATGCTAAACTGAAAACTAAATATTACACCACATTAGGGCATTTTAGCTGCTAATTTAACAAATATGTAGTTTTTATCCATTATTCTAACATTGCTGATAATTTTATTAATTTCTATTTAGAAGCCATATACATATTTAATTTTATATATTTATTTTTAAATTTTTATGGATTAAATTAGTAATAAAATTGTTATAAGGATCTAGAATCGGACAATGAGGAAAAGTTTTAAGATTACATAGCAAGACTAACTTAAAATAAATCTTCAATTTAGACTTGTCATACAATTTGGATAATTGCAAAATTTGAGACTATATTCCTTAATTTGTGATTACTATTTTTTGAGATTCTGTTTAAAAATTATAAATATATACATTTATAGAAAAATGAAATTAAGATTAATTAATTTATTATTGTCAAGAAAGTAGCAAGAAAAAGATTTGATAAACTTAAAAATTTTCGATATTTAATAAAATTAATATTGAAAATGTCTGAAGGTGACTTGAATAAAAGACAACTCGAAGAAAAAACAGAGGATTCAATATCTAAATTATTAATTAATTTATTGGCTTGCACATTTCAGACTGTTTTTGGTTACATATGCTTAGATGTTTGCGTTTCTATCAGTTTACATTATATTGGTTAAGAGTAATCAATGATTATATAATATAGAATAAGCCCAACAGCAAATGCTGGTTATGGGTTTGCATTGACTTGTGTGTTCATTTTATTAACTCCCTTTGGCTTTGGATTAAATCAATCATTAAACATGCACACATCTTAAGCATTAGGAGATTAAAAGGTTTAACTTGCTAAACGATTTTTTAACATAAATTTATATGTGATGCTTTTTATACTTGTGCCCTTAGGAGGATTATTGTTGATTTTAAAATACCCCTTGAGTCTAACGATAAGAGAGGATTAAAGAGAAGCGACATCTGATTACTCTTAAGAATTCTTGTATTATTTGATACCCGCAATAATTCTTGCTTTAGAATTTGAAAGTGCAAAGTGCTTTATGGTTGCACATAAGGTCACATATCCATTTACAATTATTCATTTTTGCACTTTAGCAGTTCATTGGTTTTTGTGCTGGTTATTTATTGTAGAATTTTAATGGGGTGTATCTGGAGCAGGAGTTGTGATCATTATCACTGAAGTCTTGAATATTGTTGGATTAGTTTGTATAATTTTAGTAATATCCATTAGTATTCGTACAATTCACAAATCTTAAGAGAGAAATATTTTAAGGGACGAAAATAATAATGGATGTTCCAAGATTTAAAAAGTTGGGAATATCATATATAAAAACATCCATTCCCATAGTTCTCCATATTTATTCAGAATTTTTTGTATTCTTTTTATTGTCCTTCATTGCTTTGAGTTTAGGTGTTTCTGAGATGATAGCTCATATTGGATTACAAAATATGTGCGGAATATATTTTAGTATTTATAAAAAATAATTTCATAGGAATTCCAATAAGTTTATCCATAGCAATGATGTCCTTTGTAGGTTCAGAAATGGGGAAAGGGAACATTAAAAGAGCTAAGTTTTACGTAGCAGCAGGTTTAGTTATTTTTGCTGTTGCTTGTGTGATATGCTCGATTTTGATATGGTTTTTTAGAAATTAATTGGCAACATTTTATGCTTCGGATTAGGAGGAAAATGAATTGGCTGCCAGAGCTAAGGAGATATTTACAGATACAGTGCCTTGGTTGATAGGAGGAATGTTAATTGTAGATGGACTTTAGGGAACCTTAAGTGGAGCTTTAAAGGGAATTAATAAAATAAATTTAGTTTTTGTATAAAAAATAGATTTATCAATTAGTATTCAACAATAATTGCCTACTATTTAATATGCATTCCATTAGTTAGTTTCTTTACATACTCATGGGGATTAGACTAAGGAGTTCTTGGTATTTGGTAGGGCTTCGGAATTTCGAATCTCATTCTAGCAATATTAGATCTAATAGTATTATTCACGACTGATTGGGACAAGCAATCAAGGAACATAGTTAGAAGAGTGAAATAAGAAAATGAACTATAATTTAGCACTCTGGTTTAATTGGAAGATGACAAAGCCAATATTTGATGCAATTAAAATAAAATATTTTAAGCAACAATTTATTTTTAACGTCATTAATTAAAATTTAACAATATTCATTTTCTGTTACAATGAGCACATTTTAAAGACCAACTTCATCAAGAAAGAATACCAATACATTACCACCTTAATAGGGTGACTTAGAAGAATACATGTACTTAAATTCAATTGAATGTTAGCTAAATCTTATTTGATCATTAAAAGAGTTGTGAGAAGGCTGGCAAATATCTAGAGGCTGATTAAGCTAAAAAGAGACTGGCTGAACTTAAAAAAGAACTAGACTAGAAAAATAAAGTGGATGTCAAAGATAGACATTGTTCTGAAAAATAAGAAATCGAAAAGGCTCACCTTGATGAATTTAATCAATTTAATACATTCTGGGATGAGAAAATGATTGAATTTGATCAGGAAGCTCAAAAGGTTAAAGAATAAACACTTCAAAGACATGAGGATGAGCTAAGATAATTTTCAGAAGAACTTGAAAATTCTATTCCAGTCAAGCCAAAAGACTCAGCTGAATTACTAGCTTTAAGGAAGACAGAAGAACAATTGGCCAAATAAGAAAAGTATATTCATTCAATAATATTTTTATAGTTATATGGAAGCCCATTTAATCTAGCAAAAAATCTTAAACCAAGAAAGAGATGAATTAGAGAAATGGACAGTAGGAAGACAATAAAAAATAAGGAATCTTATTACTCAACTTAGATAAAAACAGATTAATGAATTGAATGCTCTTACTCAAAGAATTTTAAGCGGATAAGAAGAACAAAGAAAAATCAGATCCTAAGAATTGGAAAAGTAATTTATATATAAATCATTTAATTAGATTATTATAAAAATACTAAAATGTTAGGAAGGAATTAGAAAGTCAGCAAGTTCAAGAGATTACTAGATTAGACAAATCATGCAAAACCTAATGTACATTAATCTTATTTAACTTTTAGCCATCATGCAATAATCTAGGATGAATTAATCAAGAATGTAGTAAAGTTATGCCAAGGATGAAAACTAATATATCCGATGAGATTTAGTTAATATACTTAAATATAATATAAATTAAAAATTAATATGGGTACTGTTTGCGTAAAAAAACAACGACCATCCAGATCCCTAAACTTAAAAACTTAAACTTCTTAAAACAAAGAAAACTATCCTCAAGAATTGGAGCAACCATTCAAACAAACAAATGTTATTAAGGTCAGAGAAAACTAATCTAAACAACTATTCTTAAGTGAAGTATCAACATTTCTAATATAGTTTACAACTCCTAGGACAGATGTGAATGAAAAGTCTATTCAAAGTAAAAGTGAACTTACAAAAGTTGAACCTCTGAAATTTCATACCTTACGAAAAGAAACTGATTAAAACTGTTACTAAAATGATGATGCTCCAGATTTAGATATAACTGTTTAGGTACCAGAACCACTAATCTCAAACAATAGAGTTCTAAAGATTTTAAAATCTCTATCACCTTTCCCCTATGATTCTGACTATGATAAAAATTTTACCGATTGTATATCCTTACCTCCTCAAGTAAAATTCATAGCAAGATTTTAGAAATTTTTAAATACTGGCATTATATATGTTGGATAATGGAAGAACAAATAAAAATAAGGTCGAGGACGTTAATTTTGGCCAGATGGTACTTACTACGAAGGATACTGGTTAAATCATGGAGCAAATGGGTTGGGCAGACTGATTCACCCAGATGGATCCTATTATGTAAGATTTAGGTTTTGTAAATTTACAGGAAGGCTATTGGATGGATGATTTACAGTACGGATTTGGGAAGTTTGTTGATAAGGAGGGTAATTATTACGAAGGGGAATGGAAGGACGATGAGAAGGACGGTTATGCTATTGAATATTGGATTTCAGGAGATTAATATCAAGGCTAATATCTTTGTGGTATGAAAAATGGTAAAGGTGTATATTTATGGGCCAATGGTAATAGTTATGAAGGAACTTATGTAAAAGATTAGATTCAAGGTGTTGGAACCTACAAATGGCCAGATGGTCAGGAATATAATGGTGAATGGTCTGAGAATTAAATGCAGGGTAAAGGCACATTTAAATGGGCTAACGGAAATAAATATGTTGGAGAGTATAAGGAGGATAAGAAAGATGGATAAGGCATGTTTTACTTCTCAGATGGTAGAACATTCAAAGGAACTTGGGTACAAGGAAAACAACATGGAATTGGCATACTTACAGAATTGGATGGAAAAGAAGCTATTGGAATTTGGGATAAAGGAAAATTAGTTTCAAAAGAATGAATTATATATATAATACACTATTTAATCTTTATTAACATTTCAATATCAATTTGCAAATAAATTGAGTGGTTGCAAATGTGAAATACATCCTATTCTATTAGTTATTATGCCAATTTAGTAAAGGATTATGAATATTTATTACAAAAAGTCTAAAGGTGGATAGACAAAGATCAAAGAGTAGAATAAATAGTTAGAATCGAAAATTAAAGATATTTAAACATTATTTAGGTCATACACTATCTTAATGAAATATAGAATAAGGGTATCTAAGATTAAAAAAATAGAATAATAGATTAGTCATTTGTCTGATTTCATGAAGATTCTAAGTGATCAAATAACAAAAAGGAATTCTATAAATTTGTAATAGATTTGATATTAAGGGGAATAATGAGTATTATTGTAATTACATAATATATTATCTTAGCTAACATGATTCTCTATTCATTCTTTAAATCAAAGAAAACATTAATTTAATAGTATAAGAATTAGTAAGTTAATAATTTAATATTTAATAATTTTGAATTTAACGATCAAAATGTCAGTTTATATTTGGGGAACAACACCTTCTTAAGAAGAAACCGCCACACCGAAATAAATAACAATAAATTTCCAAATAACCAAAGTCTCATGTGGAGAAGAACATATGTTATTTCTTTCTAATACTAATTAACTATATGCATTGGGAACAAATAATTATGGTGTATTGGGAATAGGAAGTGATGATTACTCAGAGAGATCTTTGACACCTTAATTAATCTAATCAAATATCATCGATATGGATTGTGGTTGGAATCACAACATTTCTTTGAATATTAACAATAATGCTTTTGTTTGGGGGAAGGTATTGAATGATATCACACAACCAAAACAAATAGGATAATCAATAAGATATATAAAATGTGGTGCTAGGCATACTATGATGATTAATAACAAAAATCAATTATATGCTATAGGAGCAAATGATTCAGGATAATGTGGTATTCAAAACACAAAGAGGATAAGTGAAGTTACTCATGTAATGGATAATGTCCTGACTGTAGCATGCGGAGTGTCACACTCATTAATTAAAATTAATTAATAATTATTAGCTTGTGGATCTAATAATTTAGGACAATTAGGTATTTAAGGAATCAAGAATACCTTTAAACCTTTGTTAGTTGATATTCCAAAAGTTGACTAAATAGCAGCAGGAAATCATTCAGCTGCAATAAGTTCTGGAAATTTATACATTTGGGGATCAGGTTGTTTTGGAACATTAACTAAACCAACATTATTTTTACCTGATATTGTTGATGTAAAAATAAATGGAACTCTTGGATTAGGTGTGGATACTTAAGGCTAATTGTATTCATGGGGTAGTAATGTAAATGGAGAATTGGGAGTAGGAGACACATAAACTAGGACAGAGGCAGTAAAAGTATTAAAGAACATCTAACATTTTGGTGTTGGAATTAATTATGCTATTGCTATATCTAGACCACCATAGCCAGTAACTACTGAGAAAGAGTATTTGGCAAAGACTCTGTAGATAGAGAGTGATGAAAGAAGTGCCTTAGAAAAAATCAATAGAGAATTGAAGTCTAAATTTGTGGAATTGGAATAATGCAATAGTGATTTGAGAAAACTCTTAGATGTCAAAAGTGAAGATATCAACACTTTATAAGCTTAAGTTGAGAATTATAGTGGTACCTTGGCAAATCAGGAGAGTCAAATTAAAGATCTTAAATAATAATGTTAGAGACATTAAACATTTTAAAAAGATGCCATATCAAAATTAGAAAAATACGAAGAATTTATTGATGAATTAGAAAACCAACTTAAAATAAAAAATGAAGAAATTGATGGTCTAACCAATTAGTTACAAAATTTTAAGGATTCGCTTAAATAATATTAGGATGATGAAACTTCACAACTTAATCAATTTAAGAACTAATTGACTGAATTAACTGAGCAATTAAATTATGAACAATAAGTTAATGAATAGTTGGTAGAATAGTATAGTAAGGAAAGGGAATCATTCCAATAAAGAGGTGTTTTGATCTAGTAATATGAATTTGAGATAGGAAATTTATAATCTTAAAATAAGACCTTGGCTTCACAAACAAGTAGTTCATTATAACAACACTAAAAATTATCAGAAGGCTTAACTATTGCTAATCATAGAATTGAATCTTTGCAAACCTAAAATGCAAAATTAATGTAAGAGCTGAGCTTATTACGCACAAGTATATATTCAGATCTACAGAAACCTTAAGCATTAGAAGTATAAACAATTATTGGATTGAATAAAGAACTAACTGAATTAAATAACTAATTATAAAATAAACTGAGAGAAAAGGATGCAGAGATTTTAAAATTAAAGTCTCAATTAGGAAATCTTGGAACTCTCAAAGAAAGTCGATAAAGTCTATCATCTCAAATGAAAACTTCATAATGCTAAAACTAATTGTCATAATAAAATTTGAATATTCCAAGGAAATAAAAATAAGAGAGTCCAAATGGAAAAACCATATAAGAATTATTAGAATCAGCTCATAAACATGCTAAGTACATGAAAAAGATTTTAAAGTCATCCGAAAATTTTGAATCAGACACTCCAAGTCCAAAGAAGAAGCTTGAATTTTCAAAAGAGAATTCCTTCATTAAAAACGATAGTTTAAGCGAAGTGAGAGAAAGACTTAATAAATTATAATAGAATAGATAGTTATATGAATAAAAGCTAAGAATTTGATATAATTATGCGTTATTATTAATCTATTTTATAAATTGATCTAATTTAGCTTATATCATTAAAATAATCAAATAGATTGCTTATAAATTTATGATAAAAATAATATGATATATAAAATTAACATTCATTTTTTTGCTGCCTTCTTTGGTTTCTTAGATGGTTCTATAAATATACAAATGATTCATACTTTTAACTTATTACAAGAAAGCTTAAATATGTTTAGCTGCTTCTGATTTCTTTTCTAATTCGATTTAATGTAATTCTTTTAATCTTCTGAATTCCTCCTCCAATTGTCTTTCTCTCCCCATCTCTGAATCAACAGCTTTGAAATACTCCTATCTGTCTTTCAATTATTTCTCAATTGAGGCACATTCACTTTATAAATCAGTTAAATTTTTCATATATTCCTCCATCATCTGGTCATATATTTGGATTGCTTCGGATAATGATTAATCTTGAACTTATTTACGCCTCTTCAAAGTTGCCTCCTCCTATGTATTCTCATCTTTCATTTTAATAAAGCGAGCTCTCTAAGCCTATAGTTCAGCTGCTAATTTATCTTCTTTTGTTTTATGATCTTTTTCTAATCCCTCATACTTAGTCTGAATTTCTTTTGCCAATTGATCTTATCTCTTTTATTTATTAGCTTTAACTTCTGCAATAGATTATTTCAACTTCTCAATTTCTTCCTTCATTTTGTTCATGTTTGCTGTTCTTTCCTATCTAATCTTTTATAATTCTTATTCTAATTAGCTTTTAGTCTTCTCTTGGCCTGAAATCTATATTGTAGAATTACATAAATACTTTAGACTTCAAATCTTCAAGTTATTTAACATGACTATTTTATTCTTCTTATGCTGTACTTAACTTTTTCAACATTACTATTTTGATACACTTTACACAATGTAACAAATCACTCATTTCAGTGTTGATATTAGTCTTCATTCCTTTAATGATATCATAATCCTTTGGACAATGTTAAAGTCTCCTTAATAAATTCTTGAAATTCTCTTAAAGTAAATTTTCTAATCTCTCTGATTCCATTTTCTTTGTCTCATCTATCTCCTCACCTTGGTTTAATGCTGTGTCTAAATTTGCATATGGTCTGTATTTCTATTCAATTTCAGCTTAGGATTACAAAAGTTTCATTGTTTCTTCTGTTAGCGGTTACTTGGCATCTTTTAAAAATTTTCCAGTTTGAAAGCGTCCAATAAATTCAGTATCCAAATATAGACAATATTCTAAATTTTAGATTAGTTAATCCAGAACTCTTAAAACTCTTTAAGCTTCTACGATCGTAGGTTTTCCTATTATTGTAGACATTAAGTTCTTAATAATTTCTTGATGTCCCTCTTGCAAAGACCTTTACTATTGTTTGACTCTGTTTTCACCAAGACTTGTTTCCATTGTCTTTGCAAATTGTTTGTGTGCTCCTTTCATTATTATATTATTTAATATATTATTAATATAAAATTATCACTCCTTTTTTGTGCTAAGTTCATGAATATCTAAAGCAATATTCTAAATTATGATCAATTTTATTACTAAATCAATGGAGTCTATGCTTCCTAAACGATGTCTTTAGACTTCCTATTCTTTTTTGAGTGCGTCTTGAATTCTTAAAAATTTTTCCTTATGCTTTCTATCGTATTGTATTTTGGCCTTTTTGTATTTATTCTATAGAGTTTATATCAATTGAAAAAATACAAACCATAATTTATTTTCTAGTTCTATTCTTAAATAATAACTATATTAAATCGAAATCAGTTCCCAAAATAGATACACACTTTTCTAATTTCTTTAAATCTTCCTAATTCCAACAGGGATTTGAATTGCATTTGCTAATTTTGGCTGCTTGTTATTTTTTTTAGATTCTGGGTCTCTATTTCAATAATTCTTTTAAGGTTTCACTATCCTTGGTACTGCCTTCGCTTGATAAGGAAGCCATAAAATAATTTATTTTATTTTATTTGCAATATAACTGGTGGGGGCCATGACGGAGAGAGAGAAATATCAATAAATATTTTTATATTTTGTATTATTATTAATTTTATCGTGTATTGCTATCTCAAATAGTCCATGGCTATCCATTTACAACTGATCTTTCCCATACTGGAAGAACACCTCTTTGATAATATGAATTTCTCAGAGGTTCAAAAAGACCGAAATGAGCCAATCCCAATGCTAACAACATTCAAAACCTAATTCCATACCTAAAGTTGTAAATAAGATTTCGCGTCTGCCTCCCTTTCTAGATTGTCTCATAAAATAGTTGCTTGGTAATGTGGTAAACCAATGTTTTGCCATCTTATTGTATTTTTAATATAAATTAAAATAATTAATAAATATCACTTAGTAATAAACTATTTTTATACTTATAATAACAAAAATGAATAAAACTACTTACTCATCATGTTTCAAACCATCTTAATTTCAACAACCAAAGACCAATAATAAGTTATTTATTTACATTTATTCTTGAGATACTTTACAAATAAATATCTTAAGATTTTATCTTTCTTATCATGGATTTCTACTATATACTATGTTCCTATATTTCCTTGTTATTATCATTGTTGTCAAAACTTAAAGTAAATATGATTTAATAATCAATCTTAAAAACCTAATCTCTATAGGAAATCATTATTAAAATCTAAATATAAAAGAGAAATGATTAGCTAATTTAAACTTTATTCATCTAGTTTGTATGATTTTCTTATCTCCTAATAATTTCTTGTATTCTATCGGAGATGAAGCAGACAAAAAAAATAAATAAAATAAAAATAATAAATTTAGTAGTAGTTTAAAATAAGATAGATCAAAAATATTTTTTATCTTAATTTCTCAGTATAAAATTGCATATTTTATAAACATTCTTTTATATGAAAAGTCAAATATTAATAAATCATACAAAAATAAAAAATTATAAAAATTTTTCCGATACCGGGGATTGAACCCGGGTCCCCAGGGTGAAAACCTGATATCCTAACCACTAGACTATACCGGAAATGTTAACATAGACTCAATGAATAGAATTTTATATTGTAAAACTGTAGCAATTGAGTATCATTAATAATAATATACAAGCCAAATAATTTAAATTACCGAAGTTGTAAATTTATTTATTTGAGAATATCAGGGCTTATCATAAGATTAAAAGGGAATAATTTATTAGAACACAAAAATATTTGCTTAAATTCAAGAATCAGAATATTAATAATTTAACTTTTATATAACAGAAAGAACTCTTAGTTTAAGTAGAATATGCATCAAATTACTTGCAATAAAGAAAACTAATTAAATAGAGACTCAAAATATTGAGAGCTCTAATTGATAGCAATTGTTATAAAATCACTCCTATTTATTTGTTTCTTCTGATTTTCTTTTTACCTCTTCCATAGCTTTTGATTTCATTTTATTAATCTTATCGAATAAGAATTATTTTTCTTATTCCTCTGTTTCCCAGGATGTCTTTGAAATTAGAATAAATCTATACTTCTGGTCCTAGCCCTAATTTACTCAAATCTTCTTTTTCCATAAGACCATTATTCATTCTACATTGCAAATAATCAACTTGATATTTTCTACATCTCTTGGGCATGTTCTCATGTTTTTAGATGCATTAATTATATTATTTTGCTTCATTATCACACTCATGAAAATGATCTAATGGAAATGCTCCCTTATCTTATTTTATTAATTTGAATTACCTGGACCCTTTGATGCATTCTACTTGCTTCTATTAGACATAATTAAAATTTAATCAATATTTATATATAGATATATATAAAGTATCACATATGATGATTTTCTAAAATTGTTCTATATTTATCCTTTAAGAGTTTAAGTAATTAAAGATAAGCATTATGTTCCAGCTTGTATTTTTGAGCATACTCCTGAGCAATTTTGATTAGATTGTCATTTTTTTTCATAACTATATTGATAACTTTACCTGTTTTGAGTTTGAATTAAACAGTAAATAATTTCTCATTCTTATTATCATTCAGATCAACATATTTAATGAGTTATTTGTTTGGAGTTATGGACTTATAATTTAATTATCTCTCTGGAGTTGCATTAAACTAAGTATTGACTTGTTCTCTCAATTGAACAACGATATTATTTTAAGATTTATTCCTATGACTATTATTCCTATTGGTGTTTTTGCCAGGTTAATTGAGAGACTTGTTAGTAGCCATTTTCGAAATGTAATCTTGACTAGATTATGGATTTTATTCAGTTGTTAAGGTAGTTGACTTTGTTTGATGATGATAGTAATTGTTTTGAAAATATTTGATTTTATTGGTACTTTCATTCTCTTATTTAATAAACTAAGAGATTTCATAAATATTGATAGATTCTCTTTTTAATGGAACTTTTTCTGGTTTCAATTTTTATTCTTGTTATTAAAATAAATCTTAATTGAAACTGTCGAAAACCTTTTCGCATTAAACTTAAATGTAGTTCTGATTTTCCGATAAACCTTTTTCTTCTATTTCTGCTTAAAATTGTTTAAATTATTCCAATCCACTTTTCATAGCCTCTTAAATTGTTGTGAATTTATCTTAAGAATTACTCATTTCATTAAATGCTGATCTGCTTGTGAAAACTTGAGATTATAATTTAGAAGGTGATCTTTAAAAGATGACTTAAGAATTTTAATTTTAATTCTTATTAGTATCATTTTCAATCCATCTGCTGATTCTCGAATTTTTAGGAGTGTTATCAATGCTTAATTAATTCAATTTAGTTGAGTTCACTTCTGGTTACTTTTATTAAGTCTATTAGATAGTATTAGTATTCTTATTTGAAAAGCTCATGATTTGATCTTATTTGATTGATGGACTATTTTGTGAATCGTCAAGTGCAGAATTGCTTTGATTATCAATCTTCTTCTTTAGAGGAGAATCTTATTCTACTTAAATGTAAGTTTAGACTCTTCTCAAATGAATTTAGGATTAATTTACATTTAATTCAGATTTTCTGAAGGACTGATTAACTTTTTAGTTATTATTATTTCCTAACGAATTATCCATTCTATTGGAATTGGGGGAGACTTCGCTTTCAGTTTGAGAAACATTACAGTTTTTCAATGAGATGCGATTAAACTTAAGGACAGAAATGGTGGATGACTTTTGGTTTCTATAAGACATATTTCCACTCTGTTACATCTGCAATTGAAGAGTCTAGGAGAATACTGGAAATGCATACATAGATAAGATGGCTAACATTTTATTTGGTGATACAGGATATTTCATGGTAGCTCATTCCATTCTTTGCAGAGAATTTAAGGGCATTTTCACCTTTGTAGATGTAAATGAAGCATTTTTACTCGAAACTTTTCTTCGATCGATTAGATCAAGTTTATTGCCAATCAAATATGTGCTCTTATTTTATGTTTCTGGATTGTAACGATTTTTTAAGTACTCCAAGCTGTTTTGATCACTAATGTCAAATAAATAGATTGCAACGTCAGGTCTAGATGTAACCAATTCCAATTGGAAATGCTATTACAATAGTTCAATTAGGGTTCTTTTCCCAACACCATTTTTGCCAATGATTTAGAATTACATTAACATTAATTAATTAGTTGTTAATTTTATGACTTCCCCTTCACGCCTGTAAATCCAATAAGCACTTGAACTTGAGAAACGATTTGAAGATGGTGATACTGAATACGAACAGATAACCGAGCTGGCACTTATCTATAGACAATTTATTGAGTACTACGATTTGAATAACAATCCAATGAAATAATACTTTATAGAAAAAATGAAGCGCTTGATGTAATCACCTTGCACTATGCAATCCTTGATTGTTTCTGCCCCAAGTACAAGACGTAATTCTCCTAATGGTTAAGAAAATCTAAAACATTATTATCAGAATTATCAATATGAAACAATGAAAAATCAGACAATTACTCCCAGAGGGATTAAGTAATTACAAAATGTAATTTAATGGTTATTTAATTTTTTAGGACTTTTTGTATTAGAAGGAAAATATTGAAAAGATTATAAATAATGATTATGCCAAATAGTTGTAATAAGTAACGGAAAAATTATAGTAAAGAAAATAGAAAAAGTGTCCTGGCAAAAAATCTCCAAGCAGAACCTTCACAAAAATTTATAAACCTCCTACTTTAGAGATGCTTGATTTGTGATTCATAGTTGTTATACATATTGGGATAGTTGTCTCCTAAGAAAAATCAAAATTATCATTAATAGTTAGTATATCATTATTTCACCTCTAATTTAAATTTTTATTATTTCATATATGGCAAGCAAAATAGTTATACTTGCTCTTTTTTAAATGATTTAATCTTAGATCTGATGTAATTATTAAAATTAGATTATCCATGTCTCTTGGTTGTCCTAGGGAATAATTTAACACTGAATACTACAATCTACTGACTGGATTGGAGCAAAGTTTCTTTAAGGAAGAAGTCGATTAAAGGGACTTAATGCAATTAATTTTAAGTATAGCCAAATTGGTTGAGTACTTTGATTTGAAAAAAGATCCCATAAAGGACTATTTTTTGGAGAAAATGCAATTCATTCTTTCCAGACCCTTCACTATTTGTAATTTAAAAAAGAAAGAAGAGGAGTCAAAGCATCAAGAAATGAGAAAGTCACAACACTCTCATTTTTCTTAAAATGTGTAAAAGTTAGAAATGCAATCCTAATTGCAGAGTAACTCAGAAGAAAATGAAGAAACAATAAAATTGTTATAGGAAGTATATATATCATATATAGTAATAGGATTATGAACAGTAACTAAAAGATTAAACTTTATTAGTTTAAATAGATTTGAACAATTAGATGGGCAAATTTAAAAATAAGCTTCTTCATCGAAAAAATAAAAGTTTGTTTTCCCCTTGCAGAGCAAACGTCGAAGAGGAGAAAATAAAGAGACAGAACAGATTGAAGACTTACCAAAGTAGTAATTCTTAGAATCCCTATAAAGAACATATATATCTTGATGATGCATTTTCATTTGAGACATTACAAAATTAATGAATATAAAAAAAGGTTTGTATAATTAAAAATAACAAGTTATTGATATATTTCTTTTAACAATCATTTTGATTAATCATCATTTCCTTCTTCTATAAGTGCTTCCTGACTAGTGATTGCCTTGAGTATAATTTTTTTACTCGGCTCCTAAATGAAGCCAGCCAATAGCAATTCATCCAAGATGTAATAGGCTTTGTGGAAATTAAAGATGAGATCCAATTCACAGACATTTCCAAAATACTTATCCAAGACTTCCACAAAATGATGAATGATCTCCAATATCAACAATTCGTTATCCTCTTTATCACAAATAGCTATGAAATAAAGTGAGGCATATCGCTTATAAACAATTTTGTATTCAACATACTCTAAGAAATTGCACATCTTTTGGCCGCGTGTCAATACTAATGAGTTTATCTTTACAATGATATCAATAGCAATACTTCTTTCAAGAAACGTTACTTCTCTTTCGTAGTAAGTGATTGATTATACCACTTAGTCAATCTGGTCTTGCCCTATCTGCTAACTAGAAATAAACACTAGATCATTAGGAAGACTCTTTGATTATTTAATTAAAAAATGTTACTCGTGAATGAATCCATAAATGTAATAATTCAATATATGCTAAGGTTACAATACCTTCATATCAACAGGAGTCTTCCAATGTTCAATATGTGATTGATATCAAGGCAAGAAATAAGCAGTAATGGCAAATTTCAAAGCGCTACTCCTAATTTGAGGATTTGCACAAGAAATTGATACCACTCTTTCAAGAACTCCCAGAATTACCGAAGAAGGCCTTTATTACATTCTTGGTAGGAAAATCGAAGGAATAGTTGGACGATCGAAGGGCTGGTTTAGAGAAATATCTTTAGTTACTTATAGTTCGTCGTGAAATATATCATTCTCAATTACTTCGAGATTTTTTGTAGGTATAGTAATCTGTAATAAGCTTGAATAATGCGAGGAAATCCTCCCACCTAATCTACTACAGTCATTTAAGACAATAATGGGCATACGTGACATTTCTTTGTCCGATTAAGGAGTGATGTTTCTCCTGCAAGCAGATATGAGTGTTTTGAATAGAGTGGATGCTTATGTAAATAACATGAAAATGCCATGGGATGCTGAATAGAAAGAATTCAAAACCATACCAGTAGGCCAAGTTGAATGTTATATCAAGTAAGAAGAAGGGGAGTTATGCTATAAAAAACTATGGACCAAAGAGTATAATACTTAAGCAATTTGCATGTTTTATGAACCCATCTCATGCTCTTTGCTAGTTGGGTAATTGTAATAATATTGCAATTTAGATTGGACTCAGGGAATATTAATTTTATAAAAGTGTCTGAAAGAGATTCATTCAAAAAGTATGAATAAAGTATTGAAATCGAAATCCATATGAGCAGAATTATGGGTTTATTTTATAGGAATGGATAAATTCACTCAGTATCAAAAGATACTCATTATAAAGTCATTGACATTGAATAAGGAGGACTGAAATCAGGTTACAATTTTATTGATTATTCTAGATTTCTCGATTGGTAAACATGAATTAACATCCTTGACATATAATGAATAAAGGCAAATCTCTGTAGTTGGTAATAGAAATGGCTAAATATATATCTTAAATATTAAACCTACCTAACCAATAGTAATGTTGTCGGTTGATACGAACACATCATTTATCAGAGGTTTAGTTTTGGACTATTAAAAAAACTATTTAATATCAGTATCTTATGATGATGGAGTGATTTGTGTTCTAGATGTGGGTAAATGTCTACAAGACAATGTAGGCAAAATCAAAACAAAAATTTAGGCTAAAATTAAAGTATTTAAAATCAATTACCATTAAATTCTAGACTAGAGAAGTCTAATGGTCAAGTAGACGTGGGGAATTATTTGTTGGAAACGATGATGGAACAGTCACTATTTACAATGCTCTCGATTTATAACCTTAATGTAATAACTGCTCTTAATTTAAGTTGTACTAAAGGCTCATGATAAAGCCATCACTAAATTGATTTGGTAAGAATCAACCCAGATTCTTATTACTGGTGGAAAAGATGAATTAATTAAGTGGTGGCATTTTCCAAAAAAATGGAAGGCTGGTGATTAAGATGAATAGGCCAAATCAAAACAATTGATTGAAGCCAAAATGGACAATATCTTAAAATTACAAAATCAGAATCAAAAAGTTGATTCAGATGAAGAAGATTAAACCGGCTTAGGAAATTGGCATAAATGATTTATTATTATGACCTCATCAATTTTTTACAAAATTATATCTATAATATCCAATATTGAAAGATTAGCGATCAATCTATGTAATTTTGATAGTTTTAATTATGATCAACATTATTTGTAATCATATTAGGTGTGCAACTATATTTTATTAGCTAGGTTAGAGTAGAAAATTAAGAAGAATTAATTTAAATGAGTTGATAATATGTACTTTTAGTTGAAATACAAAGAGATGTACTGTCATAACAAAGAAATAAATATGTTGAAACAATCGATAAAAGAAAATTAGTTTAAGGAAAATAAGAATTTTTGGACATTAAAAATGAATTATCTAATGAAATTAATTTGTTTTTGATATCTTTCAATTGAAACTAAAGTTTAGATATCTTCCTGTTCCTTGTTTTATAACATCCTAAAATTAACTTTTATTATTACATGGATAGGTGCTAATAATTTAGTAAATGACTATTTATCCAATCCTAAGAGGATGCAATCAGTTTCACAAACTATAGTAGCCTATCTGTTTATCTCTTTTAACATAGCCAATTCCCCAAAATAATCAAATTCTCCAAATTCAAATACGCATTATTCTTCATCCTCATCTTCATCTCCTTTTTTTAATGCTTTCAACTAACCCTCTTGTATTAAATAAAAATAATCTCCTTTATCCTTCTACTTAAACACTACTTCATCTGCTTTGAAACTGACCACATATAAAGCATCTGCAATTTATTGTCTAAGGTATGGGTCAATTTATTATAAAATGGGAAATCTTTGCAAAATACCATCATATCTAATTACCATAAATAAATCAATAATTACTTCTAACGTTTTTCTAAAACAGGTTATTTGATAAAAGTATCAAATGTTTCCTTGTCTAATGCCCACAATACACACTCCGTAAAGGCTATTATTGTGGCAGCTCTTTTTTCATTGTATAGTAAGGCCATTTCACCAAAAAAATCTCCAGGTTGATAAGATTTAATAATTTTGTCTTCAATTTATTTACCTCGCTTTTAGCAATCTAAAAGACCCTGATCAACTAAAAATAACTAATCCCCATCATCTCCTTGCTTTATTATAGTCTCAGTTGCTCTAAAAAGGTTTATGATTTATACATACTTATATTTCTTTTCTTCCATAGCATTAGCAACAATTTCTTTTTATTGATCATTTAAATGTTTAAACAAATAGCAAGTATTTATCTTTTTTTAAACTCTAGACTTTTAATCTTTATTTTTTGGTATCACTTTGTGATTTTTCTAAGAATTAAATTAGGATTAATGATTTTAATCTTATTATTATGCTTAATGTATTTAAGATAAATTTTGTTATTATTATTATTATTATTATTATTATTATTGTTGTTGTTGCTATTATTATTATTATTGTTATTATTGTTATTATGATTATTATTATTATTTTATTAATTATTCTTTACTCTCTGTTAAAGAACTCCTTTTTATTAATTAATGATCTTGAATATCCTACTCATCTCTTGAATGCATCTATCCTTATTAACTTTATTGGACAGAGTTAACTTAAGATGATTTCATTTATTATATTGATTATTCTCTTGGAGTATTATTAAACATAATCTATGGTTATGGCTATACTTATTTCATTGTAACCGGCTGCAAATACATTGGATTGGCTTAAGTAGAGGATTTCTTAAATGATTTATTATTATTGCTTTAGGGTTAAAATTTTTATGTTAAAACAGATTATTATTTTTAAAATGGATGTGCTTATTTCTTTGGATCAGCAACAATTGGAGAAGGACTTAACTGATCACCAGAACCAAATTTAGGTTCTTGATCAAAATGATGTTCCGCTTCATGCTAACTACCCTCAAAGCTTTTTTGTTATAAATCACTTTATTCTAATCCTTATTTTGAATTATTTTAATGTAACAATTATTGACTATTGATCTCATGTTGGCTATTAATTGGCTAACTAGAATGTTAATGGGACAATTATTAATTAGATTATAGATGAGGAATGTGATGATTTGAGCCTGGCTAATTTGACTACTATCTGTTCAATAGAGGATTTTGCAAAGATTAAACTTAGCTTCTTCTTGGAGTTCCATTTTGCATTTAATTATGAGTTTGAACAGGCAGGGTTACTGAGAATGGTACATTTTGTTTTTCCTAAGGCCTGTATTGTTATCCTGTTGTTGCCAGCCATTAAGTCATAAATTCAACCTTATTATCATTCTAGCCATATTACAGGATCTTCAGGTTTTGCGATTAGCAATTCAATTAATATTTTCTCGAAAAGCGGGTGCACTTTACTAGCTAGATATGATCTGCTATCTTATTCTTCCATTTCAATATAAATAATATTAATTATATGTAATGACTTTGAAAATTATGAGAATATGAAAATTTATTCATTTTATCATTAAGAGTGATTATTTTTCCTTCTTTCTTAAATTATAAATTACAATTTCTCGACGATACTCTTAAATTATATTTGCTATTCCTATAATTTCATTTTATCATTTTCATTGTTATTTGTTGGAAGCATGAATTGTATTTTTTTGATTGAATCCTCATTCTTAGCGTATTTAATCATAAGTTATTAAGAATTTTTTAGTCTAACCCAAATAATGGATGATATTTGTATTCTTTTATAATCTTTAGTTTACCCAGATTAATGATTTTCCAATAAAAATTGAACCACCAATTTAGCAATCTTAGAGAAAGAATATTTTTGTTGCTTTTCTGTAGTGTAGTAGTAATATAAATCAAAATAGTCGATCCCAATAATAACTTCATTCTACTATCCGTTACTGTCTATCTTTATAACTTTGTATTCTTCATAGTTAAACATCTAGAGATTTTTTTGATCAATGAATTCTTCCTTTTGAATCATTGATGGTGATATTGATTTTAAAGATTTCACTCCAAATCCTGAGATTCTAATTTGATCATTATTTTTTTTAGAAGGAATTTTGAATTGAATAATTAACCAATGAATTGGTAGCAAGGATATTGGGAATTTAATGTCTAAAGCTTCTGAATTATTCATATTGATACAAGGAAATTTTAGTAAGAAAAAACATTCATTTTGGTTATATTTAAAGTTGCCTTTCTTTTTCAATTCATTATAAATTTCTTAAATGGTTGCATTTTATTCAAATTTTAAATTATAAAATATTTCATTTTCTGCATCTTCTAACAATAAAATTATTTAGCTTGGATAAGTCATATGAGTTTTTTCCACTGTAAATAAGTCTATACCAAAATTTGATGTGTCTGCAATACTAAGAGTGACATTTTTGAAATCCACTTTCTAATTCAATTCCAAATTAAAGAATCCTTTGTTAGGATTCATTTCAATGTCATCAAATATATATTAAAATTATTGGATTGAATCTTATCTAGCTCGATAATTATCAATAATGCTATCTTTAAAAGAGGGAGAGGCAGAGAAATCACAATATTCCTCTATACTTGTCAATTAGTATGCTAATGTGAAGTTTGAGTATTTTAACAAGCTTTAATCAAAGCCTGAGGTTTTCTTGTATTCTTATATGGCAAAAACTATTAATTCACATGCTAAAATATTTTTATCTACAATTAGTTTCTTTGAGTATTCCGAGTTTAGATAATTGATAGAAATTTCTTTTAGATTTTTCTGTTAGCTGATCTTAAATAGAGGAGTCATTAATGATCGCTTTAAAGAAACCATAGAAAGCGTTCTTGCGCTCCTTTTGTTGTTACGATACCTTTTAAACTTTTCTTGTTCATAAATTACTTAAGAGAATGATTTTGTGTGTCCTCTATAGGATGTATTCCTTCTCTTTATGACGGGCTTTTAAGGTAATTCATTAGAGTTTTCCTTTTGATCTTCATTTATTTCCAGAGTTGCCTCATTGTCATTCACTTCACTAAGGCTACTTTGATTATTTGTTCTAACTAGCCTATCAATTTTTAGATTAAACTCTGATTCCTGACTACTTCTAATAATATTAGTAACGTTGGATGCCTGATCCTATTATTAGCACTGTTAATATAGAAATTCAATATCATTCCAATCAAATTCTTTACTATTTTCCTCTTTTGATGAACAGGTGCTTTTAGATTAAATATTCCATTAAATAGGTTATTTCTACATTTGCAAATAAAAAATGTCCATACTAATAATAATAAGATAAAACAATAATAATTTTAAGTTTATTCAGATATTAAGATACTCTTTATTTATAATATTTATTTCTAAATAATACAAAGAATCAAGAAGCCTAAATTGTTATTTTGTATTATCTTATTTGAACAAATTTATTTTAGAAAACATGTTGTCATATTTAATATAAAATTATCAAATAGCAAAAACTGTTTCTTTATATAATAATATAAAAGATGGAAAGTTGTGATAACTAATTTATGAGTTCTTCAATATTTTAGCACAGACTTTTTTAGATTCTATTTAGTTCAAAAAAATGTGATATTTTGCATGTATTGTCAAAGGACAACACAATTAGGAATTGGAAATTAAGTTATTTATCAATTCATAAAAAATCCATAAATTAGTTAGAAAAAGCAATTTGGAGTGGTTAAATTAAAATATTTCATTCATATTTACTGCAATTATAATAGCAATTCAGTTAGGCTGTGAAATGTATAATTTAATTTGAATAAAAGTTGCTCAATCTTTCATACCACCTAGAAAAGACAAAAATAAAGATAAAAACTAATAATCCAATGGCAATAGTAATCCCTAGATAAAGTTATTTTGTACGATATATTATTTAATAATATTAAGTTATTAGTATAAGAATATCTGATGTAAATTAGAATTGAGCATAAATAATCTATGATATAATAATAAATATATTGATGTCAAATAAAATTATACAAATGATGGCCAAGTTTCACAATTATCAAACCTATTGTAATAAATATCCACATTTTGGATGTACGAATGCTACTGATATCATCAAATTCAGACTCTGATCCAGTGATCCATTCAATAATCTACTAATATATTGGATAATGTAATTGCCCAATAACAATATCCCCTGATTGGAGAAGGAAAATAATTTCTGAATGGAATTTTTGATTCAGTATATTAAAATCAAGTATGGCATTTTTGTGGATACATTATCTAATGTCTTCTACTTTTAAAAACTCTAAAATTTGAGGTAATAAAATACAAATTGATTATTATTGCTCTCGATTGTTTTACACAATGGATAGATTAAGATAATAGAATTAATTTGAATCGCTTAAATAATTATATGCTTGAACTAGTAGATTATAACCTTGTAGTTTAAGTTTGACAATTCTGTTTTTGACGCCCATATCCTTTGTCAAACAGTTCAATTTAATAACTTCGTATCTCTCGTATGAGAATTGGTAAGGACGGATAAAGTAATGTTGAGTACCATAAATAATATACAAGTGATCTTCAATAGTGTCATATTTAATGAACTCTTTCCAGTTAGATTTGAATGAGGAATCATACTAAAATAGGTTTGAAATATATTACAATGTTTGTTATTTCATCTTGATAGATTGTGCTCGATGAACCAAATCCTGAGAAGACTGACATTTAGTAATGGATGATGGATATTTTGATTTGTTATTGAAATTCATCTAAAATAATAATGATTAAATTGATAATATCTCTGGATTTATTCTATGAACTTTCAAATGGGATGTTAACAACATACTGTCCCTTATGAAAGAGATGAAAGGTCGTAAAAAACGGAACGTCTTGTTGTTTAATATAGCTACAATTAGATAATCAATTACTTCATCACTGAAATGTACTGAATGTCATAGGTATTACTGATAATGAGTAACTACTTGTTGGATGAATAAAAGTTAATAATTCGGTCTTATTAAATAGATTCAAATTTGTTTATAGATCCATCTTTATAGACGTAATGGATCATATTCAATGAGTGTATGGTAGTCATATAGAGGATTTGATCCATTACTTAGGATTTGTAATACTCTCCTAAATAGATGGTTTGGAATATGAGTTTTATTGATATCCATTTATTGAATCCATAAAACTCTGTATCGAAGATTTCTTCGGCATCGATTTAATATACACTCAAAACTGTTTAAGTAATGTACTAGTACAATTGTTGTAGTCAATAATGTAAATCTGATTATTGTGGAGATGAGTGTCTATTGCACAGTCTATTTGATACTAAAAAAGGGTTGCTTCATCTTGTAAGTAATTAAGATAATTGCATTCTTTATCGAATTGGCGAGTTTGTTACAAATGGGCTTTGATTTGGTAGATTAGACTGTGCTAATTTTCAATCTGTATTTGATCATTAGTAGGTTCTCTAAGACTGGTGCCATAACGATAGTAGAAGTAGATGAGAGATTATTTTAATTCCAATCGATTAAAGGTTTCAATGATGAGCACAATTAAGGCCCCGATTAATTGAAGTATAAACATAAAATTAATGTAATAAGTAATCCCAGCCCCCAGAGTTTAAGTAACGTAACCATACGCTGGTTAAAAGCCAGGCACTTCAGGCTTACGTAAGAAGGTCACCGAGGCAACTCAACCTCATTATTTAGAGAACTTTGTGCAGAGCATTTTCAACACATTACGCAAAGATGAATTAAAGCGTATCCAATAATACTAATTATATTTAGCTAAGAACGTGCTCTTTGTAGGTGGAGATGGCAGATACTTTAATAGATAGGCTATATTCTCAATAATTCGTTTGGCTTATGCAAATGATATAAGCGAAGTGCACGTTGGTCAAGCAGGTTTAATGTCAACTCCTGCCTCTTCGCATTACATTCGTAAGGTTAATGAAGAGGTTGGAAATTGCATAGGAGGGATAATCCTCACTGCTTCTCATAATCCAGGTGGTAAAGAACATGGAGATTTTGGAATCAAATTCAATGTAAGAACTGGTGCTCCTGCTCCAGAAGATTTCACCGATTAAATCTACACAGTAATAATAGTTATATAAATATCTTAGCATACGACTAAAATTAAGGAATACTTAACAGTAGATTATGAATTCGAGAAACATATAAATTTAGACTAAATAGGAGTATACAAATTCGAAGGCACTAGATTAGAAAAATCACATTTTGAAGTGAAAGTAGTAGACACAGTTTAGGACTATACTTCATTGATGTAGAAACTTTTTGATTTCGATTTGCTTAAGGGATTATTCTCAAACAAAGGTAAAATTAATTTAATATTAAATAAAAAGATTTTACATTTAGTTTTGATGGCATGCATGGTGTTGCAGGACCTTATGCTAAACACATTTTTGGCACTTTATTAGGATGTTCAAAGGAATCTCTATTGAATTGTGATCCATCTGAAGATTTTGGAGGCGGTCATCCAGATCCAAATTTAACTTATGCTCATGATTTAGTTGAGTTATTGGATATTCATAAGAAAAAGGATGTAGGTGCAGTGCCATAATTTGGAGCTGCATGTGATGGAGATGCAGATAGAAATATGATCTTAGGTAGATAATTCTTTGTAACACCTTCTGATTCCTTGGCAGTTATAGCTGCTAATGCTAATTTAATATTTAAAAATGGTTTATTAGGTGCAGCTAGATCAATGCCAACTTCAGGTGCTCTGGATAAGGTTGCAGCCAAGAATGGAATAAAACTATTTGAAACACCAACAGGATGGAAATTCTTTGGAAATTTAATGGATGCAGGATTGATCAATCTATGCGGAGAAGAAAGTTTTGGGACTGGGTCAAATCATATCAGAGAAAAGGATGGAATTTGGGCAGTGTTAGCATGGTTGACTATTTTGGCACATAAAAATAAGAATACTGATCATTTTGTCACTGTTGAAGAAATAGTCACTTAATATTGGTAATAATTTGGTAGAAACTATTACTCAAGATATGATTATGAGTAAGTTGATTCTGCTGGTGCTAATAAAATGATGGAGCATTTAAAAACTAAATTCTAATATTTTGAAGTAATCATTATATATAATTGTAGTAATTGAAACAAGGAAATAAGGCTGATATATATGATTATGTTGATCCTGTTGATCAATCAGTGTCAAAAAATCAAGGAGTTAGATTCGTTTTTGGAGATGGATCAAGAATTATATTTAGATTGAGTGGTACTGGATCAGTAGGTGCTACTATTAGAATCTACTTTGAATAATTTGAATAATAGGAGATTCAACATGAAACAGCTACTGCTTTAGCCAATATTATTAAGCTTGGATTGGAAATCAGTGATATTGCTCAATTCACAGGAAGAAATGAACCAACTGTCATAACTTGAACAATCAATCATATTAATAAATAAATATCCAAAATTATATTAGAAAAGAATTTTAAATTCCATAAAAGTCTTTGCATTCTCTAAAATTAAATGAGTGGTAACCAAATAATTTGAGAATATATGTAATAATAATTCTTGCGATATGAGACCTAAATAATGTATAAATCACATTTATTAATTTAATTGTTATGATAAATAGTAATGAAGTTTCTCCTGTTAAAATGTCTAATTGTAATAATTGGTGTTTAAATACAAGAGTAGAAATAGGACATTATGAAATCGATATTGAAAGAAGAGTCGATGATAAATATAACATTAAAACCATTGGAGCAGGAGGTTTTCTTGGCTGAGGATCCATAAACAGCATTGCTCAAATTGAAATGTTTCTAGGAACTAATCAACAAAGAGCGGTAACTTATAGAGTTGATTGTAGATTAGCGTATGCAGAGCACTTGGCTGAAGTATTTGAATTGATTGGAGATGATGCTTATAGAAATCTAGGATTTATTTTAAAGCAATTCGTACAATATATTATCTACCTAATTGCTAGGTTCATGATTCCTATTCAATCTAACTATCTATTATTAGGTAGTTGCCAATTCTAGTAGAACAAATAAAGAAGCGACAATCCGGGTATGCGGAATTGAAAGATCATGTTCTGCCATTTATGAATATATTTCTCGAGCATCAGGACTAGGATGTAAAATGATCCCATAATTATTAGATCAAAAAGGAAGTCTTAACTCAATTGCTTAAAATAGCACCCTTTTTGATTGAATCAGACAAAGTGGATATAATTTTAGCACATCTGATCGAAATGGCTCACGATGAGAAAAGTAACCAAAATCGTATGTTGGCAGCTGAGACATTTGGTAAGTGTGCCTCTCTCTTCTCTATGAAATATTGTGAGTCTTATATATGCGGAGAACTCTTATCTCTTGGTATAGATTTAAATGAATTCGTAAGAGAAAAGGCTATAGAACAATTACCAAATTTATCAGTTAGTCTCTCTCAAAAATGTATAGAACTCAAAATAGTACCATTCTACCTTTAGTAATATCATATCTCTAAATATTCCTTAGATCTTGCGAAGACAGACTTTTGCAGATTAAAAATGCTTGCATCAGGTCCATCTCAGGTATCTGCAAATATGCTAGACATGATTTAAAGACCTCCAAATTAATACCAAAATATTTGGAATTTTTTTGCGATCAAAATAAAGATGTCAGAAAAACTGCATATGAATATTTAGGTGAGTTCATCAGTACAATCAAATTCACTGAAAAGGATTAGCAATAACTCGAAACCCTATTGGCCTACTACTAGAATTAATTGGATAAAAATATCAATATGATGGGTGTTGATGTAAGATCATTTGTATCTTAACTTAGCTCGTTTATAAATGTGCCTTCTATTTTCCAGGAGTTCTACAAGCAATTGGTCGAAATCGTTGGCTTATGATTCAGCCTCTATATGGATTCCTTCTAAAATATCCCTCAGATGTATATTATATCTCTAGTCTAGAAAGTCAAAATTTCCCTAGCTCATAGTTTTCATGAAGTGGCTAAATTGTTGGGTCCCCGATTTATCCAAAGAACATTTGATCACTGTACTAGAAACATTAGCATAAGATAAATTGCAAGAAGTCAGAAATGGCATTGTATTAAATCTGTCAAAGTTTATATCTATCTTCCCTATTGAAGAAAGAGATTATGTCATTGATCTCTTACTAAATTTTTAGAAAGACTAACATAAATGGCGAACTCGTCAGATTATTTGTACTTCTATTTTCCCAATCACAAGATGCTTCAATAACGATACAATATTCTTTCACATTGCTCCAATTCTATTCAAGTTTTGCTCAGATACAGTTGCAAAAGTTAGAAGGAAGGCTTCTAAAAATGTTGTACATTTAGTTGAGACCTTTGAGGAAGAAGGAGAATAAAGAACTGTCATTCTTGAATAGATTAGGGCTTTTTCACATTCTAAGAGATTCAATTAGAGACAATCATATTGTTGGATGTGTTATAAATTGTTTTACAGACCAGATTTTGAGGATCTATTTTTTGAAAGACTCTTTGAATTATGTAGAGATCCTGTTTAATGTGTAAGGTTATCAGCTATTATTATTATTGATAAATTCATATAAAAGGTAGGTTTCTCCAAGGAACGCAAATATTTGAAATATCTATTGATTCAATTTATTGATGATCAATGCTAAGAAATTTAGTTAATCCTGACTAAATATAATTTTGTTATCCAAAAAACTAAGAAAAAGACTTTATCTTGCAGATCACGTAATAGTGGATCTTCAAATGGTCATTTGGAAGACATTCCAGAATTTGATGAAAAAATCGAACAGATTCGTAAATCATCTGGTAAAGTTTGATTTTATTATCTATAATTTAAATTCCAACTTCTGGAAATCCTAAATAGAATTCTTATTTATAGCAACTATAAATTTTATAGATAAATCAATATCAAATGAGTTTTTTGGTTCTGAAAAATTGTTTCAATTTTCTAGCTTAGACAAAATTTGTTAACATCATCAATAGTAAGGTTATTACGCTGAATAAGATTATTTTATATGATATTTTAGAAACATTTTAGAACCTATTCGATTATCTCTCTTCTATCTCTTTTTGATCAAGCTAAATCTAAATACATTTGCTGTACTTCAACTGCATTTACTAAACCATTTAATTTCTTCAAGTGAATTTCTAAAGGTTTTAAATCTTCTTTCTAAGCTAACAAGGAGAAGTCCTAAGCATCCATTCCTGTAACCAATGTGAAATTATAGCTTGTCCAATCGTTTGCTAAATTATGAATGCAAAACTAATAATTCAATTATGTATTATTCGTTGTAAATGAAAACTTATGCAATTCTTAACTATGAGTATATTAGAGTATATTATCAACCTTCTTAGTAGGCATCTAACATTATTGTCAAGATTACATGAATTTTTAATGAATACTCACTTGAATTCCCTTAAATAGCTCCCACTACTAAACTATTTTATCCAATATTTTCTCCAAAGCATTTCAATTCTTTTTATTTAAGAGAGAACGTAAATTGTACACTAAAAACGCCTTAAAGTAGAAATGCAATTATAAAAAGCATTACGTGTAAAATTTAATAATAACTAAAATCAATAATTCTAAGAGTTGATTAGAAGTTTATCAATAATTTAGATTTTATATAGGTGTTGCAATAAAACAATGAAATCCATATATATGATTACTCTTTAACATAATTATTTTGAAATTTTATAAACAAATATACACGCAAATAAAAAGATGCAATCGTATAATCAATTATTAAATAAAACAAAATTAAGTCTAATAAAGGATTTTGAAATAAGTTTAAATGAAAAAAGTGTAAATTAATTAGTATAGGGAAATAAATTCAATCGCATAAATTGTCAAAGCCAATTAAAAAATTATTCAAGCTGAGCTTAATTAACTTTTATAATAAAATAGTTAAATCCTATAAAGCACTTCTCCTAATGAACTTGTTAAATTATGGTTTGAATTGAATGCTGAGGAGAGATCTAAATACATACTATCAGGATAACATGAATTGTCCAATTTTGTTTAATAAGAATTAAAATCTAATTTTTTAAATGTCAATCAGATTTTGAAAGCTGCTAACTTTTTTGATGGAGTCCCTTGGCATTATAAAATTACAAGTATGTAAAATTAATACATTAGATAAATTTGCCTAAAATTTTTGCAGACTAAGTTAACATTATATGAAAGTCTTGGCTTATTTAAAAACAATTCTTTAAGGGTATTTTTCAATGATTGACCAAGTGATGATTTCAACAGTTATTGATATAGAACCTTTATCAAATTTCTAAGCCTACTTTTAAACCAAAACAGAGGAAGGATTTACATTGTTTTGGGAAGTGGCTATTGATAAAGTTCCAAAATTAGTTTTTCAAAATAAGTTGAATATCAAATAAATTGTTGGTTTTAATTTCTATCATACTATTACATTTGTTGACATAAAATAAGAGAATATTCTTGATAAAGATGTTAAATTAATCATTTCAAATTATCATAATGACACAAAAGGTTCTTATTATAGAAAAGGCATTGATTATTCAAAGTTAAAATAAGAAGAATTTGAAAATGAAATAAATAAATGTTATCTGTTTATGAGGTCAACCAATAATAATAATTAATATTGGGAATTAAATTATAATTTAATGAAAAATGATATCATAAAATGGTTAGGTCATAAATTTATATCAATATTTTTAAATAAATAGGAGTAAGCGAAGTATTAATTTGATACATCATCTTAAAAGTGGATAAGCAAAGTTGATGAGTACATTTAATAAAATGAGTCATAGATTCAATAAGAAAAGCTATTCAAAAAGGATTTAGTCTAAAAATTTGCAGATTTTACAATTTCATCAAAATTAGTAGAATTTTTATAAAAAATTCCTAATTTCAGCATAAAATTGACTGATGAATAAAAGTAAATTATTGGAATGGAAGGCAAAATTATCTTTGGTGGCAGGAGTGGAACAGGAAAAACTACATGCTTGATCCTTAGACTTTTAGCTATGAAACACATATTTAAACTTAGAATAGAAATGCATAAGAAAAAAAATCCTTCAATAGAAATCGATGACCTTTATTTTAATTGTTTATTCATAAGTAATAATAATATCCTCTCAATCTAAGCAAAAAAATATTATGAAAAACTGAATAATTAAGTTTAAGCAGAGTTGAATAAAAATAAATAAAAAAGAAATTATTAAAATTCCCAAAATTTATCGTGGGCATAGGGAGCATCATAAGATAGCTATCGATCAAATTTATTAACTTAAGGCTATTAAAATGTTTAGTAAGATTATCCATTATTTTTAACTATCTAATAGTTGATTTTTATGATTGATTCATTTTTAAATAAACCATACTTCCCTTAAAATCAATCTTAACAAAATTTGAATATGTGTAACTTTGTTGCAGGTAAAAATAATGAAGATATGCCTTTTTAAGTTCCGAATTAATATTTTAAGTAAGATATAGATTAGGAAGGGGAAATTAATTTGAATGGTTTGATTTAATAATAATTATTTAAGGATAATAAAGATGTAGAGAATAATACCCAAAATTATTACTGGAAAGAAGAACAAAAAGAAAAATTGATCAATCATCAAGAAGTAGATTTTGCATTTTTTCTTAATAATTTTTGGCTAAAGAAGTGTTCTAATGTTCAACTAAATCCTCATTTTGTTTGGACTTACATTTATTCTTATATTAAAGGATGCTCCAATGCTCATGAATATCCTGGACACTATATTTCTAAGAGTACATTTTTAAGAATGGTTAGCGATAATAAAGAGTTCAACATTTTATATGATACCTTTGTTTAATATGAAAAGTGGAGAGCAGAAAAAGGATATTATGATTTATTAGATGTGGTTAATCATATCTTAGTATAATTTAAATAAGATGAAATATGTATGCCGCAGATTCATTATTTAATTATTGATGAAATTTAGGATTTGCCAGAGGCTATGATATTGTTATTTGAAAAAATAGCACTATTTGGAACAATATACAGTGGTGATACAGCTTAGAATATATCTAAAGGAGTGGGCTTTAGATTTTTAACGATATAAGAGTTATCAAAAAGGATTGATTAGAAGGATGAATATCAATATTACTAATCAGAATAATTTCTTAAAACCTTGAATTAAAATTTTAGATCAAATTCTTAGATCTTGAAGTTAGCCAACTCAATTGTTTCCTTAATTCAGATGTATTTTCCAAAAACTATTGATGATTTTATAAAGGAATCATCAAATTTTAATGGTATAAAGCCTATTATTGTGAATGGAAGTTTAGATTTATTATTTTATTTATTTGAAGGACTAGATAGTACATTAATTAATGAGGAAATATAAAAACAGCCTATAGAGTTAGGATTTAGATCTGTCATTATTGTGAAAAACAAAGAATAAAAAAAGAATATACCTAAACTTTTATAACATATCTAGGTTTTATCTATTGAAGAAGTGAAGGGCTTGGAGTTTGAGAATGTTATTCTTTATAATTTTTTTACGGATAGTATTATTAAGGAATTTGAATGGAAATTATTGTAAACATGTGAGGTTATAGATGAGGAAATGAATAAATAAGCATATTTAACTAGTTTAACTAGAAAATCAACAATTGATTATTATACCTCATATTTTACTGGGTATGATGATAAAAATGGGAATATCTTAATCAAACGAATGATACCATATATAAAATATTATGATGAGTTTTCTTATAATAACAGTGGCTTGTGCAATGAACTTAAACAACTCTATATTGCAACAACGAGATCGAGGTAGTGCTTATATATTTTTGATGAACAGCCCTAATAAAGGAGATGGATAGAACAGATTTGGAAAAGTCTGCTATTAGTTGAAATATTTGAATAAATAAACTTTGATCATTAAAATTTATAACCCAATCTTTAGATTAAATCTAAATTCTAATGGAAGGAATAAGGCAAAATTATGTTTCAGAAACAATTATATGAATAAGCTGAAAAATGTTTTCAATTTTCAGACGAGGATATTATGTGTAAAAGAGCCAAGGGTTTTAGATTAGCCACAGAAGGTTGTTAACTCATTTTATCTTTTTAATAGTAATCATAACAATATCTTAAGTTAAAGGATAAAAATCAAAAGATAAGTGAATTAAAGTAACAGTATTAAGTTAGATTATAAGAAGCTGCATATTTGTTTTAAGATACACTCAATTTTAGATAAGCTGCATAATGTTTTTACTTTTGTGAGTAATATGATTAAGCATTCTAAATATACGCTAGCCTTGAACTATTTTAAGAAGCAGGTGACGCAGCCTATAAATCAGAAAAATATATAGAGGCAGCAAAATTCTTTTTAAAATGCAAAGATATTACAAAAACAATAGACTCATATGAAAAGGCAAATGAATTTGAATAGATCCTATAAGTGCTTTATTAATAAAAGGATAAAATTAATGATGCTATTAGAACAGCATTTATAAATAAATACTTTCCAATCTTTTTAAAAAAATTGACAATTGAATTCGAAAATAAATAATAATACTATTGTTAGTAAAATACAGTAGAAGATTTAGCTAGAAAATTTATTCTGTCTTTAAAAAATATAGAAGAACATAGATATCTAAATGATAATATTATGGAATCAAAAAAATAATTTGAAAGCTTTTAATAATAATTTAATTTTGAAGAGGATTCAATTTTAGACTTCTAATTTAATTTAAATAAATTTAAAGAGTGTCAAAATGAAAATGAGACTGAAGACATAGACTTTAGAGATTATTCTATAATCAATCCTTAAAGACAATGTGCAATCAAATCAAATATTCAATGCATAAATTCTAATTTGTAAGACATAAAAGTTTAAGATTCGGCAATAACAAAATTATTTAAATACATAGCAATGTTTTCAAATGAATTTTAGAAGTCTTTATTGAAGAATACTAATTATTAAACAGAATAATAATCAACATATTAAATTTAAATTGAGTAATTAGATTAATCAGATGATTAATTAATAAATCTTGATTCAATAGATCAATCGTAGATACTTTATGTGTTAGATGTATTAAATCAATTCCAAAATTATAAATTATGCATTATAATTTGCAATAGATATAGCTTATAAGATCATTTAATTAAATATTTATCCAAAATTGCGATTTCCTTATCTCCTTTATTATAATAATAACCTGGATTAAACCAAAATAAATTAGAAATTACCGAATAATAAGTAAAGAAAGGGAAAGCAGCATCACTTACACTTCATTAGATATTTCAAATGATCGATTCTAAGTTCTTAATTTAACAAATTAGCTAAGAAAAAGGTTTAATTCCTTCCAAATATTTAGGTAATGACTTTTATACCTTATTAATTTTGCTTGGATTTTGGAAAAAAGTAATTTATTAATTAGATTTTCAACATTCTTTATCAATTTGCTCATTATTTATGGACTTTAGAAGTTGGAAAAGTATCTATTGGATGAACATTATCGAATCACTTAACAATACAATATAATCAAATAATATCAGAGATCCCTAATTATCTAATTCATTTTTAATTAAATTATAATAAGCAAAATAGAATTTAAACTTTTGTCTCAAAAAAAACAGCGTATTATTTGAAGAATTAAATTTTGACTAACCTTTAAATTATTTAGATATGTAATATTGTTTTATTCACTTGGAACAATATTATGATGAATAAATAACTTAATTAACTGTTAATTATAAAATTCCATAATGGTTGTATTTTAGAAAATCTACTTTAAAGTTAGATTCAATTGAAAAAAATGAAATAAATCATACAAAGCATCAAATTTTTATATATTAATTGAGTGAAGAAATATTTAGGAGTGTTCTAAATGAAACAAAACTAAATAATTAAATTATCAATTAATTGATTTAAAGTATAGAATTTCAAAATCCAATTGCTGATTATATATAACTATTTTAATAAGTTTATTTGATCTTGTTTTATTGTGAATAAATTTTACATAATAAACCTTATTAATAAATCAATACGATAGAGAATTTAAATTGCAATTAATACGGTAATTTAATAGAATCTTTAAATTCAATATTTAGAGTCTTTAATTCTAACTAGGATAATATGTAGAAGCATCGCTAAATAATATAGAGGAGTATTTTGAGTTATTTTAAAGTTAGAAAGCCAGATAATAATAACTTACTCTATCCATTTATGAACTCATTAATTGTTCATAGATCATCAATTATTCTTGAAGATATAATTCAATAAAAAGAATCAGAAAACAATGTATTTTTGGCTGATATTGATTTAAACTTTGTTCTTGCACCTAGAGTACTCATCATATAAATTATTACAAAAAAATTACATTAAATAATTTCAAATTTAAATGATGCTAGAAAAAAATGTGTGGATAAGTTTAATTTAAAATATTACAATTATTTTATAGATAATTTTGAAATCGTTAGGGATCATTATAATTTTGCAATTCATAATTATTATTAGAAAGACATTTATGATTAAAATACTTAACAATAATTAACGAAAAAATATGATATGATTTCTGATAGAACTTAAAAACATCAACAATAATTATTTAAGAATTCAACAATCAAAGAATTTCATAAAAGATCAGGAATATTAAAATTGTTATTAAAAAATCCATATGTAAAATGCAATTCGAAAGATTAATCATTTTATATTAATTATGAAGGTTTATAATCATTTACAAATTAATATCAAAACTCATTGGACTTACATTGCTAAATGATAAAATCTATAATCCTATTAAATTATTCAAATTGCAATCATTTTACTTATCTTTTTTTAAATAATAAAATTCTTTAAGGATATCAAAATTAATATGCAAAATATCTTGACTTTTTTAATTTTACTTTGTATAAATCATGGAACATGATAGATAAAGCAACTTTATGCTTTTTTAATTATTTGAAAACAGCAAAGGATGAGATTACAGTAGAAGAATTAATTTATAATTTAGTTTTTTTATTTCTTTATAATATAGTCGGATAAAATCTAAACTTCAAAGATAGATGTCTTATCAATATCCCAAGTTCATATGTTATTTATTTCAATAAAATAAATGAAAAAAAGGGAAACAATTATTATCAATAAATAGCCTTTCTTCCTGTTTAGAAGTAAGAAAATCTTGCCAAGATTTTAGATCAATTAATCAATATAAGTAAAACCAACCCTACTTTTAATTAAAAGAAAATATAATAGTTAATATATATTTTGCTTATAAATTTAGATGAGATTTCTTAAGAAATGATAAAATTGATAAATTGTAAAATTTTCTAAATGAAAGATACAAAATTTGATAAAGAATTATATGATAAATTAATTAATGTAATGAATTAGCCTCAATAAATGAGATCTGAATTTTTATTGAAAAATGAAAACATCTCTAAGTTCTTTAAAATAAAAAATGATGAGCTAATTTTTATAGAGGTTGAAAAATAAACAGATCTGAAATTGCTTGAAAAAGAATCAAATTATTAGATTAAATTATAAGCATAATATGAAGTGTTAAAAACATAAACAAAAAAGATTCTTAAAGCTTATAGGATTTACAAATAAAGCGGCAACACCTTCTGTACTATCCCAAAATGGTTTTTTGGAGAATATCAATTTACGAACTAATTTAAAGTATCCTAATTTATAAATATCCT